CCAAGGTAGTATTTCAGGGCAATGCCGATCTGCGACACTGGGTGTAAATTCCAGCCTAATGTCTGGAACCCATGAGGAAGGCATCACCATCATTTAATTTCACCACGCGGTCCTATATGTACCCATCATCCCTGACAAGTGGTAAACTGCAAACAGAAACTTTTATTTTTAACATGGTGGACATTTTATGGTTTTAATGGCGTTTTTAAAAAAAAAAACATAAAATGTCCACTATTACCACTCCACTTACCACAAACGCCACCACGACCATCACCATCACCTCGTTCACTATTAACGCCACCACCACAGCAACACCATCAATGTCACCACACATCACCACTACTCAATAACATAATCGACACAGCCATCAACCCACACGCCATTACCAAACACCCACACGCAACGAACACAGCATCGCCGTACACATCTCATCCACCACGTAGAAAAAAGGCTCACCCGCAAAAGCCACGATTTAATAAACACCAGCAACAAGTTTATAAACACACGCGGAGCCTTCACCAATCCACTTAAACCTCGACACGGCGAAAAATCCACCACTGCCGTGTTATGGCGGCCTACGCAACAATCCGTCACCCACTGCACATTCCAACACGGCCCCTTTAAAATAACCACAACCGCCACCGCCAGCCAGCCCGCCATCACCTGCAGAAGTAGTCCCTCCATTCCTTGCTCCTGAACACGTCGCTGACTTTGCGCCCGATGATCCCGGCCATGGTTGTTGGTTTGTTAATGTCTCGCTAACGTCGTCAAAGTCTTCGGTCTTGGGTCTCGTCCACCTCTGGCAGCTGAGCACGGAATTCCTCCCCGCTCGCCCCTTATGTAGCGAGTCCGCGCGTCCGATTGGCCTAGCCCGCGGGCACGTGAGTCGGCCGGGTTCCCTCGCCGCCCATTGGTTAAGGGCCACCCCCCCTCCTCTCCCCCTCCTCCCTCCCCCTCCACCCCTCTCCTCCCCCCCTCCACCCCCCTCGTCCCTCCCCTCCACCCCCCTCCTCCCCGTTGTTGAAAGCCCCAAGGTCAATCGCGGGCAGCCAATGGTTGGTGGTGGTGAGGGGTGGGGTGTGGAGAGGTGGCGTCTCAACTGCGCTACGAACCGGGTTCGATTCCCGCTCACGACCACCGCCAACAACACCGGTGACGATTATCTCAACCGGTGCTGGACCTCCCCCCCTCCTAGGTCGGCTCGGCCTCAAATGAGTACTCGGTACGGTGTGTAAAAAAACATCGGCCACCCGGGGGAGACAAAGGCGGTCGGGCGTGGTTGTTGGCCACCCACCCGCACCCCCTCGTGTGCTACAGTGCCGTCCTTCATAGGTGCTGCTGACTCGCTTACAGCACTTGCCCCAACAGTCTGTTACAAGGCTATACGGGGGATCTTTGTCTTTGTTTTTTTAGGGGGGGAGGGCGGTCGACGTCTGCGACAATCCCCGCTTCGCAATTGGCTGGCCAGATGACTTTCAACCCCCCCATTTTTACCGAAGGGGCTCGCGATCCCATTGGTCGGAGCGCGTCACGCGGTGCGGGCGGAGCAGCCGATCCCATTGTGCGCGACCCATAGCTTCACCCTGGGGTCGCACGCCGCGAGCAGCCCGCCAAGGTCGACTCGCGGGCCCTGTTGGTGGGGAGTTGGTCGATCGATAACAAGCACCCATTGTGGAAGTTCGCATCGTGCCGGGGGGTCCCCCATGTAACTTCGCCGCCGATGAACATCTGGAGAGCGTTGGTTTAAAGCAAGCCTGGGTCTGCTGATGCATACCTGTCAACCCCCCTGATCAGTGACCCCGTGCCCCTTACTGGACTTCTGTGAAAAAATAGCTTTATAGCTCATTGGATTCCTCCTGCAGTATAAATCAATATTCTCAATGATTACTGTCAACTCACCTACGTCGGAAACAATTTCCAGCTGTTCAGAGATAACGCCGTCTGTTCCTGCTCCATAGCTGACAACCACTTAGTGCTTACCTTATTACAGACCAATTCAGATCTTATTGGTCACCCCCGTGCCCCTTATAAATCTCAACTTTCATCCTACAAAGTCCATTCACAAGGAAGAAACACAAATAGATAAAGTTTTTGTTGTCCGTATTGAAATGTCTGTACACCGTATGGACCCGATAACTCAATTTCCCTGTACAAGAATACGGGCTATACTGATGAGACCAGTGACAAATCCGGTCCAGAGTTTCTTTGTTGACCCAATGCTACTGTAATTATGCACTCCCGTGGGGCCAACGATCTGTGTAGGCTATACACTATTAAACACTACTTAACATCTTAACGCCTGTTTTATTACTCTTTGGTTCTTTCGGTAAAGTCAAGTAGGTATAAAAATTTAACAAAAAATATATCACGACGTTTCGATCGCAACACAAGCGGTCGTCCTCAGGCGGAACAAAAACAATCCAGCAGCGGAACTGCTGAACAGCTCGCGCCTGAGGACGACCGCTTGTGTTGCGATCGAAACGTGATATTTTATTTTTTGTTTGATTTTTCTACCCACGTGACTTTACCGAAAGAACCAAAGAGTATGGATTCCTGCAGTCACGAAAGCTTCAAATCAAGATTGAACCTGTTTTATTGCCAGAAAGGATAAAAACTATTCTAGATTTAAAGCTTTCGTGACTGCTAGGATCCATACTCTTTGGTTCTATTGGGTAAAGTCACGTAGGTGAAAATACCCAATAGAACCAAAGAGGATAAAAACTATGATTCGATGCTGGCAAAAAGGTCCAATTTTCTAGCTGCTCACCCCGAGCTATAACTGCCCTTATAGTGGCATTGTCTTTGTGCTGTTCGCCTTTGTGTTCTCTAGTCTGACACTGGTGGTGGTGGTCAGTCTTGGCCATGAAGAAAGCTGATGCTGTCTCTTCGTGTAGGGCGATCAGTTTCAAAGACAATGCATAACTTGATTATCAGAGCAAGTGTGTTTGCATGTTCACGGCAAGTACTGTGTGTGTGGTTTAGGCAGACTTGATTCCCCGCAAGATCTTGCCACCTTCTTTATTGCCAGAAACGGTAGAACATATTCTTATTTTTTCACAATCTACTTTTGTTTTCTACGTGGAGAGACGGATCCGTCTTGCTTTCCGATGTTCACATTGTAATAGGCCGGGAACGTCCAAAGGTAACATATTAACAATGTAATCAGAAGACACCGTCTCAATATACGGCTGTATTTTGTGACCGTGTATATGAGAGCCATGGGCTGAGACGCAACACGCCATCCCTGTCCGTTAGCAATGAATGCAACACGGTCGGCTTTCGCGACCAATGTCATCCAGAATACAAGTTTTTTGGGGAGTTAGATCGCGTAAATCTAAATGTGTCGTTAAACCCGCCACCACCCGACGCAGCCGCATAGTAAGTTTGTCACGTAAACAGAACGTGCCAATTCGTTACTAGTTCAGCAACACCAAGCCACAACATTTACGATCTGAGTACGACGTTTCGCCAGTAATTACAACTAGCTTCATCAGGCTGGCGAAACGTCATACCCAGATGGTAAATGTTTGTGGCTTTGCTCTCCAACACACGACCGGTGTGCTGCTCTACGAGTATCGAATTAGCACGTTCTGTGTACGTGACAAACCTTACTAAGTGGCTGTGTCGGGTGGTGGCGGGTTTAACGACACTATTGTATATATATTTATGCGATCTAACCCAAACAAAAAACCTGTATTATGGGTGCTGTACACTCCTAATTACTTTCGCTTTCATCGTCACAACGTGAAGTTTTCCCGCTAACAATCAAGGTCGACTCAAGTCTTGCAAATGATAAACTCGCAAAACGCCTGGCTACGTCGCGGCGTAATGAACGCCACTTGAGAAACAATACAAATTGCGAGTTTACGTCATTGTTTGTAAGCTCATTGTTATCATACTTTTTTATGTGTCATGTTTATTAATTCGTAACACTTGGTTGTCTGCTGGCCCGAGTCATCGTTGAAAAAGAGCTGTAAAGCTCAAACTAAACTTTTTATTTTACGCAGGTAAGGCACGCCTGGGCTATGTAGCTCTTTGTTGTTGTTGTTGCTGCAGAAGCGACGTGGCTGTCACAAATGAGAACATCAACGAAGTGGGCTTCTCATCATCGAGTGGATATTCATAGCAGCAGCCAAACAACTCAAAACACACGGTGACTTTGATTCCAAATTTGGGAAGGAAAACCCGGAGGGCCCGGAGAAAAATCCACGCGACCACGGGGAAAGAGACACGCAAACTCCAAATATAGAGCAGCAGCAGGCGTCAGGGTCGGGGTCAAACCCACGCCCTCCTGCATACCAGGCGAGGTAGTTAACATCTCATAGCCACCGTGATGATGATGAGAGAGAGAGACACGCAAACTCCAAATATAGAGCAGCAGCAGCAGGCGTCAGGGTCGGGATCGAACCCACGCCCTCCTGTATACCAGACGACGCAGTTAACATCTCCTAGCCATCGTGGGTTATTTACTCGGGGTTATAAACTTAAAAAAAACTAAATATATCTACCTTTAGAGTTCCCCTGCAAAGATGGCGACGGTCCACGAGCGTACATCTTTGTAAGGGGGATACTTTAAACAATGTACTGTATACAACAGGCGGTCAGGGTCAGGGATCCAACCAACGAACCTCCTGTAAACCAGAAGAGGTAGTTAACATCTCCTAGCAACCGTGGGTTATTTACTCGGAGTTATACACTTTAAAAAACACATATTCTTGGTTCTTTCGGTAAAGTCACGTAGAAGGGAAACAATAAAATAATAAAAATATAAAACAAAGAACCAAGAATATGAATCCCTGCAGTCACGAAAGCTCTAAATAAAAATAAAAAAAACATTTCGTTTGGCTTGAGTTTCCCTTACAAAGATGGCGACGGCACACAGCGTACATCTTTGTAAGGGGGAGACTTTCGCGATGTGGCACGTGATGCCACAGTAACCAATCGGAGCGGCCCCCAGCTACCGAGTGTTCGATTGGAAGAGGTGGAAGTTGTTGTGGCTGGTGGTGGTGTTCGATTGGAAGAGGTGGTGGGAGTGTTCGATTGGAAGAGGTCGAAGTTGTGGTGGCTGACGGTGGTGTTCGATTGGAAGAGGTGGAAGTTGTGGTGGCTGACGGTGGTGTTCGATTGGAAGAGGTGGAAGTTGTGGTGGCTGGTGGTTGGGTTGGTGGACGCCGCCGGATTGTCAGGCACGTGACCCCGTGCCGCCAGCGCTGAGGGCACAAGGCTGACGCACGTGGTGGCTACTACAGTGAGTTGAAGCAAGGGGGGGGGGGGCGCGTGTGGAGCGCCTGGACTCCAACTCAGTTACAGATACGGCCGGAGGGAGGCTTGTTAGTGGCGAACGGACGAACGAGCGAGTTTTTTATAGTTTAGTTTAGTTAGACGATTTGAACATGGAAGTTTTGTTTTGACATTGATGTGGTGGCGGGGGTGGTGTGGTGGGCGGGGGTGGTGTGGTGTGGCGGGGGTGGTGTGGCGGTGGTGGCGGGGGGTGCCCCTTCACGAGCACGTTGCTATCTACGCCACGTGTTGAAGTGTACAGTGCGGTAGTGTGGTGCAGAGTGGGGGGGGGGTGCAGAGTGGGGGGGGGGGTGCAGAGTGGGGGGGGGGGTGCAGAGTGGGGGGGGGGTGCAGAGTGGGGGGGGGGGTGCAGAGTGGGGGGGGGTGCAGAGTGGGGGGGGGTGCAGAGTGGGGGGGGGTGCAGAGTGGGGGGGGGGTGCAGAGTAGGGGGGGGGTGCAGAGTAGGGGGGGTGCAGAGTGGGGGGGGGTGCAGAGTGGGGGGGGGGTGCAGAGTGGGGGGGTGGTGCAGAGTGGGGGGGGGTGGTGCAGCGGTCAGCGCGATGCCGCGCTACGGAACCCGGCGACCCCAGTTCGATTTCCCGCTCACGGCCAACACCGGTGACGATTATCTGAACCGGATCCTGGGCCTCCTTCCCTAGGTCGACTCGACCTCAAATGCCTACCTCGTGCGGTACGTACAAATATCGCCACTGGGGAGACAAAGGTGGCCCGGGCGTGGTGCTGGCCATCCACCGACCCACCACGTGTTCCACAGTGCCGGCCTTCACAGGCACTGCTGCTGCTGCCACTCGCTCACAGCACGGCCCCAACAGTGGGCCCTGTGGTGGTGGTGGTGCTGCTGTTGTTGCCTCCGCCTGAGTGCGAGCTGTGATGAACACGCTTCTCGCTTGGGTCACCTCACGCAAGGTTCCTTTTATATAATCGTGGTTGTTATTCAACTGCGGTGTCCTTAATTTTCTATAATATGTTAACTCCCCTCGCCTGGTGTACAAGAGGTTATAGGTTCGATCCCAGAACCTGACGACGCCTGCTGTATGTTTGGAGTTTGCGTCCCTCTCTCCCCGTGGTCGCGTGGATTTTTTACCGGGACTTCTGGGTTTGCCCTCCACATTCAGAACCAACAACACGCGTTTAGAGTATTTGCTATACATTTCCACATGATACACATTTAGAGTATGTGGCTGCTATACATTTTCACGTGATGATAAACCACATTTAGAATCAACATGCGTTTAGAGTACAGTATTTGGCCGCTATAAATTCCCACATGATAATCCACATTTAGAATCCACGTGTGTTTTAGAGTATTTGGCTGCTATAAATGTCCACATGCTAAGCCCACTTCGCCGAGTTATCATTTGCGATGGCCAGGTGTCTTCTGAAGAAGAGCTTACACAGCTCAGTGGGGCCTTGCCCAGGGAACAAAAATATAAATACTGTATATATATTTTATACGTGTCTACAGTTGCACCCCGATTGTGGCTATTCGCGTGATGACAATGAGAGTTGAGGATCCAGTCCGAGCTCTCGCTTTCGAGCAGTGTGATGCCAGCCGTGTCAAGAGAACGGACCGCAGAAGTGGATATCACAGAGCTGCCTCCGAAATGGCTTCAAGTTGACCTCTGGTCTACACGGCAGAGGGCGGTAATTTCCTCCCCACTCTGCCATATGAAGAGTACTGGAATGTTCGTCACACGACAAACCGGTCTTTTTAATTCTCAGAGCTCGATTTTTGACCACAATAATTGCGGAACCAATTTTAACATTAGTTTACGTACATTAATTGGTAACCCGGTTTAATCGCGGCTCAGTCTATGTAAGTCCCATGGGTCTCTATGCGAGTGTATTGGTCTCTATGTGAGCCTATTTGTCTCTATGCGAGTCATTGGTGACTGGGCCGAGACCATCTCCTCCACTGCACTTAAGAACCCGGCTTAATAACAGGCGGCTGCCAGGATTCGAACCCAGGATCTCATCATCAGAGGTTTCCGGCTCAGCTCGCATCCTTAATTAAAGCACGACGTTTAATGACAGCAAACCGTGTGGTATGAACAGGATGCCTTGTGGATTTGCCCATTGCTCTATCCGCGTAAACACGCGCGCTCTGGGCAAATCAAAGCTCGTTGATTTGGAAGCAGAATTGTAAATAAATCGGGCCGTAGTTGGCATCAGTCAGAGGAGTCGTCGTACCTGTCAACCCACACGGTTTACTCCGTATTCTTGTACGGGTAATTTAGTTTTCAGGTCCATACGGCGTACAGCCGTTTCAATACGGGCAAATACATGTCTATTTGTAGGATAAACGTTGAGATTTATAAGGGGCAGGGGGTGACCAATAAGGTCTGAATTGGTCTGTAATAAGGTAGGGCACTGATAAAGGGTTGACAGGTATGGAAGAGAAGGCGAGGTTATATTTGAACAGCTGGAAATGTTTTCTGTCGTAGAGGGCGAGTTGACAGTAATCAAGAGTCAGAACAGAGACGGAAGCCTTCTTTATGGCCTTGTGTCACCAGTGTCAGATCAGAGAATGCCAAAAGTTGAACAGCACAAAGACAATGCCACTATCAGGGCAGTTATAGCTCGGGGTGAGCAGCTACAAAATGGCACCTTTTTGCCAGTATTAAAGTATGAAAATAATAGGTTTTACCCTTTCTGACAATAATACAGGTGTTAAAATGTTAAGAAGTAGTGTGTAGTGTATAGCTACACAGCTCATCGGCCCCATGTAAGTGCATAATTACAGCAGATTTGATTCAACAAAAGCAACACTCTCAGCCGGATTTGACACCGCGTGTCCCATCAGCATACCTGTCAACCCATATGTTTACCCCGTATCCTTGTACAGGGAAATTGAGTTTTCAGATCCATATGGCAAACAGCCATTTCAATGCGGGCCAAAACTTTTTTTTGTCTATTTGTGTTTCTCCCTTGTGATGGGACTTTGTAGGATGAACGTTGAGATTTATAAGGGGCACTGGGTGACCAAAAAGGTCTGAATTGGTCTGTAATAAGGTAGGGCACTGATAAGGGGGTTGACAGGTATGGAAGGGAAGGTGGGGTTATCCCTGAACAGCTGGAAAACATTTTCTGTCGTAGAGGGCAAGTTGACTAATCTATTAAATTATACTGCAGGAGGAATCTGATCAGCTATAAAGTATTTTTTTCTCACAGAAGTTGCTGTCCTTAATACGTCATCAACTGAACAAAAATCGGCTCTGATCCCACGGGACAGTTGTCAATTCCTGGTCTCTGACCTGAGTGGCCCATTTGAACAACGTGTTACGTTGCTCTCCCGGCCGTCCGTGCCCATGCTGGACATGCAAAAAAAGAGCTTTGTAGCTCGTAGAATTCTTGCAGTCTAAATCGAAGATTCTGAAAACACGCGCGATACTGCGTTGCCAGTAGTGCACGAGCACAACTCGCAAAAGATCTACACTCTCGTCAATAATTTCCGTAAAATGGGAAAATAAATGTCTCTTTTTTAACTAGGTTACATTTCGGCCAATGGCTTTCATCAAGTGAACAATGTCTTTCATTTAACAATTGCACACTGCTTTCCTTATCTAACGGCGGGTGTTTTTATTTAACCATGTGTCCAGTTAGGATGACAACGCACATTCGAGATGCATTCCATACTTATAAATATATGAATAGATATTTTATATATATATGTTTTCATTATTATTATGATCCCCCACCGATTGTTGTTCAATTCCTAATTTGTGGCAAATTTTTGTACATCTTTGTACTTTGCGTTATACTTTTACACTTTTATTAATTCTTGTAAAACCAGGGTGGTGGTTGAACACCTTGTGGTGGATGACCTGAAACGGTGAGCGTCTGGTAGAGACCGTGTCCTCAATATGGGTGGAGGAAGCAATGACTGGAAGTTCGTGGAAACAGTAAAATCAAGACAGTAGCGATAGCAGAGTGATAAGGAGGCCGACTGACTGGCAGTGAGCGGGCTGCTGGAGCGAATCGGTGAGTGCTGGATCATCAATCGAGCTGGCTGCTTTACGACCGAACAAGCATTCATTTTTGGTTGAAAAGGGTAGTTGTGGAATGAGCCCAGAGGTCCAAGAATGTGCTGGTGGATCCGCTTTAAATTATAAGCTGCCAAGAACTTGAAAGAAGCAAGCGTCCAGAAATATTTCCTGTCGGTTGTTCTGGTCACCGCTCGCTCCCGCGACATAGAGACGGAGAGGGGGGCGCTGGTTTACCCGATACGGGTTAAGTGGGTAAGAATGCTATGACACCACCGCCACCACCATGATAATGATGATGGCGGTGATGATGACGGCGGTAATGATGAAATGAACTCCCTAAACGGCACGTTGCGGAGTGGAGCTGGTCGCAGCCATGCCGAGACAGGGATGACCTGGTATTGAGAATGAGAAGAAGAAATATTGGTTAAATTTAAACGCCGACTGAGCTAAACCCGACGCATCCAGACTGCCCGTGTCAGGGCCGTGACCCCGTGTCAGGGCAACATGTGCCGGCAAGGTATGAGGGCCTGGGTTCGACCTCTGCGTCGCAGTAGTGGAATCTTCACCCACAAGTCCCCCTGAAGGCCTCTTAAGTTCCGGGGATGCAGGTATTCCCTGCGTTCCCAGGTCATAGAGGCTTCAGTCTCTGGGCGACCGAGCTGTTCGTTGTGTCGCAGCCCGCAGACCCTGGAACTCTCCCCCATGACATCTCAGGATCTCTCAGTCTGCAGCCATTTTTAAATACACGCCTAAAAATGCATCTGCACACTTCTATTTCGTCAACGTTTAGTTGAATTCGGCAAACGGCTTTGAGCATTCATTTTATTATCTTGCCACATCATTGTGTTTAGTTTTTTTAGTCGCTGTCATGCCGAGTGTCTGCTGCTGTGTCTTCTACAGTGCTTAGACATGCTTTCCCTGCCATAGGAATGTGGAATTTCAACGCTCTTGGGTCGGCATTGCCCGTGGCTCGTTTGAGTTGGGAGACACAAAATCTGAGTGTCGGCCGTGATTGCAAAAACGAGTTTGGGTGGGGGTAATCACGCATGATGCATGGATTCCATTCACGCTTTCCAACAGGGCACGTTTGTCCCCAGAAGTGTTTGACTAGCAGTAGAGCCTGACGAGACTGGTTGTTGTAATTACCGCCAAAACGTCGAATTGTAAATGTTGTAGTGGGTTTACTCTCCAACACACAACCGGTTAGTGCTGAACTAGTAACTAATTGTGCACGTTCTGTTTACGTGACAAACCTTACTGACTGGCTGTGTCGGGGTGGTGGCATATTTAACGACCACATTTATATACTTACGCGATCTAACCCTCCAAAAAACACCTCGTGGGTAATATTGGTCGCGAAAGCCTATTACGTGGGTTTAATTACACATTTATAATTGCGCGCTGTAACCCAAAAACCTCTTATGGATAATATTTGTCGCGAAAGCCTGCATATTAAACTAACAGTAAATAAGCGAGGGGAAAAAACACATCTCCACGTCCGAAATATTCCTTTAAACTACGGCTTGTGTCTCCGCGTTTTGTTGCAATGACCCTCGCTTCGGCACGTTTTAGTTTTTGACCGGGTTCAAGTCCCGCAGGGGCACCGCAGCTTCACCGCAGCTTCACGCTCGAGTTCCCCTCTCCCGCCCATGGGTCGTCTCTAAGAGAGTCACCCGTGACCCCCCCCCGCTACAGATGAGACCAGCAGCTAAAACAAAATCACCGAACCTCGCTCGCGTTTGATGACCGCGGTGCTTTCGTGGCCGTCATCTGGACAGGTCGCGTGCGGGGGACGTTGCGAGCCGGCGACGCGATGGCAGCCAGCGCCGGCCTGCGCCTACCGCCGCTGCCCACCATCGGCGAGATCATCCGCGTGTACAACCTGCGCGCGCAGAAGCAGCTCTCGCAGAACTTCCTGCTAAACCAGCGCCTGTCCGGTACACGACCCCCCCCCCACCAAGAAGGGGGTTAAACACGGACAGGGACCAATTGTGTGAGTGAGTGGGTGGATGAGTAATTGGGTGAGTGGATGATTGTGTGAGTGGGTGAGTGGATGAGTGAGTGGGTGGGTGAGTGGGTGATTGTGTGACTGAGTGGGTGATTGGGTGACTGTGTGAGTGGGTGAGTGGGTGATTGTGTAATTGGGTGAGTGGGTCATTGTGTAATTGGGTGAGTGGGTCATTGTGTGAGTGAGTGGGTGAATTAGTGGGTGATTGTAGGTGGGTGAGTGGGTAATTGTGTGTGTAAGTGGGCGATTGTGTGAGTGAGTGGGTGAGTGAGTGTGTGATTGGGTGATTGTGTGATTGGGTGAGTGGGTGATTGTGTGAGTGAGTGGTTATTGTGTGAGTGGGTGATTGTGTGAGTGGGTGATTGTGTGAGTGGGTGATTGTGTGACTGTGTGAGTGGGTGATTGGGTGAGTGGGTCATTGTGTAATTGGGTGAGTGGGTCATTGTGTGAGTGAGTGGGTGATTGTAGGTGGGTGAGTGGGTAATTGTGTGTGTAAGTGGGCGATTGTGTGAGTGAGTGGTTGAGTGAGTGTGTGATTGGGTGATTGTGTGAGTGGGTGATTGTATGAGTGAGTGGTGATTGTGTGAGTGATTGGTGATTGTGTGAGTGAGTGGTGATTGTGTGAGTGGGTGATTGTGTGAGTGGGTGATTGTGTGAGTGGGTGATTGTTTGAGTGGGTGATTGTATGAGTGGGTGATTGTGTGAGTGGGTGATTGTGTGAGTGGGTGATTGTGTGAGTGGGTAATTGTGTGAGTGAGTGAATGAGTGGGTGATTGTATTAGTAGGTGGGTGAGTGGGTGATTGTGTGGGTGGGTGATTGCGTGGGTGGGTGATTGCGTGGGTGGGTGATTGCGTGGGTGGGTGATTGCGTGGGTGGGTGATTGCGTGGGTGGGTGGGTGCGTGGATGGGTGAGTGGGTGGGTGGATGGGTGAGTGGGTGGGTGGATGGGTGAGTGGGTGGGTGGATGGGTGAGTGGGTGGGTGGATGGGTGAGTGGGTGGGTGGATGGGTGGGTGGGTGAGTGGATGGGTGGGTGGGTGAGTGGGTGGGTGGGTGAGTGAGTGGGTGGGTTGGTGGGTGAGTGGGTGGGTGAGTGAGTGGGTGGGTGGGTGAGTGGGTGGGTGGGTGAGTGAGTGGGTGGGTGAGTGAGTGGGTGGGTGGGTGAGTGAGTAGGTGGGTGGGTGGGTGAGTGGTGGGTGGGTGGGTGAGTGGGTGGGTGGGTGGGTGGGTGGTGGGTGAGTGGGTGGGCGGGTGGGTGAGTGGGTGGGTGAGTGGGTGGGTGAGTGGGTGGGTGGGTGAGTGGGTGGGTGAGTGGGTGGGTGGGTGGGTGAGTGGGTGGGTGGGTGAGTGGGTGGGTGGGTGGGTGAGTGGGTGAGTGGGTGGGTGAGTGAGTGAGTGGGTGAGTGTATAAGTAGGTGGGTGAGTGAGTGAGTGGGTGAGTGTATAAGTAGGTGGGTGAGTGTGTGGTTGCGTGAGTGGGTGGTTGCGTGAGTGTGTGGTTGCGTGAGTGGGTGGTTGCGTTAGTTGGTGGTTGCGTGAGTGGGTGGTTGCGTGAGTGGGTGGTTGCGTGAGTGGGTGGTTGCGTGAGTGGGTGGTTGCGTGAGTGGGTGGTTGCGTGAGTGGGTGGTTGCGTGAGTGGGTGGTTGCGTGAGTGGGTGAGTAATTAAGTGAGTTATTGGGTGATTGATTGGGTGAGTGGGCGGGTGGGTGGGTGTGCATCTGTGTGCATCTGTGTGCCTGGTTAAATGTATATGTTTGGACAATGAAACTAGGAGTTTACTGTGTTTGCTCATGGGTAGGTATATGAGGGAGATTACATTTCTGTAAATAATCCACTTAATGTAACACCAAAATGAGCTGCGATAATCGCCATTTCAACAACGTTTTTGCCAAACAAGGCCGCTGCGTCTATCGTGGCGCGTTTCCGGTCTGCGTGCGTTTCCCCACTCCCCCTCGTGCCTCGACGTGCACCCCAGCCCCGGGTGGAGTGTGGGTCAGCAACCAAAACAACAACAAGAGGCTTTTTCAACGGTTTTATTTAACTTGATTCCTCTGTTTGTCGTAGTCAAATCTTGTAATCAAAATTTCGTCCTCTTCCCGGTGTCCAATCAATTCCACATTTTGCACATGTACTCAGATCCGGTGACAATGCATGCCTGTAATTCGCTACTTTAAAACAATTTACATTTCTTATGGAATAGAAGCCGGAGGTTCTTAATAAATAACGGTCACGAAGCCGGTCACTTAAAGAGCCGCATGCGGCCGCGGTGCCGCAGGTTGCCGACCTCTGGTCAAAAGGCCGACGATATAGGACGACAGAGCTTGGGCAGTTGTTGGCGCCGGTTCTGGCTGCCTTTTTGCTCACTCGCCCATCTGCTTTTCCGCGCCTCTGTGCCAAAACTGCCCATTACAATTTCTGCTGCGGTGTTTTAATCTGTGATTGGTGTGAACGACTCTTTACATTTAAATAATGATTACTATTATTCCCTAGCGTGGCACAAATGCTGTGCTGACATCAATGTGGTGTGCCTGCTGCTCCTGCTGCTCCTGCTGCTGCTGTGACTGCTGCTGCTCCACTGCTGCCACTGCTGCTGCTACTGCTGATCTGCTGCTGCTGTTTCTGCCACTGCTGTTGCTGCTCTGTCTACTGCTGTTGCTATGACTGATGATGCTGCTCCCAATGCTGTGGCTGCCGGTGCTACTGCTGCTCTCTTTGCTGCTGCTGCTGATTTTCTGCTGCTGTTTCTGCCTCTGCTACTGTTCTGTCTACTGCTGCTGCTGTGACTGCTGCTGCTGCTGTGACTGCTGTTGCTGTGTCTGCTGCTCTGTCTGCTGCTGCTGCGATTGCTGCGGCCACTGCTGCCGCCGCTGCCGCTCAAAAACAGACAAGATCGTGCGGCAGTCGGGCTCGCTGCGCGACGCCTACGTGTGCGAGGTGGGTCCCGGCCCGGGCAGCCTCACCCGCGCCATCCTGGAGCGTGGCGCCGCCCGCGTCCTGGCCATCGAGAAGGACCCTCGCTTCCTGCCAAGCCTGCGGGTGAGCGAGCCGTTGGGGGCGGGGGGGACGGGCGGGGCAATGGATTGCACAGGGATGGGAGTCGGCGACGAGTGGAGCTGTGGACCAAGAAGCGGCGCCTCCTTGGTGGGCGAACCTCGTCGTCGTCGTTGTTGTTGAACGGACACAACAGGAGGATTTCTCTACAAATGTTGCTGTCGCCTGATGATGCCGGTTGTAATTCTTGGCGAAACGTCGTGCTCAGATTGTAAAAGTTGTGGCTTTGCTCTCCAACACACTACTGGTGTGCTGTACTCTTAACCAATTGGCATGTTCTGTTCACGTGACAAACCGTACTAATTAGCTGTGTCAGGTGGTGGCAGATTTAACGACACATTTATATATTTACGCACTCTAACCCCCAAAAAAAACTGGCAGGCTCACGGGCAGTGTGGCGAACGTAGAACTGTGACTTGGGAGAGTCTCAAGACTCTTTTGCATACCGTGTCAACCCGTACGGTTTACCCTGTATTCTTGTACAGGGAAATTGAGTAAATGGAGACCCATAGAGATACATAGAGATACATCGAGACCCACAGAGATACATAGGGACCTACAGAGATACATAAAGTCCCATAGAGATACATAGATATTGCATACCTGTCAACCCATACAGTTTACCCCGTATTCTTGTACAGGGAAATTGAGTTTTCACGTCCATACGGCATACAGCCGTTTCAATATGGGCAACACAAATATTTTTGGCAATGTGTTTGTAGTTCTCCCTTGTGATGGGACTTTGTAGGATGAACGTTGACATTTATAAGAGCATGGGGTGACCAATAAGGTCTGAATTGCCCTGTAATAAGGTAGGGCACTGATAAGGGGTTGACAGGTTTGCTTATATTGGTGGGTGGGGGTTGGGGAGAGGGGGGTTACTGCCCAAGTGTTTGCAGTAGGGGGCGGTGTTTATCAGGGCCAAAGTGACTCCGACATGAGATGTTAACTCCCTCGCCTGGTATACAGGAGGTCGAGGGTTCGATCCCGACCCTGACACCTGCTGTATATTTGGAGTGTGTGTGTCTCTCTCTCTCCCCTTGGTTGCGTGGATATTTATCCAGGTCCGCTGGTTTTTCCCTCCACATTTAGAAACATGCTTTTAGAGTATTTGGCTGCTATAAATGTCCACATGATAAGCCATTTTGTTGAGCTATCATTTGTGGCCAGGTTGCTTCTGAAAAACGCTATTTAGCTCAGTGGGCCTTACTTGGTAAAGTAAAAATAGTTTATATTCGTAAATGTACGTTGGCCTTCTTCCGCACCGTACGTAGCCAACCGTGCTAATTGTAGGATGGCCGAGTGTGTGGGTGAGTGACTATGTGAGTCTATGTGTGTACGTTGAACTTATTTTGCACCATACGTAGCCAGACGTGCTAATCGGAGGTTCAGGGGAAGGACAACAAACTAAACACAAAAAGCAGTTCTGAAGAAATTCACCTCCTTATAGAGTTACACCCAGAATTATGGCTCAAAACTACTCTCCCTGACCAAACCATTGAGACGTACAGACACCCAGACCTAGGGCTTGAACCTCTGCTCTCAGGAGCTCTGGTTTGGTATGTGCGTTGAACTTGTTTCGCACCGTATGTAGCCAACCATGATAATCACAGGATGGCTGAATGTGTGTAGTAACCAACCGTGCTTACATAGTCACTTACACACACACACATCCTCAGATTAGCACGGTTGGTTCAACAGTAGTACATGTACAAAGACGGTCACCGCGTCGCGTGCTTTCAGATGCACTTCTGCGGCCCTCACGAACGCTCTTCCGATATTAGGAAGCCACTGAAGCTTTGCACTTTTACATCATCATCTAGATTGAAAACTTTTTTTTACTGTTTTTAGTGTTTAGTTTGTTGTCCTTCCCCTCGCACCTCCGATAAGCGCTGTTGGCTACGTACGGTGCGAATCGAAGTTCAACGTACACACAGACATACATCGTCATCCATGTTGGCCGTGACCGGCTGCTGCTGTGCCTCTCCTCGGTTGCTGATCGTCGACACTGTTGCCGTGTACCGCTTTTTTCCCCCGTGTGTTTCCTCCGCATGTTTCCCCCGTGTGTTTCCTCTCCTCAGCTGCTGTCGGAGGCGGCTCCCGGGCGGATGGAGGTGGTGTTGGGGGACGTCCTCACATACCCCCTGGACAACTCCTTCCCAGAGTCCCTGAGATGCAGATGGGATGAGGGTGAGACGAAACGGGGACCGTGGGAGAAACGGAAGGAGACGAGTGAGGGGGGGGAAAAGAGACACAGGAAGGAACGGGGAGGAACAGGGAGACACGGGAAGGAACGGGGAGAGACGGGAAGGAACGGGAAGACACGGGGAGACACGGGGAGGAATGGGGAGACACGGGAAGGAACAGGGAGAGACGGGAAGGAACGGGGAGGAACAGGGAGACACAGGAAGGAACAGGGAGACACGGGGAGACATGGGAAGGAACGGGGAGAGACGGGAAGGAACGGGGAGGAACAGGGAGACACAGGAAGGAACAGGGAGACACGGGGAGACACGGGGAGACATGGGAAGGAACGGGGAGAGACGGGAAGGAACGGGGAGACACGGGTAGACACGGGGACGAACGGGGAGACACGAGAAGGAACGGGGAGACACGGGGAGACACGGGGAGGAACGGGGAGACACGAGAAGGAACGGGGAGACACGGGGAGACACGGGGAGGAACGGGGAGACACGGGGAGGAACGGGAGACACGGGGAGGAACGGGGAGACTCGGAAAGGTACAGGGAGACACGGGGAGACACGGGGAGGAACGGGGAGACACGGGGAGGAACGGGAAGACACGGGGAGGAACGGGGAGACACGGGAAGGAATGGGGAGACACGGGAAGGAACGGTGGGTGGGTGTCTTCTTGAGACCTGCATTGTGGTGAGTGGGTGAGTGAGTATGTTGTTGTGACCTGCAGTGTGGTGAGTGGGTGGGTGAGTGAATGTGTGTTGTGACCTGCAGTGTAGTGAGTGAGTGAGGAGTTGTGATCTGCAGTGTGGTGAGTGGGTGGGTGAATGAATGTGTGTTGTGACCTGCAGTGTGATGGTTGAACACACCACGGTATAGACGGGGCTAAACAGTCAGTGTCTGGTCGACCGAGTCCTCAACACGGAATCGGTGAGCCAAGTTAACAGGAACAGTAGCCATGGTAGTAGCATGGTAGTAGCGCTAGAAGAGTGATTGGGAGGCAACTGACCGCCGGTGAATGAGCGAGTGGAGTGAATCAGTGCTGGATCATCAGTCATCACCCCGACTCCTGCTGCCGCTTCACTCCGAATCCTCTTCGGTGAAACAGTGAGGAGGGAGCTGGGTGCTCCACCCCACGTGGCAGCAGCAGCAGCAGCGGGAGTCCAACCATGGTCGAGTCCGTGCCGTGCCCAGCAGCAGCAGTAACAGATTACGAGGTGTGAATGAGGCTTCGGCATGGAGCACAAATGTAGCTTCTTTGGTGGTGGGGAACAGAAGTGTGCGAGGGTGGTGGTGGTGGTGGCGGCACACGAGATGTGAAGACAGCTTCCCCCTCTCTCTCTCCTACCTATCTCCCTCCCTCCTCTCTCCCCACTCTCTCCCAACTCTCTCCCCACTACTCCCCCTCTATCCTCCCTCTCTCCCCCCTCTCTCCCCCCTCTCTCCCTCCTCTACTCACCCCTCTCCTCACCCCTCTCTCACCCCTCTCTCACCCCTCTCTCACCCCTCCCTCCCCCCTCTCTCCCCCCTCTCTCCCCCCTCTCTCCCCCCTCTCTCCCCCCTCTCTCCCCCCCTCTCTCTTGTGCTGCACTCTTGACTTGGGCGTCTCAGTGGCTAGGAGATGTTACCTCCCTCGCCTGGTATACAGGAGGTCGTGGATTCGATCCCGACCCTGACGCCCGCTGCTGTATATTTAGAGTTTGCGTGTCTCTCTCCCCGTGGTTGCGTGGATTTTTCTCCGGTTCCTCCAGTTTTTCTCTCATTTATGAATTTGCACGCGTTGAGAGTATTTGGCTGCTATATATGTCAACGTGATAAGCCACTTCGTTGAGCTATCATTTATGATGGCCATGTGGCGTCTGAAATAGCTATGTAGCTCAGTGGGCCTTACCTGGTAAAATAATACAATTAGTTTAAGCAGCAACTTGCAAATGTGATTTCCAACTTTAATCCTTGCCCCCTTATCGATAGGTAAAGTTTAATGTCCAATTTAATTAAGGGACTACTGTGTGGTGTTGTCTTGGTGTGGGTCTCTTGTTGTTGTTTGGCTACCTTGCCCATGCTTTGACAAATCAGCAGGAATGTATCGTGCAATTTGCACCTCGTATACTTTCTATATATTAGAGTGACTCGCTTTGCCTTTTATAATATGTTGCACTCCTATGGTGTTGTATTGTTTTTAACGTTCTGACCCCCTTGTGCCCCCTTGCTTGACATCCGTGATGATTAAACAAAGAGCCTCATAGCTCACCAGGAGATTCTGCCCTCCTCCTGGGCCGAGAGAAAGATTCTGCTCCTCTGACTTTGCTCGGCCGAAATGTTAGTCGGGCAACTCGATCCGATCGACTCTTTAAATCCTTAATAACAATAGGTTTTACCCCTTTCACGGAATCCTGTCTGCATTAACCATACGTACTTGTGGTGATCCTGCAAACAAAAAACATGCTCTGATAATATATGATGCATTGTCTTTGAAACTGATTGGCCCACACCATAGACAGCTTTCTTTTAAATCCTCAAACTTTTAAACCCTCAAACTTTGATTCCCCGACGGACTTAGAATCCCCCCTACTCCATTAGAAACGTGCGTTTAGATTATTTTTGGATGCTGTAAATTTCCACTCGACGATACGCCACTTCATTGATCTGTCATTGGGGATCGCCAGGTTGCTTCTGAAAAATAAACTTAATAGCTCAGTAGGGCTTTTCCCGGAAAATAAAGTTTAGTTTAATTTGCATTTCTATTTTTTAAGTGACTCGCTTACCTTTGCTATACCTTCCACTGATCCTATCGTGTTTGTTTTGCATTGTCGGTTCTTGCAAACTCGCTGACCCCATGGAGAGCTTCTGTAGCTCATGAGGACATGCACTGCTCCTCCTCCCGGCCCAGAGAAAAAAAATTCCGATCCTCCGACTTTTCCCAGATCCTCCCAACATCCACATCATCGGCAACCTGCCCTTCAGCGTCTCCACCGCGCTCGTCATCGATTGGCTCGAGTGCATGGCCAATCGCAGTGGGCCCTTCTCCTACGGCAGGACCCGACTCACGCTCACCTTCCAGAAAGAAGTGGCCGAGGTGGGGAGCTCCCTGGTTCTGAGTGACTGTTTTTTTAAAAATAGTTTTTAAATTGTATGTTTTTTTATATTCTTGGTTCTTTTGGCATTTGTTCAGAAAAAAAATTCTTTACCTGTGGTTTTCACACCTGATGATGATTGCGTGTGTTGCTGTCGAAACGTCGTGAGAATTTTAATGTTTTATATTTTTATTATTTTATTGTTTCCCTTCTACGTGACTTTACCGAAAGAACCAATAATATGAATCCCTGCAGTCACGAAAGCTTTAAATCAAAATGTATGTTTTTTATTGTTTTTATTTTTACGTCAGCGAAACAACTCGCAAGCCCGTCACAAACGCATCGCGGGCTTCATAGTTGTAACATGTATGCTTCTATGTTAGCCGGCGTGCAGCCTGTAAGTTCTGCGAGGTCTGCGGATGCCTTCCGTGGGGCGTTATGAGGGTTGGAGTAGGTGTACGTCTGACATGGGGACGGGGGCATTTGTTCAGTTGCGTTTATTCAGCGTCTGGCAACGTCTAGAGCAGTGGTTCTTAACCTGGGTTCGATCGAACCCCAGGGGTTCGGTGAGTCGATCTCAGGGGTTCGGCAGAGCCCCCGCCACGGAGGTCCGGACACACTTGAATTATTGTGTAAATTTGTGATGACACACACGGCCCGCTTGGCCATCACTGGCTGCAGATGATCATGCTACACTGCTTGGCCAATCAGCGCTGCGGGGAATTTAGTGCGTACTCAGTAGTCAACGTGTGACTGTTGTTGTCGTACGTCGTGTGATTTCTTTAATATTTTATCCATACTAACTATGTCGGGCAAAAGAAGAAAGTGGTCGGACGAATATGTACAACATGGATTCTCATGTATCACGGAACGTGATGGGAGTGAGCGTCCTATCTGCATGATTTGCAACGCCAAGTTGAGCAACTCTAGTCTTGCACCGGCAAAACTAAAGGAACACTTCTTGAAGCTGCATGGAGACGGGGAATACAAGAACACAACACTTGCTGAATTCAGGGTGAAGAGAGCCAGATTCGATGAAAGGGCCACTCTGCCTGCTCTTGGATTTGTACCTGTTAACAAACCGATCCTGACAGCATCGTACGAAGTTGCTTACCTGATCGCAAAGCAGGGCAAGCCACACACCATTGGTGAAACACTTGTGAAACCAGCTGCATTAAAGATGGCGAATCTGATACTCGGAACAGCGGCCGAAGGTAAATTATCCCAAATTCCCCTTTCAAATGACACTGTCAGTGACAGAATAGAAGACATGAGTAAAGACATCTTGGCTCAAGTAGTCGCGGATCTGATTTCAAGCCCGGCAAAATTCAGCCTTCAACTCGACGAAACCACAGACGTTTCTGATCTAAGCCAGCTTGCTGTTTTTGTACGCTATGTGAAAGATGACATGATAAAAGAAGAGTTTTTATTTTGTAAGCCTCTTACAACAACAACGAAGGCAGCCGATGTGAAGAAGCTTGTGGATGACTTCTTCAGAGACAACAATCTTTCATGGGATATGGTTTCTGCAGTTTGTACGGACGGAGCTCCAGTCATGCTGGGAAGAAAGTCTGGTTTTGGTGCGCTAGTAAAGGCCGATGCACCACACATCATTGTGACGCATTGTATTCTGCACAGGCATGCGTTGGCAACAAAAACCTTACCTCCAAAAATGGCAGAAGTATTAAAAACTGTGGTGGAATGTGTGAACTATGTGCGAAAAAGTGCTCTGAGGCACCGCATCTTCAGTGAGCTGTGTAAAGAAATGGGCTCTGAATTTGAGGTACTTCTGCTCCATTCTAATATTCGGTGGTTATCCCGGGGACAGGTTCTGAATCGTGTTTTTGCCATGCGTGTGGAATTAGCCCTGTTTTTGCAAGAGCACCAACACTGCCATGCAGATTGCTTCAAAAATCCTGAGTTCATTCTCATTTAGCGTACATGGCTGATATATTCGCAGCTCTCAATCATCTCAATCAGCAGATGCAGGGTGGTGGAGTCAATATCATGGAAGCAGAAGAACACCTGAAGGCTTTTAAAAAAAAGCTACCGTTATGGAAACGACGAACAGAGAACAATAACTTCGCAAACTTCCCGCTTCTGGACGACTGTGCAAGAAAGATCGAAGATGTGTCTGGAATCGGAGATATTTCTGTATCCACGGAACTGAAGCAAACAATTGCCACGCACTTAGATGAGCTTGCAAAGTCTCTCGACGGATATTTCCCTACAAGAGAGTCATATCCAGCATAGGTGAGACAGCCGTTCACGTTTGCTGTTGAAACAGCAGATGTCAATGATGAATTCCTCGACGAAATCATTGAAATTCAGCAGAGCCAGGTTCAACAGCAACTCTTCAGAACAACAACGCTCTCAACGTTTTGGTGTCGACAAATGAACAAGTATCCAGTTATTGCTAAGAAAGCCCTCGATTTTTTTATACCATTTGTTACAACATATCTTTGTGAGCAATCCTTTTCGAGGATGCTGGACATAAAAACGAAGAAAAGGAACAGACTTTGCTGTGAAAATGACATGAGAGTGGCACTTGCCAAGGTGAAGCCACGCATATCTGAACTGATCTCTCAAAGGCAACAGCAGAAGTCACATTGATTTCCAGGTATGTAATTTGTTGTGAGTTTATGCATTGTGTTGGTTTTATTCTTTGAACAAGGTAATGTTCATGCACGGCTCATTTTGTGTACCAGTAAAAAACATATCTATGTCTTGAATTTGAAAAAAATCACATTTTATTTTTCACTAAAGAGGGGTTCGGTGAATGCGCATATGAAACTGGTGGGGTTCGGTACCTCCAACAAGGTTAAGAACCACTGGTCTAGAGTCTGCGCGAATTCCACGCTGTCCTCTGGGGAGCGTTTGCCTTTCCTTTGGCTGCCGTTCCCGCAGCAGTGCCGCCCATCGGCCATCATCCCCTTCTCACCGTGATGGCATCTTGTCTAAGCCCACTTGCCTTTCTTCATCATCCATGTGACCGCCTCTAATTTGCATGGGGTGGTGAGGGAGCGGGCGCGGTGACAAGGAGATGTTAACTCCTTCACCTGGTATGCAGGAGGTCATGGGTTCGATCCCGACCCTGACGATACCTGCTGCTGTATATTTGGAGTTTGCATTTTTCTCTCTCGTCATGATTACGGTGTCTAGGCGATGTTATCTACCTTACCTGGTATGCAGGAGGTCGTAGGTTCGATCCCGAATCTGACGACGCCTGCTGTATGTTTTGAGTTTGCGATGTGTCTCTCTCCCCGTGGTCGCGTAGATTTTTCTCCGGGTCCTCCGGTTTTCACCTCCGCATTTAGAATCAACATCACACTTTGAGAGTATTTGGCTGCTATGAATTTCCACGTGATGATGATAAGCCGCTTGGTTGAGCTTTCATTTGTGATAGCCAGGTCTTTTCTGAAAAAGAGCTAAACAGCTCAATGGGGCCTTACCTGGCAAAATAAAAAATAGTTAAAAATATAGTTTTGTATAGCATGTGATCCCTGATCCATTTCGTCTCTCAGCGCCAGTCCAACACTGCTGGAGCTAAGCTGCTGTTAGCCAGCGCCTGGTAAGAGTGGCACAGCGCGCGAAGGTGGCGTGGTGTGGTGTGGTCGCCACGCCCCCGGGCCGCCCCTTGTTGTCTCCGAACAGAATCGGTCGCCGTGGCATCGCGGGGGACCGCCGCAAGGGACACGCATCGGCGTAGGGCGGACCTTAAGTCCGGCAGTGGATAGAGCGTGGCCGATGACGTGCGTGCGTGCGTCTACGCGTGTTGCATGCGTGGGGCGAGGTCGGTGGCGTGGCAGCTTGGCACGCTGCGCTCCGAACCATGGTGACCCGAGTTCGCCGGCAAATATCTCAACGGGTCCTGGACCTCCCCTAGGTCCCCTCGGCCTTTCATGAGTACCTGGTGCACGCGGTGTGTAAACATCGCCACCGGGGAGACGAAGGAGGCCGAGCGCGGTGCTGGCCACCCATCCCCATTAGCGAGAAGCGCTGTTAGCTGCTTCTCGCTAACAGCGCTTGCCCCGACGGTCTGTTAAGGCTACACGGGGGGGGGACCTTTGTATTTGTGTGTTGCGCACAGCGGCTGGTGGCGAGCGTGCACAGCAGCCAGCGCTGCCGCCTGTCGGTGATGGCGCAGAGCCTGAGCTCGGTGAAGCTGCGCTTCATCATCCCTGGCAGCGCGTTCATCCCCGTGCCCAAGGTGAGCCCCTGGCTCCCCAGTTCCTGCTTATCGTCGTCGTCGACGACATCAACACCATCAAACTCGTAGTCGTCGTCATTATCGTCATGATTGTCATCATCATTGTCGTCATCGTTATCGTTGTCATCATCGTCGTCGTTGTCATCGTCATCGTTGTCATCGTCATCGTTGTGATCGTCATCTTAGACCAGGGGTCGGCAACCAAAATAACAGAGGAGCCATTTAGAGAAAAAGAACCTCAACATTTCAAGAGCTGCGATGCGATGTGGTGAATACGAGACGACGGTCCTTTAAAAATAACGGCAACCAGCGAACCCTTAAAGAGCCGCGCGCGGCTCCGGCGCCGCAGGTTACCCGACCCCCTGGCCTAGACTCTCGCCCAGGTCCGGACAAACCCTACTGCTGTGCCAATGACAGAGACAATTTGCACACACCGCACCCGGCCTCTTTGTGTGCACTATGCAAAAGCCATCGGCAGTTCCTGACGACCCCAGTGCATCGATTAGCACGGTTGGCTACGTACGGTGCGAAATAATTTCAACATGCATGTGTTAAGGAACTGCTGATGGTTTTCCATAATGCACAAAGGCCAAGTGCTTTCTGTGTGGAGTTTTGTGAGTTCTCTCCTCTCTCTCTGTCGCTCCCTGTTCTGCGTGGGTCTCCTCTCGGTTCTTCTGTTTGCTGTCGTCAGCAATTGTAAATGTTGCAGTGGGTTTACTCTCCAAGACACCAGTGTGCTGAATTGGTAACTAATTGGCACGTTTTGTTTACGTAACAAACCTTACTGATTGGCTGTGCCGGGTGGAGGCATGGTAATGACACGTTTTACGATCTAACCCAAAAGCCCTTTTTCATGAATATTATGAAAATTACCTGGCAATCCCTGAATAGGGATCAAAAACAAAGATCCCCCGTATAGCCTGTAACAGACTGTTGAGGCAAGTGCTGTTAGCGAGCACCTTTGAAGGCCGGCACGGCCCACGAGGAGGTGGGCGGCTGCCTTTGCCTCCCCTTTGGCGATGTTTACACACCGCACCAGGTACTCAGTTGAGGCTGAGTCGACCTCGGGGAGGCCCATGGCCATTTCAGAAAATCGTCACTGGTGTTGGCTGTGAGCGGGAACCGAACTCGGGTTGCCGGGTTCGTAGCGCAGCGCGCCAACAACTACACCACCGCTCCCCCGATCACACACACACGTGCGCAGCATCAACATCGCCCCCCCCCCCCCCCCCGCTAATGTGACAAACTTGCCAGGGACCCTCCTGTGAAAGGAAGGGTAGCGAGGTTTGGAGAGGCCTTCCCAGGTGAACGCTCGTAGCAGCAGCAGCGATGTCGCTGGCGCCGTGCCGCATGTGAACTGACGGGCGGTCCCCCCCCTCAACCCCTCTGCCGCCCCCCCCACTCCCCACCCCCAGGTGGACGTGGGGGTGGTGACACTGGAGCCGCTGGTGACCCCGCGCATCCAGCAGCCGTTCCCGCTCGTGGAGAAGGTCGTGCGCAGCCTCTTCCAGTTTCCGCAGGAAGTACTGCCTGCGTGGCGTCGAGTGAGTGACAGGAAGTTCTGCCTGCGTGGTGTCTAGTGAGTAGCAGGAAGTACTGTCTGTGTGGTGTCTAGTAGCAGGAAGTACTGCCTGTGTGGTGTCTAGTGAGTAGCAGGAAGTACTGCCTGTGTGGTGTCTAGTAGCAGGAAGTACTGCCTGCGTGGTGTCTAGTGAGTGGCAGGAAGTACTGTCTGTGTGGTGTCTAGTGAGTAGCAGGAAGTACTGTCTGTGTGGTGTCTAGTAGCAGGAAGTACTGCCTGTGTGGTGTCTAGTGAGTAGCAGGAAGTACTGCCTGTGTGGTGTCTAGTAGCAGGAAGTACTGCCTGTGTGGTGTCTAGTGAGTAGCAGGAAGTACTGCCTGCGTGGTGTCTAGTAGCAGGAAGTACTGCCTGTGTGGTGTCTAGTGAGGGGCAGGTAGTACTGCCTGCGTGGCGTCGAGTGAGTGGCAGGAAGTACTGTCTGTGTGGTGTCTAGTGAGTTGCAGGAAGTACTGCCTGTGTGGTGTCTAGTGAGTGGCAGGAAGTACTGTCTGTGTGGTGTCTAGTGAGTAGCAGGAAGTACTGCCTGTGTGGTGTCTAGTGAGTTGCAGGAAGTACTGCCTGTGTGGTGTCTAGTGAGTGGCAGAAAGTACTGCCTGTGTGGTGTCTAGTAGCAGGAAGTACTGCCTGTGTGGTGTCTAGTAGCAGGAAGTACTGCCTGTGTGGTGTCTAGTAGCAGGAAGTACTGCCTGTGTAGTGTCTAGTGAGTAGCAGGAAGTACTGCCTGTGTAGTGTCTAGTGAGTGGCAGGAAGTACTGCCTGTGTGGTGTCTAGTGAGTGACAGGAAGTACTGCCTGTGTGGTGTCTAGTAGCAGGAAGTACTGCCTGTGTGGTGTCTAGTAGCAGGAAGTACTGCCTGTGTGGTGTCTAGTAGCAGGAAGTACTGCCTGTGTGGTGTCTAGTAGCAGGAAGTACTGCCTGTGTGGTGTCTAGTAGCAGGAAGTACTGCCTGTGTGGTGTCTAGTGAGTAGCAGGAAGTACTGCCTGTGTGGTGTCTAGTGAGTAGCAGGAAGTACTGCCTGTGTAGTGTCTAGTAGCAGGAAGTACTGCCTGTGTGGTGTCTAGTAGGCAGGAAGTACTGCCTGTGTGGTGTCTAGTAGGCAGGAAGTACTGCCTGTGTGGTGTCTAGTGAGTAGCAGGAAGTACTGCCTGTTGTAGTGTCTAGTGAGTGGCAGGAAGTACTGCCTGCGTGGTGTCTAGTAGTGCAGGAAGTACTGCCTGTGTGGTGTCTAGTGAGTGGCAGGAAGTATTGCTTGTGTGGTGTCTAGTGAGTGACAGGAAGTACTGCTTGTGTGGTGTCTAGTGAGTTGCAGGAAGTACTGCCTGTGTGATGTCTAGTGAGTGACAGGAAGTACTGCCTGTGTGGTGTTTAGTGAGTTGCAGGAAGTACTGCCTGTGTGGTGTCTAGTGAGTGACAGAAAGTACTGCCTGTGTGGTGTCTGTGAGTGGCAGGAAGTACTGCCTGTGTGGTGTCTAGTGAGTAGCAGGAAGTACTGCCTGTGTGGTGTCTAGTGAGTGACAGGAAGTACTGCCTGTGTGGTGTTTAGTGAGTTGCAGGAAGTACTGCCTGTGTGGTGTCTAGTGAGTGACAGAAAGTACTGCCTTGTGGTTCTAGTGAGTGACAGGAAGTACTGCCTGTGTGGTGTCTATGTGAGTGGCAGGAAGTACTGCCTGTGTGGTGTCTAGTGAGTTGCAGGAAGTACTGCTTGTGTGGTGTCTAGTGAGTTGCAGGAAGTACTGCCTGTGTGGTGTCTAGTGAGTTGCAGGAAGTACTGCTTGTGTGGTGTCTAGTGAGTTGCAGGAAGTACTGCCTGTGTGGTGTCTAGTGAGGGGCAGGAAGTACTGCTTGTGTGGTGTCTAGTGAGTTGCAGGAAGTACTGCCTGTGTGGTGTCTAGTGAGTGGCAGGAAGTACTGCCTGCGTAGCGTCGAGTGAGGGGCAGGAAGTACTGCCTGTGCGGTGTCTAGTGAGTGGCAGGAAGTACTGCCTGTGTGGTGTCTAGTGAGTGGCAGGAAGTACTGCCTGTGTGGTGTCTAGTGAGTGGCAGGAAGTACTGCCTGTGTGATGTCTAGTGAGTAGCAGGAAATACTGCCTGCGTGGTGTCTAGTGAGTGACAGCGGCGCTCCGGCTAACTCCGATAATGATAAGTTACTTTTTTATGCATCTATGTATTTTGAACTTCTTTCGCACTGTACGTAGCCAACCGTGGTCATCGGAGAAATGGGTGTGTAGGTGAGTGACTGTGAGTCTGTTTTGAATTTTTTTTCGCACCGTACATAGCCAACTGTGTTAATCGGAGGTGCCGTGGGGGAAGGACAAACTACACTCAAAAGGCAGTTCTAAAGAAATTAGTTTGTCAACCTCGATGAGCGTTCCAGACTGCCACAGAAACGCGTCTTGAGAACGCCACGCGACGATGCGGTGACCACCACCTTCTCCCCCTCCCCCCGCCAGGCTGCTGTTCCCGCAGGCTGAGCGCCTGTCTCTGTCCCAGCGCATGCTGCGCGAGGGGGACGTGAGCCCGGTGCAGAGGCCAGCGGAGCTGAGCGTGCGCAGCGTGGGGCGGCTCTGCGGTGCCTACGCTGCCCTCTGCTTGGAGCGTCCCTCGCTCGCGGCCTACGATTACCGCCTGGAGCTGCGGGACGCGCGGCTACGATCGCTAGCGCGCCGCCGCGGGGGGTTGGAGGGGGGAGAAGAGGAGGAGGGGGAGGACAGGAAGAGGAAGGATGCAGATGACCGTAGCAGGAGCAGCAGCGGTAACAGTGGCAGCAGTAGTAGTTGAAGCAACAGCAGCAGTGGTAACAACAGTGGTAGTAGTTGAAGCAGCAACAACAGCAGCAGCTTCCAAGAGGAGCAGGAGCATCACAGGCAGCAGCATTAGTAGTAGCCATAGCAATAGCAACAGCAGCAGATGGAGCAGCAACTTCCAACAGGAGCAGCAGCAGCAGCAGCACCAACAACACGGATAGCATCAGCAGTAGTAGTCATAGCAACAGCAGCAACAGCTGAAGCAGCAACAGCAGTGGTGGCAGCAGCATTAATGGCACCAGCTGCAATAACGGAACCAGTAGTGGCGAAGACAACTTAATTTGAACAGGTTGGGTGATTGTGGTCATCATCACCATTAAGGATAAAGATCCCCCGTATAACCTTAACAGACTGTTGGGGCAAGTGCTGTTAGCGGGTAGCACCTGTGAAAGGCTGCCACGGCACACGAGGAGGTGGGTGGCCAGCACCACACCTGACCATTTTCCCAGTGGCGATGTTTACACACCGCACCAGCTACTAATTTGAGGCTGAGTAGACCTAGAGGATGCCCAGGACCAGTTCAGATAATTGCTATCACTGGTGTTGGCCTTGAGCGGGATTCTAACCCGGGGCACTGGGTTCGTAGCGCAGCACACTCACCGCTACACTACCGCTCCCCATCACCACCACCACCACTGTCATCACCGCCAACAATCATCAACACCATCACCACCACTGCCGCCACCATCACCAGTCACCAACATTATCATCACTGTCATCACCACCATCAACAGCGTCACAAAAATATAAAATCAGCTTTAATCGGTGTATGTTTTGTACATATATGTAGATATTAAAGCCTGTATTTACATCAACACCGATCCAGAGTCCAGAGTCTCTCCTCTCTGGCCCTCGCGGTTTTTGCACGGGCAACATTGAAGCCTCATCAGCGGATGAAGGCCTCCAAATGGCGTCACCATCACGATCATTCCCTGCGACAGTCCACGTTGCCACCTGCACAACGACCCGTTCGCGCCATCGCCACCATCCACTGCAGCGGACTTCCTCTTGGTCAGTTGAACACCTCGTAAGGAGGCTTTCGCGACCAATATCCACAGAGTTTTTTTTCGTTTGGGTTAGACCACGTAAATATAAATGCGTCGTTAAACCCGCCACCACCCGACAGCCAATCACTAAGGTTCGTCACGTAAACAAAAACGTGCCGATTAGCGACTAGTTCAGCACTAACCGGTTGTTGTGTGTTGGAGAGTAAACCCACAACAACGTTTAAAATTGGAGTACCGTGACGTTTTGCCAGTAATTACAATCGGCATGGTCAGGCGACAGCCACGAGCTGTGGAGAGATCCTCCTCCCTGTTTTGGTCTTTGGCCGTGCTCCGTACTTCGGCCGCCACTCCCGACTTGAGCCACGACCCGCCCCTCCCCCGACCCCCCGGCCGACCCCCCGGCCGACCGTCGTCCCCCCTGGCCGCGATGCGTCCTTCCCAGGTCTCCTTCCCTTCACAGTCGCGTAAATCTCTTCGCTTTCAACGAGCTGCTACGAACCGGGGAACCCTCGGCCAAACTCGAGAGCGCTGCACCAAAACGGCCTCCACCGAACCCCCCCCCCCCCCCCCCCCCCCGTTTAGCCGCAACCCCGAGATCACGCGAGCCTCTCGCCGAACGCGATGGCCTGCGTGCGAGTGTCGTACACCGCCCTCGCGCCGTGCCCCGACCGCTCCAGCGCTTGCTGCGGCGTCACGGGCCCCCCTCCGCGGGACACCGCCGGGGGGGGCGAGGGGAGGGGAGAGTGGAGCGGCGAGGCCCGGGGGGAGGAGGCCCCCGAGGACCTCGAGGCCGCCCTGCGTCGCTGCCGCTCGAGGTTCCTCGCCTGGAGGCGCCGCAGGAGGAGGGTGGCCTCCGCCAGGGCGGCGTCGGGGGGCTGGGGGTGGTCGCCGCGGTCGTCGTCGCGGTGGCGTCGCGAGCGACCGCCGTCCAGGGTTCTTGCTCGCCGGTCGTCGAGGGCGTCCGCGCGGCGAAGACCTCCGCCGACACCGGTAGCTCCTGCCGGATTGTCGCGGCGGCCGGCGGCGGCGGCGCCATCGATGGAGCCGCCTCCGACGGTGCCACGGCCAACGCCGCCGCGGTCGAGGGATGCTCCGCCTCTCCCACGGGCACCTCCGTGACCTTCGACGGCTCGTCCGCCTTCTCTGCTGCAAACTTCGATGCCACCAACTCCTCCATAGCCAACTCCACAACCTCTTCCCATGTCGCCACCACCATCACCACCAACTCTCAGATCTCCCGGAACATCGATGCCCCCTTCAGATTCACGTCCAAGACCACGGTGACCCTTTCTGACACTGCCTCTTCCTTCTCTTTCATAGTCGCCTCTGGGAGCTCCTTCATTACCAATGCCACCACCAACTACTATCTGATCATCACCACCGCCATCACCACGTCCATGACAAACTCCGTGATCTCCTTCAGTGGCGCCGCCCCCTCCAGCATCGTATCTTTCTTCTCCGATGACACCGATGCCTCCTTTGTAATTGTCTCGGTGGCCTCCGTAACTACCCGCCATTTGACCGTATTCGCCGCCGTCGCCCGGTCTTCTGTGGTCACTTTCCAAGCCACCAGCGGCGCCGGCAGCGCCGGCAGCGAGGGGTGCCTGCTGCCGCCTGCTGGCTCCCAGCCTCCGTTTGACGTCCCTGAAGTCCGCGCTTGTTTCTGTCGGGCGTGCGGGAGGCGTCGGCTCTGGCGGATGTGAGAGGCTGTTGTCGTTGCTGCTGATGCTGTCGATGCTGCTGCTGATGCTGTCGATGCTGTCGATGCTGCTGCTGATGCCGCCGCTGCTGCTATTTTTACGCAAGCGACGACTGCTCGGTTCTGCAAGAGAGGTTTGCGAAACGACCGTCAAGATTAGTCGTAACCGGCGTCGTCATAAACCCCCCCCGATCAGATATCCGGACTCTGAGACGAGAAGCCAGGACCGCGGTGGCGCTGGCTCGGCGTATCGAACTTGTCACCAAACTCACAGTGGGAGACCCACACACCCGATGGCCCGAACCTGAAAGGTCAAGGGCTAGCGGGCAAGGTGTCTCTGCACATGGCCAAGGTATTTCCATTGTGGTCCTTACCCCCACCGCCCGCCCGCCTGTTCGCACCTCCGATGAGTACGTTGGGCTACGTACTGCGCGAATGAAGTTGAACGCACTCGCATAGACTCACATAGACATCACTCACCCACTCACACAGGCACCCACTCACATAGACTCACATAAACTCACACAGTCACTCACCCACTCACACAGTCACTCACCCACTCACACAGTCACTCACCCACTCACATAGTCACTCACCCACTTACATAGACTCACATAGACTCACAAACTCACACAGTCACTCACCCACTCACATAGTCACCCACTCACATAGTCACTCACCCACTCACATAGTCACTCACCCACTCACATAGACTCACACAGTCACTCACCCACTCACACAGTCACTCACCCACTCACACAGTTACTCACCCACTCACATAGACTCACATAGTCACCCACTCACAGTCACTCACCCACTCACACAGACCCACATAGACTAACACAGTCACTCACCCACTCACATAGACTCACATAGTCACTCACCCACTCACAGTCACTCACCCACTCACACAGATTCACATAGTCACCCACTCACAGTCACTCACCCACTCACATAGACTCACAGACTCACATAGTCACTCACCCACTCACAGTCACCCACTCACATAGTCACTCACCCACTCACATAGACTCACACAGTCACTCACCCACTCACACAGTCACTCACACAGTCACTCACCCAGTCACTCACCCACTCACATAGACTCACATAGTCACTCACCCACTCACATAGACTCACATAGTCACTCACCCACTCACAGTCACTCACCCACTCACCCACTCACACAGATTCACATAGTCACCCACTCACAGTCACTCACCCACTCACATAGACTCACAGACTCACATAGTCACTCACCCACTCACACAGTCACTCACCGACACACTCACCCATCCGATTAGCACGTTTGGCTATGCACGGCGCTCTATAAGTTCAACATGCAGTCACGTCTACCCGTCGTGAGCTGGCCAGGCCTCTGAGGCACTGCCATCGCGGCCGCCCGTTTGTACCGCTGCTGTCCTGGCGGTGGTATCGGGCGCGCAGAGCAGACAGCCGGTCGCCCCCAAAGGGCTGGTAGTGCCGGGAGGAGGATGAAGGCGGCGGCGTGGCGGAGGAGGAGGTGGTGGAGGCGTCTCGGTTGAGCAGTCGGGATCTCAGCGCCGCACGTAGCAGGGAGCGGACGGCAGAGACGCAGGCGGAGCGGCGGGACGGGTCGCTGGTGGGAGAGAGGAGGTGTGGGTGGCGGCAGGCAGCGGTAGGATCATCGCCAACATCATCAGCGGCTGGGGTGTCGGTGACAGCATAGAGCGTCGTCATGGGGATCATCGGCGTTATCAACAGCAGCCCGAGTAGAAGCAACAGCTGTAGCAGCAGCATCAGCAGGTGTAGTGGTGTGTGGTAGTTGTGTAGTAGTGTGGTAGTTGTGTGGTAGTTATTTAGTAGCTATGGTAGTTGTGCTAACTGTGTAGTAGTTGTGGTAGTTGTGGTAACTGTGTGGTAGTGGTGGTATTTGTGTGGTAGTTGTGGTCGTGGCGGCCCCACCGTCCCAGCAGCGTGAAGGTCACCGCCGGCCTCTCTCCCCGCGCCGCGTGCCTCAGCTCCCACACGGCGCTCCGCCCGCCGTCTGCACGGAGCAACACGCAGCTCGGTCACATTCCGTGAACTAGCAACTAATTGGGCACGTTTTGTTTACGTGATAACCACTTGCTGTCGAGTGGTGGTGGCGTGGTTTAACGACAGACACATATATTTACGCGATCTAACCCCCCCAAAAAAACCCTCTTGTGGATAACATTGATTGTGAAAGCCCTAGCAATGCGACTACGCGTTTAAACCCCGGCAGCGTTAACCGGGGTGGCCGCTAGGTTCGAACCGGCGTGGCCGCTTGGTTCGAATCGGGGTGGCCGCTGGGTTCGAATCGGGGTGGCCGCTGCGTGCGTCGCGGCCACGTCGCCGATTGGTGCGACGACGATCGGCCCGGTGGGGGGTTTGAACCCGTGACCCTTGGGGTCACTGGCTCGAGCTGCCCCCTGGAGCCAGGCCGTTCCGCAGGTGCCCCACGGATTTCGTCGTCGTTGGGAACTGTGGTGTGGCGTCTCTCACCGGCGCTGTGCTCCGTGTGCACCTCGAGTTGACTCGTGGGGATGAGGTGTTTGTACTTGATCAGGTCGGGCTCATCCTGATGGGACAAACCAGACGTCACCGTTAGCAGCAGCAGAATCATTAAATCCATCATCAAAACCATTATCCTGAACATATTATTAAAACACGTTTACTATCACAACTATCATCATCACAGCTTTACCATCACAACTATCATCAACACCATCATCCTCACCACATCATAACACCTGTACCATCACAATCATAACTGTCATCATCATGATCATCATAAAAACCATAAATTGTCACCAAATCATCACATCATCATCATCATGTGTGTGTGGCTGTCGCGTGTGTCACACACACACGTGGGGTGACTGTGTGCGATTCTGATGCGCGTCGCAGCCACACACATACACGCGGGGTGATCGCACGTGTATGTTTGTGTGGCCGTGACGCACATCACAATCACACACACGCGCGATCACCCCACGTGTATGTGTGTGATGGCGACGCGCATCACAGCCACACACACATGGGGTGAATGTGTGTGTGTGTGGTTGTGACGCGTGTGTGTTTGGTGACTCACGTCGCAGTCACATACACACACACGTGGGGTGACTGCATGTGTGTGTGTGTGCGGTTGTGACACGTGTCACAACCTCACGCACACACTTAAGGTGACTGCGTGTGTGGTTGTGACGCGCGTCGCAATCGCACACACGCGGGGTGACTGCGTGTGTGTGTGTGTGTGACTGCGACGTGAGTCACCAAACACACACGCGTCACAACCACACACACACACATGCGGGGTGACTGCGTGTGTGTGTGCGGTTGTGATGCGTGTCACAGCGTGCGTCTCCACCCACGCGCTTCTTGGCCCTCAGCGACCCCATGGCTGCATCCTCCTTGTACACGAGCACCACGGCCGTCTTGAACACTGCAAAGACAAAGGTACCCCATGTAGCCTTCACCAGACTGTTGGGGCAAGTGCTGTTAGCGAGTAGCACCTATGAAGACCGGTACGCAAGTGCGCGCACACACGGTACGTACAATGTATGTACAGCAGTCTCTCGATTATCCACGTGCGGTTTATCCGATTTGTGGGACCTTTCTTGCCTTTATTAAAATATAACAATCGGTTTTACACTTTCTGGCAATAAAATAGTTGTCAAGATGTTGAAACGCCAAACAGAATCCTTATTCAAGGAATCCTGTCTGCATTAACCATACGTACTTGTGGTGATCATGCAAACAAAAAACATGCTCTGATAATATATGATGCATTGTCTTTGAAACTGATTGGTCCACACCAGAGACAGCTTTCTATTGAGCCTTGTCTCAAAGTGTTAGACCAGTGGACGCCAAAAGGCTGTTCGCCTTTTGCAGACAGGATTCCATGAATAAGGATTCTATTTTGATTTAAAGCTTTCGTGACTGCAGTAATTCATATTCTTAGTTCTTTCGGTAAAGTCACGTTGAAGGGAAACAATAAAATAATAAAATATATAAAACATTAAAATTCTCACGACGTTTCGACAGCAACACAAGCAATCATCATCAGGTGTGTCATCCCTGATGACGACCGTTTGTGTTATGGTCGAAACGTCGTCCCTGATGACGACCGTTTGTGTTATGGTCGAAACGTGAGAATTTTTATTGTTTTATATATATTTTATTATTTTATTGTTTCCCTTCAACGTGACTTTACCGAAAGAACTAAGAATAATAAGGATTCTGTTTGGTGTTTCAACATCTTGACACAATTGTTTTATTGCCAGAAAGGGTAACACCTATTGTTATACAGGGATACACTATCCTTGCAAATATTTATTACAAGTCACGTGCTTAAACCGAACAAAAAGTTGCTCCGGTTAATCCGAAATCCACGTGATCGCCTCTACAGTACAGTAGTTGCCATATCTTTACAACAGTCAGCGGAGTTTGATGTTGATGTGCGTGGCTCTGTTATCATCCACTTCGTGGGTGGGAGTCTTCCGCGCGGGAGCAAGTCGTTGTCATAGAGCACGCGCATCGATTGTCTCGAGCGTTCGTTTTTGGCATAGAGATCCGTGTAAAATGGTTAATATTTTTGGACTATCTGCGGCCGCAGATAATCGAGAGTCTACTGTATGTTGAACTTCTTTCGCACCGCACGTAGCCAACTGTGCTAATCGGAGGATGGGTGAGTGTGTGAGTGAGTGACTATGTGAGTGGGTGAGTGAGTGGGTGAGTGACTGTGAGTGGGTGAGTGTGTGAGTGACTGTGAGTGAGTGAGTGTGTGAGTGACTCAGTGGGTGTGTGAGTGACTGTCAGTGGGTGAGTGTGTGCGTGAGTGACTGAGTGGGTGAGTGTGTGGGAGGGTGACTACGTGAGTGGGTGAGTGACTACGTGAGTGTGCGGGTGACTGACTACGTGAGTGGGTGAATGTGTGGGTGAGTGACTACGTGAGTGTGTGGGCTAGTGGGTGAGTGGCTACGTGAGTGTGTGGGTGAGTGGGTGAGTGACTACGTGAGTGTGTGGGGGGCTGGATTTGGTGGCTGCTCAAACGATTGTGAAGGGGAGCGATGACCCGTTCATTATGGTCCTTAATGTCGGGGTGCAGACGGCTGTGGTTCCCCAGGGGACCGTGCTTGCATATGCGACGCCGGTACCCATAGAAGAAACGGTTATGGGACATGTGGGGACCGACCCTCCAACTCGGCCACGTTCCATTGAGGACGATAGTTGGATGGATGCACTGTGTTCAGGGACAAAAGATCTATCCGACTCCCAGCGTGCCGGATTACAGAACCTTTTGATTCAATTAGCTGACGTGTTTAGCAAGCACAAATTTGATATTGAGTGCACGAATTTGCTGCGACACCACATCGACACGGGTGCAAATGCCCCGGTACATCAGAATCCTTTTCGGTTGAGTCCTGCCGAAAAGGATCATGTTAAAACGGCTGTGGACGACATGTTGGCTGCGGAAATTATATCTCCTTCCACCAGTCCATGGGGGGCACCCATAGTGCTTGTGAAAAAGCACGATGGGTCTTTGAGATTTTGTGGATTTTCGTCGCCTAAATAAAATCTCGGTAGCCGATGCATATCCACTCCCCCGAATGGACGGATCTCTGGATGCTCTAGCAGGGGAACGATTTTTCTCTACATTGGACTTGTCAGGTGTCTGGCAACTTCCATTGGATGACAAGTCCAGACCAAAGACTGCATTCCATACACCACACGGCCTATTTCAATTTAACCAGTTGCCTATGGGATTACACTCCGCTCTGGCGACATTTCAGCGCCTTATGGAACGGGTTTTGGCTGGCTTACAATGGGACGTTTGTCTGATCTATCTGGACGATGTAATTGTATTTAGCAAAACGTTTGACGAAGACCTTTTGAGATTGCGCGCCGTGTTCTTCAAAATGCGCGCTGCAAATTTTAAATTCAAACCACAGAAGTGCCACTTGCTCCAAGAATCTGTGCGGTATTTAGGGCACATCCTCAGCCAATCGGGCATATCCACCGATCTCGCAAAAACACAGTGTGTCAGCTCTTGGCCGACCCCCACCTCGGTGGCTGAGTTCAGGAGTTTAATTGGGTTCGCATCTTATTACCGGCGGTTCGTTGTGGACTTCGCGACCATTGCTAAACCTTTACATGCCCTGACAGCAAAAGGAGTGAAATTTCACTGGGGCCAGGTCGAGGAGATCGCTTTGCGTTCCCTTCGCGACGCTGTCGTGGGGGCCCCAAAATTGAGCTACCACAATTTTTCTGAACCCTTCCTGCTAGATAGATGCCAGAAATACGGGTATTGGGGGTGTGCTCTCGCAGGTTGTCGGTGGTGTGGAGCGCGTTGTGGCTTACGGTAGTAGGGTCTTGTCTCCGGCGGAGCAGAGATACTGCATCACCTCTTGGGAGCTGTTAGCCATTGTATTTTTTATACAACAATATCGGCCATATCTGTACGGCCGGCACTGTACAGACCATGCGGCATTGCAATATGCCTTGCGGGTGGAACAGCCTTCGGGGCAATTGTCTCGATGGCTCGAGGTCCTTCAGGACTATGATTTCACAACCACATATCAGAAGGGTGTTCGACACACTAATGCGGATGCGCTGGCTCGCCTGCCCCCTGCCTCAGATTGCGCTTGTCTCATGGGATCGGGGCGTTGTAAGCCGCCGGATGACAGCCCCGCTTTAAATGTTCCGATTCTTGCTGCCGCCACCGAGGGCCCTGTGTCTGCGGGTCCTGTCGAGCAGGGGGGAGGAGACTCCTTGCTGGGATTATCTCTTACGGAATGGGGGCGCCTCCAGATGGAGGACGCGTCCCTCCTCGCGTTGCGCCGTCGCGCAGGGGGTTCCATGAGGGGGGTGACGGGGGTTAATTCATTCGGGCTGCACCAGGGGCTCCCTATGCATTGGGATGGGAAGGCCCGCCGTCACAGGCTGGTGGTGCCTTCTGCTCTGCGGGGTAAGGCCGTGTGGGCTGCTCACGAGTGACTGTTGCACCTAGGGACTCACAAGACCCTTGCCATGCTCCAGCTGGATTTATTCTGGCCAGGCATGGCAAGGGATGTGGATGACCTCCTGGGTGCATGTACTCAGTGCGCCCAACGGAAGCCACCAGCGAGGGGCGCCTGTCTGCCAATACAATCTATTACGGTCTCTCGAGTTAATGAACTCATCGCACTCGATATATTGGGGCCCTTCCCTGCGACCCCTAAGGGTAATAAGTACCTGCTGGTTGGCATGGCCCCTCGCCAACCAGTCAGCAGCAGCCATCGCCGAGGCCTTTGTCCAGGGCTATGTCCTCGACAAAGGTGCTCCCGAACGGCTGCTGACTGACCAAGGGAAAAACTTCTCTGGCGTCCTTCTGCACGAGGTGTGTGCGCTCCTCGGTACAAAAAAAATCCGTACTTCCCCCTAAGGCCAACAGGACTAAATTATTATAGACCGGTCGCCCTTACCTCTGTGGTAATGAAGTCTTTTGAGCGCCTGGTTCTGGCACATCTCAAAGCCATCACAGACCCTCTCCTGGACCCCCTTCAGTTTGCCTACAGAGCCAACAGGTCTGTGGACGACGCAGTTAACATGGCCCTCCACTTCACCCTACAGCATCTGGACTCCCCAGCATCCTACGCCAGGATCCTGTTTGTGGACTTCAGCTCTGCCTTCAACACCATCATCCCTGCCCTGCTTCAGGATAAGCTCTTCCAGCTGAACGTGCCCGACTCCACCTGCAGGTGGATCACAGACTTCGTGTCTGACAGGAAGCAGTGCGTTAAGCTGGGAACACAAGTCTCTGACTCCAGGTCCATCAGCACCGAAACTCCTCAGGGCTGCGTTCTTTCCCCACTACTCTTCTCCCTGTACACCAACAGCTGCACCTCCAATCATCTGTCCGTCAAACTATTGAAGTTTGCGGACGACACCACCCTCATTGGACTGATCTCTGGTGGGGATGAGTCTGACTATAGGTGGGAAGCTGACAACCTGGTGACCTGGTGTAGCCAGAACAACTTAGAGCTAAATGCTCTAAAGACAGTTGACATGGTTGTGGACTTCAGGAAGAATACAGCCCCACTCACCCCCATCACCCTGTGCGACTCCCCAGTCAAAACTGTAGAGTCCTTCCGCTTCCTGGGCACTATTCTCTCCCGGGACCTCAAGTGGGAACTGAACATCAGCTCCCTCACCAAGAGAGCTCAATAGAGGATGCACTTCCTACGGCAGCTGAAGAAATTCAACCTGCCAAATACAATGATGGTGCACTTCTATACAGCAATCATTGAATCCATCCTCACCTCCATAACCGTCTGGTACGCTGCTGCCACTGCCAAGAACAAGAGCAGACTGCAGCGTATCATCCACACTGCTGAGAAGGTGATTGCCTGCAATCTACAAACCCTTGAGCACCTGCACACCTCGAGGACCATGAGGCGAGCGAGGAAGATTGTGGCCGATTCCTCCCACCCTGGACACTCTGTTCCAGCTACTCCCCTCCGGCAGAATGCTGCTATCCACTGCTGGCCACGTCATTGTCAAGGTCTATCCACTGCTGGCCACGTCATCGTCATGGTCTATCCACTGCTGGCCACGTCATCGTCAAGGTCTATCCACTGCTGGCCACGTCATCGTCATGGTCTATCCACTGCTGGCCACGTCATCGTCAAGGTCTATCCACTGCTGGCCACGTCATCGTCATGGTCTATCCACTGCTGGCCACGTCATCGTCATGGTCTATCCACTGCTGGCCACGTCATCGTCATGGTCTATCCACTGCTGGCCACGTCATCGTCATGGTCTATCCACTGCTGGCCACGTCATCGTCAAGGTCTATCCACTGCTGGCCACGTCATCATCATGGTCTATCCACTGCTGGCTACGTCATCGTCAAGGTCTATCCACTGCTGGCCACGTCATTGTCATAGTCTATCCACTGATGGCTACGTCATCGTCATGGTCTATCCACTGCTGGCCATGTCATCGTCAAGGTCTATCCACTGCTGGCCACGTCATCGTCATGGTCTATCCACTGCTGGCTACGTCATCGTCAAGGTCTATCCACTGCTGGCCACTTCATCGTCATGGTCTATCCACTGCTGGCCACGTCATCGTCATGTGCCCAATACTGGATGTGTTGGTGCTGCGGATCGTGTTGGAGGAGTCTTGAAACTAATTTTTTTGTAACCAGGTAAGGGCCCACCGAGCTACGTAGCTTTTTTTCAGAAGCGTCCTGGCCACAAATAATAACTCAGCGAAGTGTCCTGTCACAGTGTGGGAATTTGCTGCAGCCGGCTAATATGAGGGCACGTTGATTCTAAATTGTGGAGGGGAAAACCCGTAGGAAAATCCATGCGACCACGGGGAGAGAGACACGCAAACTCCTATTATACAGCAGCAGGCGTCGGGGTCGAGATCGAACCCACGACCTCCTGTATACCGGGTGAGGTAGTTAACATCTCCTGGCCACCGTGGCGCCCCTCCAGTCGGTGCCAGGGTCCGTACCGAAGACTCTCGCGCCCAGGCCGTGCTGCCGCTGTGCCGAGCGGATGAGCGGAGCGGGTGGGTTGAGCCAGGACACGTGCTCGTCCAGCAGCAGGTCGCCCATCGACAGGTCCACGACCTGTACGGGGCGGGGGGAGACAGAGAGGGGACACGTGGGGTGCACATGGGGTATACATGGGGGGGGGGGGCATGGGGGGGAGACAGGCAGGGAGAGACGTAACGGGGACAAAGGGAGATGGGAACACAGACGAGGACATACGAAATGGGAGAGAGAGGCAGTGTAGATGGGCGTCAATGGAACGCCGTCATCCCGATCGCCGTCACGTGCCGCAAGCGCCCTTCTATTCCTTCTTCTCCTTGAATCTGTCGATGCCCCGTTCAGTCTCAAGACTCCTCTCTTTGACCAAGAGGGGGGCGGGGGGGGGGTCCCCCTTACCGAGCTTCCGCAGGGAGGGTTGGTGGCGATGGTCGCCGCGGCAGGCGGGATTTTCGATCGCGCGCAAAATGGCGTCGCGAAGAAAGGTGGAGCGCGGGGGGCGTCGAGAAAACGGTGTGGCGTAGATCTTTTAAAATGTCACCGGCTGCGGCCCGCCGCGACGACGCCAGCCGCTTCGTTGGCGCTGTCGTGGCCCCGGTACGCGGAGAGCGCAGCAGCACTCGTCATCAGCGGGTTGGTGTTGGATTCAAAGCTCGAACCGCGAAACCTCTGTGACGAGCGGCAAACGCCCCGGCCGGTTGGTGAACAGTTGGTGAACATTAGTGAAGAGTTCGTGAAAAGTTAGTGAACAGTTGGTGAACAGTTGGTAAACAGTTAGTGGATAGTTGGTGAACAGTTAGTGAGCAGTTAGTGAACAGGTGATGAACAGTTGGAGAACGTTAGTGAACAGTTGGTGAACATTTGGCAAACAGTTGGTGAACGTCAGAACAGTTAGTGAGCATATTCTTGGTTCTTTTGGTAAAGTCACATAGAAGGGAAACAATAAAATAATAAAAATATAAAACAATAAAATTCTCACGACGTTTCGACTGCAACACAAGCAATCATCATCAGGTGTGAAAACCACAGGTAAAGCATTTTTTTTTAACGTTAGCACCACGGAGAGCGATTTGGCAGTTATTCAAATGGACGAGTCTATCTATGTTCGGAAAAGAGGAGGGGGGAGACGAAAATAATGGATGCGGTCTGAAAGCCACCGTAAGCATGAACAATCAAATAAGACCCAAAATGGTTTATCAAATCCTTCCAATGATTGCTAAGCCAGAATCCATCTCGGTTGAAATTGTCTCTACTGAATTATAACAGTGATCACTGTTATAATTCAGTAGGCTCACATGACATTGACTTCTCCAAGACAGAGGTTATCTGCAAGCCATCTGGCTATCATGAGAGATTCGTTTATGAGGCTATCCACATATACAAAAAACGCCACTTTTTTCAAATTCTCTTGCTGTGGTTTTCACACGTGATGATGACTGCTTGTGTTGCAGTCGAAACGTCGTGATAATTTTATTGTATTATATTTTTATTATTTTATTGTTTCCCTTCTACGTGACTTTACAGAAAAAAACAATAATATGAATCCCTGCAGTCACGAAAGCTTTAAATCAAAAGTTAGTGAGCAGTTAGTGAAAAGTTGGTGAATAGTGGGTGCGCAGTCGGTGAACATTTGGTGAATGTACCTCGTCTCCCGAAGGCTGCTGCTGGGCAGAGAGCTGGTGAAACGCTTCCCCAAATTCTTCGAAGAGCCGCTGAGCGTCGTTAATCTGCCCGGCCACCTCCTGCATCACGCGCTGGGCCTCTGCCAGAGACAAAACGTCGGTCCCCAGTGAGCGGGACCAACGTTTTGGCCACCTCCTTGCCCAACCACTCACCCACCCAAACCACTCATCCACGCAAACCACTCACCCACTCAAATTTCGATTTAAAGCTTTCGTGACTGCAGGGATTCATCGTCTTGGTTCTTTCGGTAAAGTCGCGTAGAATGGAAATAAAATAATAAAAATAAAACATAATAAAATAAAATTCTCACGACGTTTCGGCCACAACACAAGTAGCCTTCTTCAGGTGAAGGAACAGAACTGTCGGGACGACAGCGCTTCAATGAACGCTGCTAATATTCGCAGCGTCTTTTAAGCTAGGTGGGAGAAGTAAAGCGCCTTGACAAAGGAGTTTACATATCAAACAGGAGAATTTAGCATTGAAATAGCTGTGCTAAAGTGTTGGATCAGCAGGATGTTAAAGTCAGAAATTAGCATGTAACTGGGAGATTAGCATGATGTTAATGTGAGGGATTAGCATGTGACTGGTCACGGAAATAGCTATGTTAAAGTCAAAGTTTACATATCAACAGAGGCATTTAGTATGTGGACGCTAAAGGACTGCAACTACCCAACTATCATCTAATAAACCGATTTGAAAAAACTAAGTATAAACTACATCAATATAATAAATGTACTCAATATATTCTTCAATAAGTTGAGCTATTAACATAAAGTAACTGGGTATACACTACACTTTATAATGAATACCATATAGTAAACTAATAAAAAACTAAAATATAAACTACATCAATGTTATCAATAAACTCTATATACTCTCCAATCAGCTGAGCTACTAACAATAAGTCGTTATACATTACAATGCCATATGGTGAAAAAATGGGTGGCGGTTTTTTTTCTTTTCAATGTTAGCACCACGGAAAGCGACGAGCTTTGTTCAGACGGATGAGTCCATCTATGCTCGGAACGGAGGAGGGGGGAGAAACAGCCACGATGCGCTGCTCTGTCCTGTGTTGCATTACAACTATGTTATAAACTAGACTACTATACATTGCAATGTTATACCATCCAATCTCAACTACATTGTATAATATCGTATACACAGCCCAATGTAAGCTCTAACATTATGCATTAAATTGATATGTCTCCAACTAAACTTTTTTCTACATTACACGACTATACACCGTAATATACATTGCCATAGACAAACCCACCCTTGAATTATACAATGCGTTACTATACACTACCCTATATTTTAGACTGTAAAATATTAGACTTGTAATATTACACCATGTATTATTCTACCAACCCTACTGTATACCACACTGCTGCTAACGTTGAAAAGAAAAAAAAGTCGCCACCCATTTTTTCGCCATATGGCATTGTAATGTATAACGACTTATTGTTAGTAGCTCAGCTGATTGTAGAGTATATAGAGTTTATTGATAACATTGATGTTTATATTTTAGTATTTTTATTAGTTTACTATATGGTATTCATTATATAGTGTAGTGTATACCCAGTTACTTTATGTTAATAGCTTAACTTATTGAAGAATATGAGTACATTTATTATATTGATGTAGTTTATACTTAGTTTTTTCACATCGGTTTATTGTATGATAGTTGGGTAGTTGCAGTCCTTTAGCATCCACATACTAAATGCCTCTGTTGATATGTAAACTTTGACTTTAACATAGCTATTTCCGTGACCAGTCACATGCTAATCTCCCAGTTACATGCTAATTTCTGACTTTAACACCCTGTTGATCCAACACTTTAACACAGCTATTTCAATGCTAAATTATCCTGTTTGATATGTAAACTCCTTTGTCAAGGCGCTTTACTTCTCCCACCTAGCTTAAAAGACGCTGCGAATCTTAGCAGCGTTCATTGAAGTGCTGTCGTCCCGACAGTTCTGTTCCTTCACCTCAAGAAGGCTACTTGTGTTGTGGCCGAAACATCGTTTGAATTTTATTTTATTATGTTTTATTTTTATTATTTTATTTCCATTCTATGTGACTTTACCGAAAGAACCAAGAAGACACTCACCCACTCATTCACACACTCGCTCAGCCAACCACTCACCCATCCAACCACTCACCCACTCATTCATATATTGATCCATCCAACCACTCACCCACTCATTCACTTACTCAACCATCCACCGATTCGCACACTCACACACCTATCCACCGAACCACCCATTCACCCACCCACTCACTCGCACCCACACTCGAAACATTTCCCCTTTCGGCTTCTCCCCTCCCTCCAGTAGAAGTCATCTGGCCTACTCCTTCACTGGAAGAAGTGGGAGTCACCCACTCTTTACCCCACCACACGCGGGCCTGATGCTCTGACGATCGGCCACAGTCACACCCGTTGACGCTGATCGATCCGGATCTTTATTTAGACCGCCGGAGGAGGAGATCTGGTGAGCTCCGAAGCTCTTATTTCTCGCAGATGTCCAGTGCGGGCACGGGACGGGACGGGACGGGGGGGGGGTGCCGGCGAGTTAACCCGCGCCCCGGAAGATTCGATCGATCCCGGACGGCCCCCCCGAGTCGCACGGTACGCTGGGGGCAACGCCCTCCTATTTGTCAAACTTGCCCTCACCCCCCACCTGCCTCGCCTCCCCCCGCTCCCGGCAGGAGTTGGCGCGGTCCTCACCCGCCATGTGGTAGCGCTCCTCGCTGTCCGGCTCGGTGGGCGACACCAAGCTGTGCAGCAGCAGGGGGTACTTGAGCACGCGCTGGATGGGCTTGATGAGGAGGGAGGGCAGCGAGGAGGCGTGCTGGCCGTCGGGGTTCAGCCGCCTCAGGGCGGCGGCGAGAGCCGGCTCTTCAGAGGCTGACGGTGCACAGCGACGACGACGACATCGTCATCAATAATGTCAACAATAACGTCAACAATAACATCAACAACAGCGGCAGCAACAGCTACAATAGCAGCAACATCAGCAACATTAGCAACAACAATATCAGTAGCAAGATCAACAACATTAACAGTAGCATTTCGATTTAAAGCTTTCGTGACTGTGGATGTGTAGGCCTTTACTTTAACATCTATTTCTGTGACCAGTCACAAGCTAATCCCTTAGCTATTTCAATGCTAAATTACTAGTTGCCTCTGTGGATGTGTAGGTTTTGACTTTAACATAGCCATTTCCGTGACCAGTCACAAGCTAATCCCTCAGCTATTTTATATGTAAACCCCCTTTGTCAAGGTGCCTCACTTCTCCCAACCAGCTTAAAGTCGCTACGAATCTTAACAGCATTCATTGAAGCTCTGTGGATGTGTAGACCTTTACTTTAACATCTATTTCTGTGACCAGTCACAAGCTAATCCCTTAGCTATTTCAATGCTAAATTACTAGTTGCCTCTGTGGATGTGTAGATTTTGACTTTAACATAGCCATTTCTGTGACCAGTCACAAGCTAATCCCTCAGCTATTTGCACAAGCTAATCCCTTAGCTATTTCAATGCTAAATTATTAGTTGCCTCTGTGGATGTGTAGGTTTTGACTTTAACATAGCCATTCCTGTGACCAGTCACAAGCTAATCCCTCACCTATTTGATATGTAAACCCCTTTGTCAAGGTGCCTCACTTCTCCCAGCCAGCTTAAAAGTCGCTACGAATCTTAACATCGTTCATTGAAGTTCTGTTGTCCCAACAGGTCTGTACCTTTCACCTGAAGATGGCCGCTTGTGTTGTGGCCGAAACGTCGTGAGAATTTTATTGTGTTATTTTATTATTTTATTCTCATTCTTCGTGACTTTACCGAAAGAACCAAATAAGATTAACAGTAGCAACATTAACAACAACATCAACAACATCAGCAGCAACATGAACATCAACAACAATGATGACGAGGCCACAACGGGGAGGTTGGCCCCAAGCGGCAGGGCGGCCCACCGCTCCTCGCAGAGTTCCGCGTGGCTTGTTGATGACTGCACCGTGCCGCTCACCGTCAACAGTCAATAATAATAACAACAACATCCACAATAGAAGTTTGTTTTGAGTTAGATCGCGCAGTAAATATAAATGTGTCATTAAACCCGCCACCACCCGACACAGCCAATCAGTAACACCGGATGTGTGTTGGAGAGTAAAACCCATGACATTTACAATTTGAGTGAGACTTTTCGCCAATACTTACAACCAGCATCATCAGGCGACAGCCAGAGTTGTGGAGAAATCCTCCTGTTTCGTTCTTAAAAACGTGACGAACGCCTTACTAATTGGCTGCGTCGGGCGGTGGCAGGTTTCATGACGCATTTATATATTTACGCGAAACTAACCCAAAAAACCTCTTACGGATAATATTAGTCGCGTGTGCCTACCACGTGTTAAACATGCTAACAACAACGAGACTTGTCGTGTGCCTACCACGTGTTAAACATGGTAACAACAACAAGACTTGTCGTGTGCCTACCACGTGTTAAACATAGTAACAACGATACTTGTCGTGTGCCTACCACGTGTTATACATGGTAACAACGAAACCTGCTGCCGTGTGCCTACCACGTGTTAAACATGGTAACAACGATACTTGTCGTGTGCCTACCACGTGTTAAACATGGTAACAACGAAACCTGCTGCCGTGTGCCTACCACGTGTTAAACATGGTAACAACAACGAGACTTGCTGCCGTGTGCCTACCACGTGTGCCTACCACGTCTTAAACATGGTAACAACAACGAGACTTGTCGCGTGCCAACCACGTGTTTTAACACGGTAACAACAACGAGACTTGCTGCCGTGTGTGCCTACCACGTGTTAAACATGGTAACAACGATACTTGTCGTGTGCCTACCACGTGTTAAACATGGTAACAACGAAACCTGCTGCCGTGTGCCTACCACGTGTTAAACATGGTAACAACAACAAGACTTGCTGCCGTGTGCCTACCACGTGTGCCTACCACGTCTTAAACATGGTAACAACAACGAGACTTGTCGCGTGCCAACCACGTGTTTTAACACGGTAACAACAACGAGACTTGCTGCCGTGTGTGCCTACCACGTGTTAAACATGGTAACAACGAGACTTGCTGCCGTGTGCCTACCACGTGTTAAACATGGTAACAACAACGAGACTTGCCGTGTGTGCCTACCACGTGTTAAACATGGTAACAACAACGAGACTTGCCGTGTGTGCCTACCACGTGTTAAACATGGTAACAACAACGAGACTTGTCGCGTGCCCACCACGTGTTAAACATGGTAACGAGACTTGCTGCCGTGTGCCTACCAAGTGTTAAGCATGGTATCAACAACGAGACTTGCCGTGTGTGCCTACCACGTGTTAAACATGGTAACAACAACGAGACTTGCCGTGTGTGCCTACCACGTGTTAAACATGGTAACGAGACTTGTCGCGTGTGCCTACCACGTGTTAAACATGGTAACAACGAGACTTGCCGTGTGTGCCTACCACATGTTAAACATGGTGACTATGGTGCCACAGCAGCAAAGCCGCTCCGTCGGAGCCGTGCCTGCAGCTGTGATGCCGCAACAGCGAAGCCGTCCTGCCGACGCCGTGGCCGCGACGCCGCCACCTCCGAGCGACGGGGCCGACGCCGCTCTTCCCTCACCACCCCCACATAGAGCCCCGAGGGGAGGTCACGTGGCCGACAGGTTTTCACCCAGAAGCCCTCTCATGGGACCAAACTTCACAGTTTCCTGCGACCAGGGAATTGGGCGACCTCCCCCGAGGCTTACGTGCACCACGGCGCCGTGACTTGGATGGTAATTACATGGTCACGATGGGGCTGCTGAGCCACCGCGGATAGAATACACCCACAACACACACGGGTCAGCAGGCAGGTAGGGAGGGACGGAGTCACGAACGGCGGGAAAAACAGGGCCGGCCCTCTGATTGGTAGGACAGATGCGCTTGTTTAGAGGGTGAAAAGCGGACATCTGAGAGAGCACCGGCCCGGGGAGAGTGGCGGGAAATCCGAGCCACCTGATTGGACAGGAGGGCAGCAGATCAGCTCCGATTTATCTTTGATGTAGAGGACAATAAAAGGAGTAGAGAAGGTAGGGAGGAGGTCGTATTGTACTCAAGCCAGGCTCGGGGCGGTCGACTTTCCAGCCACTCGAACGTCCGTGTGACGAGTCGAAGTGCAGCGAGGATCCGACCCAGCAGCTCTGTACAAGTCGAACCGTGAGTACCCGAGAGTGAGGTATTGAGGCCATTGTGAGATTGTCTTAGGAGAGTGATTTGAAAGAGGCGATACAGATCGGGTCGTAGACCATCGGGAGGTAGGTTAGACCTGCCCTGCTGACTCAAACCGACTCGAGTAATTTAGCCTCGGACTCGCTGAGAATAAACTGTTGGGGATCAATAAACCTTGTCGTGTGGTTTCTGCGAGGGTGGAACGGATGCATGTTGGTGTGCGTCGTTGTACCCTGTGTTTGTGCGTGAGGGTGTATTTACCCACGTGTTTGCGCTCGCCCATGCGTGTAGCTCGTGGTTAGCGTGTGCGTGTGGTGAGCGGTGGCGGACTCGTACAGGGGTACGTGAGATTACTCATACGCCCTTTCGTTTAACGTGTGCGTGAGGCTAACGGGCGGCGTACACGCGAGATTATTCGTGCGGCCTTTTGTTTAGCGTGTCCGTGGGGTGAACGGGCAGTGTACTCGTGAGTTTGTTCATACAGCCCTTTAAATAAATCTCGAAGACAACCCCCCAATCGGCTGCGCGTGTGCGAGTGACGTCCCTGCCCTCTGAACCCCGACCACGAGTCCCGCGCGCGCGATTGGTGCGTGGCACGTGAGAGGAGCGACGTCGGATTTAGAGTGAGTAGGTGTGAGTGAGTGTCCGCGGAGATTGTGTGAATTGCTCCCAGGTGGCTAAGCGCCAGCCACGAATCATGCCCCGAGGGGCCGCAGCAAAGGGGGGGGGGGAGTCGGTGAGCAGTAACCCTCCCCAGGACACGGAAGAAGGGAGCAGTGGATCCCATGTGAGCGAGGAGCCCGGGGGTCAGCCTCCCCGACATAACAACGAGACTTGCCATGTGTGCCTACCACGTGTTAAACATGGTAACAACGAGACTTGTCGCGTGTGCCTACCACGTGTTAAACATGGTAACAACAACGAGACTTGCTGCCGTGTGCCTACCACGTGTTAAACATGGTAACAACAACAGGACTTGCCGTGTGTGCCTACCGCGTGTTAAACATGGTAACAACAACGGGACTTGCCATGAGTGCCTACCACGTGTTAAACATGGTAACAACGAGACTTACTGTGTGTGCCTACCACGTGTTAAACATGGTAACAACAACTAGACTTACCATGTATGCCTACCACGTGTTAAACATGGTAACAACGAGACTTGCCGTGTGCCTACCACGTGTTAAACATGGTAACAACGAGACTTGCCGTGTGCCTACCACGTGTTAAACATGGTAACAACACCGAGACTTACCGTGTATGCCTACCACGTGTTAAACATGGTAACAACAACGAGACTTGCCGTGTGTGCCTACCACGTGTTAAACATGGTAACAACGATATTTGCTGCCGTATGCCTACCACGTGTTAAACATGGTAACAATAACGAAACTTGCTGCCGTGTGCCTCGCTCGCGAGAAAGCGGTGCCACTTAACAGGGCAAGGTAGTCCCCACGCTTGGCTTGACCCTCTTGAAAACGAGTGAAATAATAATACATAAAGCTCCCGGCCACAACCGTCAATGTTGATGATGGACCCTTCATGGATTATTGATGGATCATCAGTATTGATGGATCATCAGTGATGATGATTGACCGGGATGAATGGTTATATGGATAGGCGGATGATGATGACGATGATTGACTTATTGATCAAGAGATTGATGATTGTTGTTGCCGATGACGATGATGATGACGACGGTTGATCATGTGGACTGGTCGGATGGTCAAAACCAATTGGAATTTAGTCCGATTCCCAGCCGTGGACAGATAACGTGATTGGAAAGTGGTACCAGAGCCTGGCCCGGGCCTCCCCTATGTCCGCGCAGCCTTAAAACGTGTGTCAACACCGGTACGTGGGGGGCGACAGGCGGCCCGGGGCGTTCGCAACGGCACCGCCCCCGCCTCGTGCGCCGTTGCGCCTCGCTCACGACGCTTGCCCCCGGCGGTCTGCGCCGGCTGCACTGGGGACCTGTGCCTAGTCCGTGTTGTTGCGTCCGTGTTGCATCCGTGTTGTTGCGTCCGTGTTGTTGCGTCTGTGCATAACCTGTGCGCAGGCGGCTCTGCGTGCGCGCGTGGCTGGCGCAGTACGCGCTGTACAGGCGGAAGCGCTCCGAGAAGAAGAGGAAGGAGCCACCCAGCGAGAAGAGCACGCGCTGTGGGTGGGAGGGGTAGAGACACGGGGGGGGGGAAGGGGTGGGGACATGGGGAGAGAGACGTGGGGACAGTGATGGGGAGACAAGGAGAGACACTGAGAGAGTTATGGGGAGAGGCACGGGGAGAGCCACACATGAAGAGACATGGGGGGAAGGCGATGGGGATGCAGAGGGAGAGATATGGGGAGAGACATGAGGAGACTGGGAGAGACACGGAGGTGCACAGAGAGACAGAAGCATACGGAGGCACAGGGAGACGGAGGAAGACACTTGAAACATAGGGACATGGAGAGGGGGAGACAAGGATGAGGAGGGAGGAGGAGGCGTTGCCTTTTGGTTTACTGAGAGAGAGGAGATGAGAGAGGGAGGAGGCTCTGTCACCTTGAAGTCGGCAGGTGACTGTAGGTTCTGGAAGTCCGGTGCCAGGTCCATCCCTTGCCTCAGAGTGGCGACAAACTCTTGGTGGAAGAGAATTATCTCATGCAGAACGGACAGCACCGAGTCCAACTACACGACACACGTACAGGAACACCAGTACTTACGAACGAGTCAGGTTTCAGAGGTCTGTTTGTAAGTTGATTTGTTCGTAAGTCAAAACTTTACTCCTGTCGATTTTAAACGCGTTGTACGGCGTGTACACTAAACACGGGGAATGGCTATGAAAGTTGTATAATCTCCTGTAGATCCCACTGGTTCTTCACGTTCTGCAGATGTAGATGCCACTGGTTCTTCACGTTCTGCAGATGTAGATTCCACTGGTTCTTCACGTTCTGCAGATGTAGATGCCACTGGTTCTTCATGTTCTGCAGATGTAGACGCCACTGGTTCTTCATGTTCTGTAGATGTAGATGCCACTGGTTCTTCATGTTCTGTAGATGCCACTGGTTCTTTATGTTCTGCAGATGTAGATGCTAATTCCCTTTGGTGCTCGTGTTTTCTCTCTGCTCTCTTAAAAAAAAAAGAACCTACCAAGAGATGTCTGCACTGTGGCTCTTTTCTTCTCTTCACAAATCCACTTGTGACAGGCGATAGCATCGTGGACAGCTGCCGACACCTGACTACCCCTTGCAGTGTTTGAGACCTGAGACTCAAAACAAGGTGGTGGCTTCTCAAGACACTGACCCTGACACCCGGTCTCAAAACACTGATCCTGACACCAGGTCTCAAGACACTGACCCTGACACCCGGTCTCAAGACACCGATCCTGACATCAGGTCTCAAGACACTGACCCCGACACCGGTCTCAAGACACTGATCCTGACACCCGGTCTCAAAACACTGACCCTGACACCAGGTCTCAAGACACTGACCCTGACACCCGGTCTCAAGACACTGACCCTGACACCCGGTCTCAAGACACTGATCCTGACACCCGGTCTCAAAACACTGATCCTGACACCCGGTCTCAAGACGCTGATCCTGACACCAGGTCTCAAGACACCGATCCTGACACCCGGTCTCAAGACACCGATCCTGACACCAGGTCTCAAGACACTGACCCTGACACCCGGTCTCAAGACACCGATCCTGACACCAGGTCTCAAGACAATGATCCTGACACCTGGTCTCAAGACACCGATCCTGACACCCGGTTTCAAGACACTGACCCTGACACCCGGTCTCAAGACACTGATCGTGACACCCGGTCTCAAGACACTGACCCTGACACCCATCTCAAGACACCGATCCTGACACCCAGTCTCAAGACACTGATCTTGACACCCGGTCTCAAAACACTGACCCTGACACCCGGTCTCAAGACAGTGACCCTGACACCAGGTCTCAAGACACTGATCCTGACACCCGGTCTCAAGACACTGATCCTGACACCCAGTGTCAAGACACTGATCTTGACACCGGGTCTCAAAACACTGACCCTGACACCAGGTCTCAAGACACCGACCCCGACACCAGGTCTCAAGAAACTGACCCCGACACCGGTCTCAAGACACTGATCCTGACACCTGGTCTCAAGACACCGATCCTGACACCAGACCTCAAGACACTGACCCTGACACCTGGTCTCAAGACAGAGATCCTGGCACCAGGTCTCAAGACACTGATCCTGACACCTGGTATCAAGACACTGATCCTGACACCTGGTCTCAAGACACCGATCCTGACACCAGGTCTCAAGACACCGATCCTGACACCTGGTCTCAAGACAATGATCCTGACACCTGGTCTCAAGACACTGATCCTGACACTCAGTCTCAAGACACTAACCCTGACACCAGGTCTCAAGACACCGATCCTGACACCCGGTCTCAAGACACTTACCCTGTCACCCGGTTTCAAGACACCGATCCTGACACCAGGTCTCAAGACACTGATCCTGACACCTGGTCTCAAGACACCGATCCTAAAACCAGGTTTTCGGAAACTGCGTCTCCAGATAAATCAGCTAAATCGGAACCTCCGGTGCAATTCATACCTCAAGGTGAGTGAAAAATTCCTCCAGCTTTAAAGGTTCAAGATAATGATCTCGTAAATCTATCAGGTCCTGTGAAAGCATAAAAGAAAAACAATGATCAGTGGCCTGAGGCCATGAAACTCTCTCCACATGAGAACCGCATCTGGTCATTCCTGACATGTAACTGCTGCTGTGCTGCTGCCTTCTGTGCTGCTGCTGCTGCGTTGCTGCTGCCTGTTGTGCTGCTCTGCTGCTGCTGTGCTGCTGCCTGCTGCTGCCCTGCTGCTGCTGCTGCTACTGCACTGTAGCTGAGAGACTCAATGAAGCTTTCCTGTAAAAGTACTTGGCATTATTATAATTATAACAATGACCGACGATTGTTTTGAACCCTGGAATCTGACCCAGCCTCTCATCAGTGCTGGCTCAGTGTCTCTGACGCGGCCATTATGAGCCCTTTGAATGAGAGAGATATCTCGATGACTTAAACACAACCACTCTCTCTCTGACATGAGCCCTCTAAGATAGGGACACTCAGACCCAGGACTTGAACCCAGAATCTTAACACTGCTGGTTCAGTGTCCGACACGGCCATTATGAACCCCCGGCACCTGGATGTAGGAGCCCTCCGTGTCCATGAGCTCCAGGATTCCCTTGCGGAGTCGATCGGCTTCTGAGAGTCGCCCACTTGCCCTCGTGGCGGCCATGGCCTCTGGGATAGGGAGGTCAGGGTTCAAGTCAGAGTCAAAAATCTGTTTTCAATACAGTGCCAAAATCGACACAATACAATAAGAAGTGTAATAAGTGGCTCCGACACGGCAGAACTTTATTTAATATTTATTAAAGATTCTATCACAGCCACGGCTCCTCTCGTTACGCGGATGCTGTCGTTTCTTTATTGGCGTGATTGTGCTGCCCCGCGCCACGTGGCGCTCACCCCGCTGATCTCCACCGCACCGCGGGCTGGCGGAGCGCTGGGGAGCGGCTAAGCGGCTGGAGGTCGTGCCGCCACGTGGCTGGTGGAGTTTGCGGGGCAGCAGTGACGGGGAGCTCCTCTACGATCTTCAACCACCGACCCCAGTCTCTTTTCCGAGGCTAAGCCCCGCCTCTGGCCACGCCCCTCTAGGAACCTTCAAGAACGTTCCAGAGGCTTCCATGCTAGCTCCGCCCATTAACCTTTCCTCCAGATAAAACCCGACTACTGATAAGGCGTGGACTGTACGACAGTGTGTAAAGTATAACCCCTCAATTATGCAGATGGCGCTCGCTTATTACAGAAGTATTATCGGTATTTTGTTTCACCCCGCGAAAGAAGTTCACCCATCCTCGGATTAGCATGGTTGGCTGCGTACGGTGAAAAAGAAGTTCAACGCACACGCATAGACTCACATAGTCACTCACCTACTCACTCACCCACACCTCCGATCAGCACGGTCGGCTACGTACGGTGCGAAATAAATTAACCGTACAAATAGTGCATGACGCCACTCGAGTGTGCGGACGGCGATTGTTGTTATTTTTGCTGCTGCTGTGCAAAGTCGAGGAGCACGTGTTGTTCTGTCGGAAGTCACGTGGGCTATTGCGTGTGAAGGCTTGCGCGCACGTGCGCGGTGACGTGACGAAGGAGTCGCCGCTGGCCCCACTCGAACTGCCCCCTCGCTCTCTCCCCTCTCGCTCGCTCCACGCCGAGCACACGACCGCTTTGCGCGAGGTGATAAAAGCGTGACTGAGTGTGATCACGGGTGTGTCAACAAGGGTGTGTGTGTGGAGTGGTGGGGGGTGGTGAATACAATGGCAGTGTTGTGTTGTCTGTGATTACCTGTGTTTGTGTACCTTGTGTGTGTACCTGTGTGTGTACCTGTGTGTTTGTGTACCTGTGTTTGTGTACCTGTAAGTGTGTGTACCTGTGTGTGTACCTGTGATTGTGTGTACCTGTATGTGTACCTGTAATTGTGTGTACCTGTATGTGTACCTGTGTATGTGTGTACCTGTGTGTACCTGTGTTTGTGTGTGTGTACCTGTGCGTGTGTGCGTGTACCTGTGTGTGTACCTGTGTGTGTGTGTACCTGTGTGTGGGCCTTCATAGGCGCGTGTGTATGTACGGGTGTTACCGTAGTACATATTAAAAGTAGAGTACAGTGTGTGGTGGTGTACGTGTGGTATGCGTGTGTAGAGGTGTTCCACTCACCTCTTGCATGTCTCTGCCTGCGTCTTAACATGAACGCTCGCTCACTCAGGCTGACAAGGCTGTGCGTGGCTGTGCGTGTGTGTGTAGGTGTGTGTATGTGTGTGTGTAGGGAGCGATAGTGTAGCGGTTAGCGCGCTGCGCTATGAACCTGGCGACATGGGTTTGATTCCCGCTCACGGCCAACACCAGTGACGATTATCTGAACCGGTCCCGGGCCTCCCCTAGGTCGACTCAGCCTCAAATGAGTACCTGGTGCGGTGTGTAAACATTGCCACTAGGGAGACAAAGGCGGTCGGGCGTGGTGCTGGCCACCCACACATACCGTTCCGGCCTTCATAGGTGTTCGCTAACAGCACTTGCCCCGACAGTCTGTTAATGCTATATGGGTGATCTTTATCTTTGTGTGTAGAGGGGACTCTCCTAATGGAACATATTCGCCGGTTAGAAACATACGATCCATCCTGGGTTTAACCAGGCTGGATTGTGTGAGCTCCTCCGGCAGGCAAGGCTGCTTTGGCTGGGTCATGTAGCCCGCATGCCCAGCCACCGCATGCCGAAACAGCTTTTGTTCGGCCAGAGGGGGCTAAACGGGCGCGGCACGGGCTAGAGAAGAGATGGAGTGATGTGGTACAGGAGGACGTGGAGCTGAGTGGACTTGCCGATGACTGGTACCAGCGGTGTCAAGATCGGCCTCTGTGGAGGAGGCTCGTGAAGGACGCTACTGGGCAGTTGGAGGTAGTCGCCCTCCAACAACAACGGAGCGCCAGATGGCTAAAGCACAGAAGGTTGGCACAGTAGGGAGCACAGGTGGTGCATCAGCCAGCCATCTCAGTCATCTTAGTCAGTCGACCCGTGGCACTTGGGTCTGCCTCGTGACCTCCTGCCGGCGGGCGTTCGACACTTGGCCACACGTGGCCTCAAGGTGCACATGGCCTGGCACAAGCGTCGTGGTGACGTCAGCGCCACTTAGTGGCGAATTACGGTTGTTGTTGTGTAGATGTGTGTAGGTGTGTGTGTAGGTGTAGGTGTGTATACGTGAGAAGCGGTGGCGCAGTGGTTAGCGCGCTACGAATCCAGCGCACCCAAGTTCGATTGCCGCTCACGGCGAACATCGTCAGATCGACTCAACCGGAACATCGAGCGCACGGTGCTGGCCACGCATGGCCAGAGGAACTTCGCACGTAAATTGCAAACGCCACGCAAAATACAATGCGGACAGATAGCCAGAAGTACCGCCACAGCAGGGCACTCCCGTGTCACAGTCACTGCGGTTTATCATGGCCACGTCGGAGACTCTAAACCACACGTGTTGAGGGCCCTGGGTTAGACTCCCTGGATGTGTGCAAGGGACAGAATGTTAGCTACACGTGGAATGACAACGCCAGTGTCTGTGTGTGTACGCGTGTGTGTGTACAAGCGTGTGCGTGTACGAGTGTTTGTGTGTGTACGAGTGACTGTGTGTGTACGAGTGTCTGTGAGTGTGTGTATACGCGTGTAGGTACCAGTGTGTACGAGTGTCTGTGTGTGTGTACGAGTGTCTGTGTGTACGAGTGTCTGTGTGTATACGCGTGTAGGTACGAGTGTGTGTACGAGTGTCTGTGTGTGTACGAGTATCTGTGTGTGTGTGTACGAGTTTGTGTGTGTGTACGAGTGTCTGTGTGTGTAAAAGTGACTGTGTGTACGAGTGTCTGTGTGTGTGTACGAGTGTGTGTGTGTGTACAAGTGTGTGCGTGTACGAGTGTCTGTGTGTACGAGTGACTGTGTGTGTACGAGTCTCTCTGTGTATACACGTGTAGGTACGAGTGTGTGTACGAGTGTCTGTGTGTGTACGAGTGTCTGTGTGTGTGTACGAGTGTCTGTGTGTGTGTACGAGTTTGTGTGTGTGTACGAGTGTCTCTGTGTGTGTACGAGTGTCTCTGTGTGTGTACGAGTGTCTGTGTGTGTACGAGTTTGTGTGTGTGTACGAGTGTCTGTGTGTGTGTAAGAGTGACTGTGTGTACGAGTGTCTCTGTGTGTGTACGAGTGTGTGTGTGTGTGTGTACAAGTGTGTGTGTGTACGAGTGTCTGTGTGTGTATACGCGTGTAGGTACGAGTGTGTATACGAGTGTCTGTGTGTGTGTACGAGTGTCTGTGTGTGTGTACGAGTGTCTGTGTGTATACGCGTGTAGGTACGAGTGTGTGTACGAGTGTGTGTGTGTGTACGAGTGTGTGTGTGTACGCGTGTGAGCGGTAGTGTAGCGGTTAGCGCGCTGCGCTACGAACCTGGCGACCCGAGTTCGATTCACGCTCACGGCCAACACCAGTGACAATTACCTGATCCGGTCCTGGGCCTCCCCTAGGTCGACTCCGCCTAAAATAAGTACCTGGTGCCGTGCGTAAAAAACATCGCCACTGGGGAGACAAAGACGGCCCGGGCGTGGTTCTGGCCACCCACCCCCTTCATAGGTGGCGCCACTCGCTAACAGCACTTTCCACAACAGTTTGTTAAGGCTATGCAGGGGATCTTTGTCTTGTTGTGTATGTGTACATGCGTGTGTACATGCGTGTGTACATGCGTGTGTACATGCGTGTGTACATGCGTGTGTACATGCGTGTGTACATGCGTGTGTACATGCAGACCCACCTGAGTGCCGTGAAGTTTCCTCCTCGGCGCGACCGTCAACCCCGCACCCGCCAGGGTGCATTCCAGCGAGTTGACAACAAATAAAAAAAATAAACGTGAAGTCAACTTCGGCGAGGCGAAGCAGACTTCCCCCCTATGTCCCGCCCGTGGCACCAAAACCCAAATCCTTTAGGGCACGGCGCGTCTCGGTTCGCGGTGCGCGAGGCGTTCCACGCGGCGACGGAGGCGCGGTCAGATGGACTTTCCCGGGCGGGAGGGCTCACTTTGGGATTAAAGACGAACACGGCGAAATGTCGAGACACAGCCGCTAAGTGATTCTAGATTTGAAGTTTTCGTGACTGCAATGATCCATACTCTTTGATTCTTTCGGTAAAGTCACGTAGGCAAAAATAAAAAATAAAGTTAATCAAATCACGACGTTTCGGAGGCAACACAAGTTGGTAAGTGCTCCACTCGTAACGAATTGACACGTTCTGTTTACGTGGCTAAAAAAAACCTCACTTATTGGCTGTGTCGGGTGGCGGCGGGTTTAACGACACATTTATATAGGGTATTTACAATTTTGTTCAACACTTATATGGGACTATCGTTTTTAATAAAAAAAAAATCACGGATAAAACACGATACCAAAGTATGTTAGTAGATTAAAAAAGTAAAAGAGTCTCCACATGTTCACATTGTCAACGCGTGCCTGGAATCTTCTCCATGTGGTCTCCAGAGCCCGAAGGAGGCACACTTCTTGTGCTATTGTTGCAATTTCCCAGAAGTGTTAAAAAATGTTTTTCAAGTACCCTGTATACAGTGAGGGAAAACGTATTTGATCCCCTGCTGATTTTGTACGTTTGCCCACTGACAAAGAAATGATCAGTCTTTAATTTTAATGGTAGGTTTATTTGAACAGTGAGAGACAGAATAACAACAAAAAAATCCAGAAAAACGCATGTCAAAAATGTCATAAATTGATTTGCATTTTAATGAGGGAAATAAGTATTTGACCCCCTCTCAATCAGAAAGATTTCTGGCTCCCAGGTGTTTTTTTATATAGGTAACGAGCTGAGATTAGGAGCGCACTCTTAAAGGGAGTGCTCCTAATCTCAGCTTGTTACCTGTATAAAAGACACCTGTCCACAGAAGCAATCAATCAATCAGATTCCAAATTCTCCACCATGGCCAAGACCAAAGAGCTCTCGAAGGATGTCAGGGACAAGATTGTAGACCTACACAAGGCTGGAATGGGCTACAAGACCATTGCCAAGCAGCTTGGTGAGAAGGTGACAACAGTTGGTGCGACTATTCGCAAATGGAAGAAACACAAAAGAACTGTCAATCTCCCTCGGCCTGGGGCTGCATGCAAGATCTCACCTCGTGGAGTTGCAATGATCATGAGAGCGGTGAGGAATCAGCCCAGAACTACACGGGAGGATCTTGTCAATGATCTCAAGGCAGCTGGGACCATAATCACCAAGAAAATAATTGGTAACACACTACGCCGTGAAGGACTGAAATCCTGTAGTGCCTGCAAAGTCCTCCTGCTCAAAAAAGCACATATACATGCCTGTCTGAAGTTTGCCAATGAAGATCTGAATGATTCAGAGGACAACTGGGTGAAAGTGTTGTGGTCAGATGAGACCAAAATGGAGCTCTTTGGCATCAACTCAACTCGCCGTGTTTGGAGGAGGAGGAATGCTGCCTATGACCCCAAGAACACCATCCCCACCGTCAAACATGGAGGTGGTAACATTATGCTTTGGGGGTGTTTTTCTGCTAAGTGGACAGGACAACTTTACCGCATCAAAGAGACGATGAACAGGGCCATGTACCGTCAAATCTTGGGTGAGAACCTCCTTCCCTCAGCCAGGGCATTGAAAATGGGTAGTGGCTGGGTATTCCAGCATGACAATGACCCAAAACACACGGCCAAGGCAACAAAGGAGAAGAAGCACATAAAGGTCTTGGAGTGGCCTAGCCAGTCACCAGACCTTAATCCCATAGAAAATCTGTGGAGGGAGCTGAAGGTTCGAGTTGCCAAACGTCAGCCTCAAAACTTTAATGACTTGGAGAATATCTACAAAGAGGAGTGGGACGAAATCCCTCCTGAGATGTGTGCACACCTGGTGGCCAACTACAAGAAACGTCTGACCTCTGTGATTGCCACCAAGGGTTTTGCCACCAAGTACTAAGTCATGTTTTGCAGAGGGGTCAAATACTTATTTTCCCCCATTAAAATGCAAATCAATTTATAACATTTTTGACATGCGTTTTTCTGGATGTTGTTGTTGTTATTCTGTATCTCACTGTTCAAATAAAGCTACCATAAAATTATAGACTGATAATTTCTTTGTCAGTGGGCAAACGTACAAAATCAGCAGGGGATCAAATACTTTTTTCTCTCACTGTATATACGATCTAACCACCCCCCCCCCCCCCCCAATTTTTTTATTATGGATATTGTTCGCGAAAGCTTACCACCTGTTAAAGTACCGTATTTTCCCGCGGGGTATACAACTTTTTACAAACAAAACAAGACCCGTTCGGGGTAAATGGAGGTGCGGGCTATCTGAAATTTGTTTTACAGAAAACGCTATTTTTGCGGGGTATATGTGTCTGCGGGTTATATGTGTATGCGGGCGAAATGCGGAAAAATACGGAAATGTAGAAACTATCAACAATATTTTTAAGTTCCCAGGTAAAAGGTGTGTAGCTATTTTTTCAGAAGCGGCCTGGCTACCACAATGGGATAGCTCGCTACCGTGACGCCTGAGATTTAGATTAACACTGGTTTCAGAGACTCACATTAGCCCATAGATTAACACTGGGTCCAGAAACCCACATTGGCCCATAGATTAACACTGGGTTCAGAGACTCACATTGGCCCATAGATTAACACTGGGTTCAGAGACTCACATTGGCCCATAGATTAACACTGGGTTCACAGACTCACATTGGCCACTAGATTAACACTGGGTTCAGAGACTCACATTAGCCCATAGATTAACCCTGGGTTCACAGACTCACATTGGCCCATAGATTAACACTGGGTTCACAGACTCACATTAGCCCATAGATTAACACTGGGTTCAGAGACTCACATTGGCCCATAGATTAACACTGGGTTCACAGACTCACATTGGCCCATAGATTAACACTGGGTTCAGAGACTCACATTGGCCACTAGATTAACACTGGGTTCACAGACTCACATTAGCCATTAGATTAACCCTGGGTTCACAGACTCACATTAGCCCATAGATTAACACTGGTTTCACAGACTCACATTGGCCCATAGATTAACACTGGGTTCACAGACTCACATTAGCCCATAGATTAACACTGGGTTCACAGACTCACATTGGCCCATAGATTAACACTGGGTTCACAGACTTACATTGGCCCATAGATTAACACTGGGTTCAGAGACTCACATTGGTCACTAGATTAACACTGGGTTCAGAGACTCACATTGGCCCATATATTAACACTGGGTCCAGAAACTCACATTGGCCCATAGATTAACACTGGGTTCAGAGACTCACATTGGTCCATAGATTAACACTGGGTTCAGAGACTCACATTGGCCCATAGATTAACACTGGGTTCACAGACTCACATTGGCCACTAGATTAACACTGGGTTCAGAGACTCACATTAGCCCATAGATTAACCCTGGGTTCACAGACTCACATTGGCCCATAGATTAACACTGGGTTCACAGACTCACATTGGCCCATAGATTAACACTGGGTTCAGAGACTCACATTGGCCCATAGATTAACACTGGGTTCACAGACTCACATTGGCCCATAGATTAACACTGGGTTCAGAGACTCACATTGGCCACTAGATTAACACTGGGTTCACAGACTCACATTAGCCATTAGATTAACCCTGGGTTCACAGACTCACATTAGCCCATAGATTAACACTGGTTTCACAGACTCACATTGGCCCATAGATTAACACTGGGTTCACAGACTCACATTAGCCCATAGATTAACACTGGGTTCACAGACTCACATTGGCCCATAGATTAACACTGGGTTCACAGACTTACATTGGCCACTAGATTAACACTGGGTTCAGAGACTCACATTGGCCATTAGATTAACACTGGGTTCAGAGACTCACATTGGCCCATAGATTAACACTGGGTCCAGAGACTCACATTGGTCCATAGATTAACACTGGGTTCACAGACTTACATTGGCCCATAGATTAACACTGGGTTCAGAGACTCACATTGGCCACTAGATTAACACTGGGTTCAGAGACTCACATTGGCCATTAGATTAACACTGGGTTCAGAGGCTCCCATTGGCCCGTAGATTAACACTGGGTTCAGAGACTCACATTGGCCCATAGATTTACACTGGGTTCAGAGACTCACATTGACCCATAGATTAACACTGGGTTCAGAGACTCCCCAGTGGCGATGTGTACACACCGCACCAGGTACTCACTTGAGGCTGAGTCGATCTAGGGGGGGCCCAGGACCCGTTCAGATAAAATCGTCACCGGTATTGGCCGCGAGTGGGAATCGAACTCGGGACACCGGGTTCGTAGCGCAGCTATGGACCCAACCATGGCCTAGAACTTAATCGAGAAGACCCACGGACAAACACCGAACCGCGTGGCCACTCAATTTTCATAAGTGCCCCCTGCGTATTTGCAGCATTGTAACTGCCAACTAATTGGCCATTCGTAGCAGGGGTGGCCGCACCTTTTGTGGCTCACCGCGTTTGACTTCTTAACACGCGCAGGATGACTCAGCTTCTAGATTTAAAGCTTTCGTGACTGCTAGGATCCATACTCTTTGGTTCTATTGGGTAAAGTCACGTAGGTAAAAAATAAAATAACAAAAATCACAACGTTCGGCCACAACACAAGCGGCCTTCATCAGGTGAAGGGACGAGACTGTCTCGTCCCTTCAACTGATTTTACCCAATAGAACCAAAGAGGATGACTCAGCTTGTTCGGCAATCTTCGCGGATTGTGGTGGAGTGGGCGAGACTCTTTGGCAATCTGTCATTCCCATCGGTTTCTCCCATGCGGTTAGCGGCAATGCTCACCGCCAAGGGCTTGTCTTTTCGGTGGAGTGTAATAATTTGGTTAAACAACTTGCGATCAAGGTCAATATTTGTGTGATTACGGAAAGCGCGCAGAAGATAACAACGGCAACGACGACATGGGAATTGTAATCGTGGGGAACACTGCATCGCGATTATCACGGCGATTCGATAATCGCGGCGCTTGGATAATCGCGGAGCTGCGATGATCGCGGAGTTCGAAAATCGCGACACAAATCGAAAAATCATCTGACGGAGAATTAACGGGGGGGGGGGGGGGGGGGGGTGGGGAGGGAAATCGAAACTCGACCACGGAGTCGTAATCGATAGAATCGTTGGTAGTGGAGTTGGTACATCATAGTGCTTCGAGAGACCACGCACTCCAATCGAACACCACGATTATTATTTTTGTTACGGTCATCATTTTAATTAGTTTATTTAAAATAGCTTAAATTTTGATTTAAAGCTTTCGTGACTGCAGTAATTCATATTCTTAGTTTTTTCGGTAAAGTCACGTTGAAGAGAAACAACAAAATAACAAAATATATATATTTTTTATTGTTTTATATATATTTTGTTGTTTCTCTTCAACGTGACTTTACCGAAAAAACTAAGAATATAAAATAGCTTAGTTAGATTTTTTTTATTTAAAGCATTCGTGACTGCAGTGATTCATATTCTTGTATATCTTTTAAAGTGATTTGTTTCCTTTCTTGTGCTTTGCACTACTATCGTGCTTTTGCATTGTTTTTGTAACGTTCTTATCCCGCTCATCGGATCCCTCCAGTCTCAAGACCGATTCTGAACACAGCATGCGATTATATTGTTTACGATTGCGTGCCGCGATTCCGATTCCGAATCGATTCTGACTTCCACCTGCCGTCCCGCGTGTTACGCTGTCATGATTCCTTTAGCGCCAAGCTCAACATTGCACAACGACACCCACGAGGAGTTAATTATCCGAGAGGCGCGATTCCATCGGTTTATCCCGATCGACACGAACCGATTTCCATCTTTAACATTGCTAACGAATCGATAAAGCCCCCTTGCGGGAATCTCCGTGGGCTAATCGGGCTGTACCATTTGCTGGCGGGGGAGGTTTGGGTCAATCCATCGCACTCGGGGAGGGCTATTAAACCTCCCCCACCAACTATCCAACGTATTCTTTACGCCTCAACGAGTAATAAGCAAACGTTACTTTAATTGATTATGATGTTTATAACCATCTAAGTGGTGATTTTAAAAGCTTTAAATCAAACTTTGGTGATTTTAAGTTATTTAATTGGGGGGGGGGGGGAGGGGGTGTTGCTCTCCCTCCCTCCGGCCAAGGCGTCCCGTTGCCAGGCAGCAGGAGACTCAGAAGCCTCAGCGCCAGCTGCTCCGTGACACACTCAGGCGGGGTGTCTCTCTCCTCTCTCTCTCCTCTGCGATATTCTCTCACAAACTATCTCGTTGTGAACATCCGCTTCGTTTAATTCGTTGTGAGTATACGGACTTTGAGTGTTTATTGTAGCGAGTCGACCGATTCCCGACTTCAACAGTGAGTGCTGTTTTGTCGCTCGCCGCTTGGCGCGCCTTTAATTTTCGTGATGGGTTGGTGTGGGGGAGGGAGCTGCCGCTCTAACCAGTCCGTGGTGATGTTAAATTACAATTATTTGTTTGTTTTAAACTAAAGTGTATTTGTAACTGCCGCTGAGTTGATTTGTAAACTCCAAATATACAGCAGCAGGCATCGTTAGGGGATCGAACCCACGACCTTCCGTATACCAGGCGAGGTAGTTAACATCTCCTAGCCACCGTGATGATGAGAGAGACGCACACAAACTCCAAATATACAGCAGCAGGCGAGGTAGTTAACATCTCCTAGCCACCGTGATGATGATGAGAGACACGCAAACTCCAAATATACAGCAGCAGGCGTCAGGGTCGGGATCGAACCCACGACCTCCTGTATACCAGGCGAGGGAGTTAACATCTCCTAGGCACCATGGCACCCCAAGGGAACGCGGGACCCTCTCCTGCCAACGTGTCTTGAGACTCGTCAGCGAAGTGAGGCTCTCCTGGGTGTAAGGCCGTGCAGAGATGATCATGGATTCTGGAATTGAATGGTGACGCCTTGTGGAATCGTGGTGCGATAATAGGGAGGGTGTGAATGGTTAGGTACATTGTCGGACTCTTAAGAAGACGTTCGAAACGAAAATGTGTTCTCATTTTATCTCCATATCCACTCATTCCTGCAATCGTTTATCACAATTCAATTTTAGAAATCGATTCAGTTTAGTTTGAGGGTTATTACAGTAGTAGCATCATAATAATGATAGAAGTTGAAATGGAGTGAATACGCCAAAGAGAGAGGAGTACACGGAGCGATGACATCGGCTCGTGTGACACCAGCTGGCTGCATCGTTGCATCATCGCAGGGCGGTGTGAGATGGCGATGGCCTTGGGGAGGGTTTCATCCAGCAGTGGATAGGTCATTGCTGACGAAGAGCAATGTTATTAAAATCGTTTTATTCAACTTGAATCATAACAGAGGTGTGTGCTTTCATGGCCAAACGTTTTGCTCCCTTTACTCATTCTCTGCCGCTTTGTCAATCCGCTGCTGGATGAAGGCATCAGGATCCTCACCCCGAAAACTGCGTGGGTCTTCATTCAACGATTTTCACGGTTGGTTACGTACGGTGCGAAATAAGTTCAACATACACACATAGACTCACATAGTCACTCACCCACGCACATAGTCACTCACCCACGCACACACCTATCCTCCGATGAGCACGGTTGGCTCCGTACGGTGCGAAAGAAGTTAAACGTGCACATGTGGGGGCTAGTGCCCCCCTCCCCACTCCCCATTAGGTGGGGGCTGATCTCCCTCTCACCACGAGCGGGGGGGGGGGGGCGCCGCGTCTAATTGGTGGGTGCTGATGCCCCCCTCACTCTCCACGAGCGGGGGGGGAGCGCCACGTCTAATTGGTGGGGGCTGATGCCCCCCTCCACGCGCAGGGGGGAGGGGGTGCGATGTTTGCCTCCCCCACCCCTGTCCCCACCGCGTTTGTGTCTTTCGGGGTCCCCCGCGCCCCCGAGCGGGTGACCCCCCCCCCCCCTGTACCCGGGTCCTCTCGGACCGCCTAGGGGGGTTGATTACGCGCGCGCCTACCCCCACTCGCGTGTTCTAACCGCGTGGATTACGTAATGGTTTGACTCGCTGCTGTGTGGGGTTTAATTAATGATTTCCACTAAGCCGTTGTGTTAACAAGCCAACGGCGCTCGGAATCAATTAATCTCTGCGCGCTACGCTCACGGCGCGGTCAAGCGTCCCTCTATTTAATTATTTATTTGCATGTGCGCGCGCGTCACACCCACACTGATTTATGGTCACCCACACACCGTCGTACGCCGATCGCTGCCCCACCGTTCTTCACACGCACACATGCACCACGCGTCACAACGGCAGTCTGTGCTAAGATTTATTTCCCGGAGCGAATAGGTACCCCGTGTATGACCCCCTCCAGCCAGCACCCTTCCTCCTATCACCTACCCGTCTCAGAGTGCCTCTATCCCCTAAGCTCGAGCTGACTGAATTGGCCTCCCTTTTCCGTGCCCACTCACCTCTTCAGCTGCCTGATGGGGCTGGGGAAGATGCTCGCCTTAGGGACTTTTTCTGACTGATCGTTTTCAGCTCCACCCTGCATGCGTCGCACGGACGTTGAGGACGGCTGGCCTCTCAAGCCGCTCTAGAAGGACTCTGATCCAATTTGCCCTCCTGCCCCCCTTATGTTCCCGAAACCCGTTAATCCCCGGGTCATATGACGTCATCCTGAGCATCCAATCGAATCCTCTTTTGCGGCCGTTTTGAGCGCTCTGGCCGTTGGGGGGGGGGGGGGGAGTCGCGTCATCCCCCCCCCCTTCCCATTGTCTCTGTACCCGCGTCTCTCGCCGTTGACTCATCGAACTCCAACTTAAATCAGCTCTTATCTGCCTAGGGGCTTTTCCCTCCCACCCCACTGTTTACTCTGCCGCTGGGTTCTGGCTGAAGGTCCCACCCCCCCCCCCTCCGTGTTGTGTATGCTTCATCGCGGCCGGCCTATAAAGCTCTATGTCCCCTTTTTGGGGGGGCCGCCATGTTATCCGGTCTGGGGGGCTCAGCCAATTTCCTGGTCCGGGGAAACCGTAGAACGTCCCTGCTATTGGGATCCTCGGGTGAAAACCCATCATACCAGGTGATCCCTCCTCGAGACCCTACGGGGGTGCATGTGAGTGTTTAGTGGGGCGTGCGTGCGTTCGTGGGGGGGGGGGGTGCGAGGAGCGGGTAGCACCGGCCGAGCTGCTCCGCTGCGGTGGCACCACACACACATGCAATGTCTACACTTCCTCCCCTTCTCCTCTGCTTCCTCCAGGTTCACCTTCCGCACGTGCCCCCATCTCTGCTGGGAGGATGACGACAATGGACACTGTGTACACGCTGGCCTCTGAGGGCAGCAGGAGCAAGTTGAACACCTTGGTAGGGCTGTCTGATGAAGGTAAAGTCCCTCTGCTCTCTCATTCATCTTTAATGATTGCTGGGAGGAGGCCACGATGGCATGGAGGAGGCCGCGATGGCGTGGAGGAGGCCACGATGGCATGGAGGATGCCGTGATACACTCACTCATCTTACACTGACTCACACATCATACACTGACTCACTCATCATACGCTGATTCACTCACACATCATACACTCACACAACCACTGACCCATTCACTTATCATACAATGAATACGCTGACTCACTCACACATCATACACTCACACTACCACTGACTCACACATCATACACTGACTCACTTATACGCTGACTCACACATCATATACTCACTACCATTGACTCACTCACACATCATACACGGGGAGTGTCATGCTGACAGATATGGCTGCAAGTTTGTTTGTACATTTTATGTATATCGTTTATTGTTAAATTTGAATCAAAGTTCCTATGATTACTGTTGTTACATTGTATTTTATAGCTTTATTTTGGTGATTTCTAAAACATATGGTTAAGCCATGTTTCTTGCGGAAGTGCGGAGTTGGCCTGATAACTTGAATCTAAATTGTCTTATGGTTCATCTTCTTTGGTTCTTTCGGTAAAGTCACGTAGAATGAGAATAAAATAATAAATTGATAAAATAAAATAACACAATAATATTCTCACAACGTTTCGGCCACAACACAAGCGGCCTTCATCAAGCGGCCTTCATCAAGGCCGCTTGTGTTGTGGCCGAAACGTCGTGAGAATATTATTGTTTTATTTTATTTTATCAATTTATTATTTTATTCTCATTCTACGTGACTTTACCAAAAGAACCAAAGAAGATGAATCCTTGCAGTCACGAAAGCTTTAAATCGAAATTTTGTCTTATGGTTGTTATTGTTTGTCTTTCATCACACTGGGATTTTTGTACACAGCATTGTAATACGGTGTATTAATTCTGGAAGATTTGCTGGTTTATCCAGGATGTTTTTGTTGCGCGTCGTTGCTTTAAGATGTTCTCTGTTCATATTTTGTTTCTTGCGGTTGCACCCGACTCAAGAGCCGCATGGCTCACAGGGCTATACCTAATAAATTAAACTTGAAACTAATCTCAAACAATTCTCACTTTATCGTCACTGACACTGGTGAGACAAGGCCATAAAGACAGGTGTTCTTTGGTGTAGGACAATCAGTTTAAAAGACAATTCGCATATTATTATCTGGGCATGTTTGCATGTTTTGCCACAAGTATGTGTGATTGATGCAGACGTGATGCCTTGCAAAATGTATCTCTTTGGTGTTTGAACATCTTAACACAATTCCTGTTTTATTGCTGGAAAGGGCAAAACCTATTTTTTATTCCAACTTTGCCGTAATCCACAGTAGCTCTAGGAGCTTCATAACAAAGTCTGGCTCCCTGAGCCACGTTCACATTTAGATTTCTACGTTAAGAATCTTCGAGGTGCCTTAGTCCGGCTTATTTAGTGTAATCGCATAATCTATTGCCAGGGTTGCCACTCATCCTGATCTTCCCAGGATCCTCCCCTTGGTTGAGGAGGCAGCTGGTGTTTTGCTGCGGAATCTCTAAGGGGGCCACGGTGGCCAGGAGATGTTTACTACCTCGCCTGGTATACAGGAGTTTGTGGGTTCAATCGCCCGCTGTATAATTGGAGTTTGCATGTTCTCCCCGTGGTCGCGTGGATTTTTCGCTGGGTCCTCCGATTTTCCCTCCGCATTTAGAATCAACATCACGCGTTTAGAATATTTGACTGCTAGAAATTTCCACGTTATAAGCCACTTCATTGAGCTATCATATGTGGCTATCACAGATTGCTTCTGAAAAAGGACTACACAGCTCAGTGGACCTTACCTGGTAAAATACTAATTGTTACATAGTTATAGTTAAGTGTAACCGGGACGTTGCAACCAAGTTCCGACGTTGCGTCACTTGCGTAGCGATAATGTGAATCTCTATGATGTGCCCCGGCTTTGTTGTGCCCCGGCTTCGTTGTGCCCGTGGCAACCCAATTCGTTGCGCGGAATTTTCGCCGCACCTCCGATTAGCCCGGTTGGCCACGTATTGCGCGAAATTAGTTCGACATACGTACATACAATATATATTCTTGGTTCTTTCGGTAAAGTCACGTTGAAGGGAAACAATAAAACAATAAAATATATATAAAACAAGAAAATTCTCACGACGTTTCCACTGTAACACAAACAGTCATCATCAGGTGTGAAAAAACCAATGGCAAGAATGCTTCTTGCCGTTGTTTTTTTGTTACAGTCGAAACGTCGTGAGAATTTTATAGTTTTATATATATTTTATTATTTTATTGTTTCCCTTCAACGTGACTTTACCGAAAGAACCAAGATTATGAATCACTGCAGTCACGAAAGCTTTAAATCAAAATCATACAATATATGTCGCGTGAGAGAATACTGTACTACACATCATTCCCTTACACAACAAATATATATATATCATAGTTTATTTATTTGGTATAGCCCTGTGAGCCATTCGGCTCTTGAATCATATACTACATCGTAATCTCTTAGAACAACAGATCGTGTTTCCATGTGTGTATCCACTTGTACTTACTGATGTTAACATGACTATGAGATAGGGGCGTGTGTACCTGTATATGTACGTTGACCTCCTGCTGACTCGGCTTATCTGAAGCGTCAATTCTTGCCTGGCTTAACGTATTCAAAAGTAACATTTTTGGCCCGGCAGAACAAGACGGCGTCAGCCAGCCATCACGCTTTGTGTGTTTGCGAGGGCCCTTTCTGCATCGTGGATCTCGTCTATCTTCATTCACCCTGTGAGCTGTGAATGATGCAGGGCAAGCACGTGAATTGTCCACGCAAAGTAGTTGCTGCGCCTGTGGTAACGACATTTTATACCGTCCGACGGATTCACTCTGCATGCCGGGAGCTTCTTCAGGAATTGGATGTTCAGCTTCACGAGGAACTAACTATTCGGGAAGAAGAAACGTCGTGAGAATTTTATTGTGTTATTTTATTAATTTATTATTTTATTCTCATTCTACGTGACTTTACCGAAAGAACCAAAGAAGAAGAAGCTCCCCGTGCATGTGGGGCGAAACGTCGGACGTCGTGCTGAATGACACGCCGATGCATCCAGAAAACTTATCACAGAGCTGTAGAGCACAACCCCTGAAACCTACATAGTTTGAACGTTTAAAGATCCTCCTCCTCCTGGGCTCGTGTATTAAGTTGTAACACCTCTTATGAACAGTAAGAAAATTATATACAGCGCCCTGGCAATACATTGCAGGCCGAGTACCTTCCATTCTCGTGTTAGTCACGGGGATCATTTGACTGTGCGTCATTGCGATGGTCAGCGCGAGTTGACGATCTTGGGGGGGGGGGGGGGGGGGGGGGACGCACTGATGCGGAAGCGTAGAAGTTCTCTACAACGTTGAAATTTGTGGCCCTGCCCTCTGCTGCCAGCGCCCCGTCGCCCCGCAGCCCATAACTTACAACCGCTGTGACAGGCTCGCACGCTCCTGCTGAGCCTCCCAGAGTGTGTGGAGCCGTCGCGGTAACACACGGCAACTCCCGCAGTCGGGAATCTAACTCAGATTTGCAGGGTTTTTTAGTGGAGTGCCACCAACCACTGTTCCACTGTTCGCGCGATGCAACTTGCACTGCTTTGTCACCACTGCAAGTTCATTGCGCCACTTTATGTTGCCGCGAGATGTTTATATTGCTGTGCACTGTAGTGCGTTGGAGTTTATGATGTGGCTGTAGAACGTTCATAAATTTAATATTGCCCCGTAAGAGCTTTCCACGTGACTTGGAGGAGCTCGGAGTGCTGAGCCGGCACCGCTGAGATGCTGGGTTCGAATCCAGGTTTCAACTACCTGCCATTAAAAAAATATCCACTTTTATGTAATGCCATACAGCTCTCTGTTTCCACTTGAACTGTATTCTCAAGTATATGTATGTATGTTGTGATCGAAACATCGCAGTTTTTTGTTTATTTTATTTTTATTAATTTGAGCCTATCTACGTCAATTTACCAAAAAACCCAAAGAATATGTATGTATGTGTGTGTATGTGTACGTGTATGTGTTTGTGTATGTGTGTATGTGGTTGTGTGCGTGTATGTGTGTGTATGGGTAATTGTCTGTACGTGTGTGTGTGTGAATGTATATGTGTGTATGTATGTATGTACGTACAGATGTATATGTATGTATATAGAGCGTCTTTCCCACCGTACATAGCCAACCGCGTTAGTCGGAGGTGTGGGTGATAGGGTTGTAGATGAGAGGAGTTCTCCTGGATGCCCTTTGTGAAGGTCTCTGCAGCCAGCAGGGCAACAGTGATGTTTTCAGAGATGCGCATAATAATACATTTATTTGAAAAAAACATGCGGGTTGGGTGGTTCCATGGAGCCAACGCTTGTAAGCTAGCAGAGCCAAGTTAGCCGAGTTCATACATAGAGACCCCTAGATATACACACCAATGATGGTGACGTCATCACGGCGCTTGTGCCAGGCCAGGTGCACTTTGAGGTCACGTGAAGTGTTGAAGGCTCGCTGACAACAGGCGGCCAATTTTGACACCACTGGTACCAGTCTTCTCCGCTCAGCTCCACATCTTCCCAGACCATATTGGCTCCATTGCTTCATGCCTTCTACTGAATCATGGCGGACGAGACGCGCGATGCGAGCAAGAAGGAGCAACTGTCCGTCGTTAACCGCTTCGTTGAGATCAAGACTGGCGTGCTGTGCGAGCGTCTCGTCGACCTGAAGCACGTCACCGACACGTGTACCCCCACGCTCCGCGATTTCATTGTTGACATGCAGACCAATCACGGTCGCCCGATCGCCAACTGCCGCAGGCAAGCCTATGATGGCATGTCCAATATGAGCGGCGAGATCAACGGCCTGCAAGCCCTGATCAAGCAGCTGAACGATTTGGCCTATTACGGGCACTGCTGGGCGCACAAGCTCCAACTCGTATTGGTTGCTGCTTGCAAGGATGGCGTCCCTGACATCAGCCTGTTCTTCGCATTGGTCAATTACATCATCATTGTGGCGACGAGCTCCTGCAAGCGCAACGACAATCTCATGAACACACAAGAAGAAGATTGTGCTGGAGATGATCAACGAGCTGCTGGTTGAGACGGGTTGCGGTCTGAACCAGTAGACGGCGTTGGTGTGCCCAGGCGACATGCGCTGGTTGTCGTTCTGGTGCACGCTGCGTCGCTTGATCGACATGTTCGGCGCGACAATGCAAGTCATCCAGCATGTGGAGACGGACGGTAGCAAGTCGGAGCAGCGGGTAGAGGCGACGCGCCTGCTCGACGGCATGTGCGCATTCAAGTTTGCATTCATCTTGCACCTAATGGCGAAGACGCTGCTTATCACGCACATGACCTGTCGCAGGCGCTGCAAACGAAGGACCAGGACATCGTCAATGCGTTGTGGTTGGTCGATGGCGTCGTCGAAGCGCTGACGGAGATGCGCGTTACCGGCTACGACGACCTGCTCCTCAAGGTGCAGCAGTTCTGTGAGAGCCACAAGATCGAGGTGCCCGATATGACCGCCAACTTCGTCCGACCTGGCCGGCCTCGTCGCAATGGGCACATGAACACCAATGATCATATTCTTAATATATGTTTTGTTATTTTGTTGTTTCTCTTCATGATCCTTGGTTTTGATTTAAAGCTTTCGTGACTGCAGTAATTCATATTCTTAGTTTTTTCGGTAAAGTCACATTGAAGAGAAACAACAAAATAACAAAACATATATAATATATATATAAGAGAAACAACAAAATAACAAAACATATATAATATATATAATAATATATATAACAAAACATATATAATATATATAATAATATATATAATATATATGTTTTGTTATTTTGTTGTTTCTCTTCAACGTGACTTTACCGAAAAAACTAAGAATATGAATTACTGCAGTCACGAAAGCTTTAAATCAAAACCAAGGATCATGTTTTTCGTGTCGACCTGTTCTATGCAGCGATCGACAAGATGCTGGCCGAGTTCGCCTAGAGATTCAGCACCGAGTCGATGGAGATGCTCCGCATAGCAGCATGTATCTCTCCACGCAAGCAGTTCGCTTCGTTCAATGTCGACAAGCTCGTGGAGCTGGCCCGCAAGTTCTACATTATCGACTTTCCTGACGTCGACCTAATGCTTCTCAATCAGCAGCTGGTCCACTTTGGCAGGGAGATAGAGAAGGTCGAGCTATTGAAGAATGTGGGCACACTCCCTGAACTATCGGTCATGCTGGTGCAGACTGGCCGGGCCACGACCGGCGACCACCTTGTATACCGATTGCTGCGGCTAATACTGACATTGTCGGTGGTGACAGCCACGCCCGAGCGCGTCTTCAGTGTCCTAAAAATCATCAAGACCCGTTTGCGCACCGCAGTGGGCTCCGACTACCTCAATGACGCCATGCTGCTGTATGTCAAGAAGGAGACTGCTGCGACGGTGAAAAACGATCAAATGATGTCATACTTCCAGGCCATGCGCCATCGCCGTACACGCATCCAATAAAAAGCAAGGGACAAGTCCTTACTTACTAACAACTATCATCTTTCATTGCCGGAGGGGTGGCCCCCCCTACCTGAAAATCCTGGCTCCACCTCTGGCCATGATGATCGTTTTTCAGATAATATTGCCCTATCTTCTGTGCGCAGTGAAGAAGGCCCATGAGCCTGAAATATCGCCGATTTTATATAAATAATATATTATTTCTAAGGCAGTCTTATTTTTGAATGCGTCGAGGTTTTTGTCGTTGTTATTTGTGCATGTGCCACCACTATCTAATGCGGTATCATACCAAAAAAACAAAGGTTAATAACAAATATATATGCATTTTATTTATTTCTTGTTTGCAATAACGGTCCTTATTGTCTGGGGAGAGTGCTCTTGCCAATGACATCTCAATGGGCAGATGTCCCAGCAGATTGCTGTTTGTCCAGATGACCTTATAGCAAGTTTCCAAGTGAAGTGACGTCTGCCCGAAACACACACGCAACGTTTTGCCGATCTTTTAAATCGTGCCCTCACGCTAACGTTGACTGACAAGCCGCCGCCACCCCGAACTGGCCACAAGTATACGAGCAGCCATGGTGACTGAATGTAACACGTTTAAAAAAAGAGTTCAATGTGTAAAAATATTCGTATTCCTCAGTGTAATGTAGCCCATTGACAACAAAGTCCAGGTATTAATGGCCTTTGTTGTTTGCTCGAGTGAGTTCTAGCAATCGGAAGCTTGCGAGTTCAAATCAAGGTTGGGGGGTTGACTCGGCCCATCATCCCTTTGTGGTGAATAAAATAGTTATCACCTTTTGGGAAAGTCTGAACTAAACTAAACTTTTAATTTTTATTTTTACCAGTTAGGCCCCAGTGAGCTACAAATGATAGCTCATACTCTTTGGTTCTTTCAGTAAAGTCACGTAGGTAAAAATAAAAATAAAATAAAGTTAAAATAAAACAACAATTGAAATTAACTAAATCAAATCACGACGTTTCGGAGGCAACACAAGCTTCCGTCATCAGGTGTAACTGGCACAGCAAAATTACTGTAGAGAGAGCTATTTGTGATAAAAGATTATTATATAGGGTAAGAGGAGGGGGGAGGAGCCAGGGAGGACGGATGCAGGGTGGGGGGGTTTTGGGGGACCGGGATGGTGAAGCTCCTGCGCATGCACCACGGATGGGGGGGGGGGGGGGGGGCGCGGGGCGGGGGAGAGTGGGATGGGAGACAAATTCGCACGATTGAAACATTGCAAGTCAAATATCCTAGTGATGGTAGTGTGTAAGGCTGGGAGTATAAGACCGGAGATATGGATATGAATATAAACTATACGGCAGGTAAAGTTTAACTTGGTTAATAACATCTTTCCAATGATTGCTCAATTTGAATCCATCCTCTCGGTTGAAGTTATGTCTATGTTTGTATATCTGGATGGCTTCATGGACAAATATTTGATGGTATCCAGACGGCTTGCAGAGCACTTTGGTATCGGAGAAAACAATATCATGAGAACCCACCGCGTTGTAGCAATGATCAGCCATGGCAGAAGAATTCGTCCTACCGTGTTTGAAATCTGACTTGTGCTCGCGAATGCGGTCAGATACATGTCGTTTCGTTTCCCCAATGTAACAATCACCACAAATGCAACTCAGTTTATGGTCAGGGATGACATTCTTTACGGATGGGATCAGATCACGGATTTTGTGTACTGTACTGAATCGGACCTGGATCTTGTGTTTGTTTCGAATTTTGGAAATCTTTTTGGTAATGCCTGCCATGTATGGTAACGTGACGGTTTTGATCGGAGTCTCAAGAGGTTGTTCCTCCATGGTAGGAGAAACAGCTTTGCGGATAGTACGGTCCGAGATTTGTCCATGAAGCCATCCAGATATACAAACATAGACATAAATTCAACCGAGAGGATGGATTGAAATTGAGCAATCATTGGAAAGATGTTATTAACCAAGTTAAACTTTAGCTGCCTTATAGTTTATATTCATATCCATATCTCTGGTCTTTTACTCCCAGCCTTGCACACTACCATCACTAGGATATTTGACTTGCAATGTTTAAATCGTGCGAATTTGTCCCCCATCCCACTCTCCCTCGCCCCGCGCCGCCCCCGCCCTATCCGTAGTGCATGAGCTTCACCATCCCCGTCCCCCAACACCCCCTCCACCCTGCATCCGTCCTCCCAGGCTCCTCCCCCCTCCTCTTACCCTATATAATAATTTCTTATCACAAATAGCTCTCTCTACAGTAATTTTGCTGTGCCAGTCACACCTGATGACGGAAGCTTGTGTTGCCTCCGAAACGTTGTGATTTTATTTAGTTGTTTTCAATTGTTGTTTTATTTTAACTTTATTTTATTTTTACCTACGTGACTTTACTGAAAGAACCAAAGAGAATGGATCATTGCAGTCACTAAAACTTCAAATCTAGAAATGATAGCTCGTCAAAGTAGCTCGTCACGTGGATATTTTATAGCAGCCAGATCATCTAAAGTTAAGCACAAAGAGGGTGCTGCTGTAGGCTGCTGCGCAGCTACCTGGATAGCAACTGAGGGTCGCAGCATGATCCGTTGTTGTACTGAACTACATATGTTTTCGTCTCAGCTTTTTGCTGAATATGGTGCGTTATGAACCTCGGATTGATTGATCGATGCTCCCCGCCTGTACGCCCCGCACTGACCAGCGTGGTGAATTATGGTTAAGTAATTCCAACGATCCACAAAAGGCGTGGGGAGTCCCTCATCCAGTAGTGGATTGACAGGATGAGCCCGTGCATGTACACAACAAAAACCCAGCTGATGTCGCTCTGATCAACCTACTACCCAGGTCACTCACTCTGGCAAATGAGCCTCCTCCTCCAACGTGATTTCTTGACTTATCACGTGGTCACGCAAAAACAACTTGACGTTCATTGCTCAGTCATAGTTTTGTGTGTGTGTTTGTTCCTCCCCAGAGATTGTCAAAGTGTGGGACGGAGTGTCTACCTTCATTGAGAGACACATGGCTCAGCACAAGGTGAGTTTGCCCATCTTTATTCATCTTCTCTGCTTAGGATTTCTGCCCGAGGAAAGGTCCGTGGAACAAGCTCCTCACCATCCGATGCGATCCTCCTCACATCTCCTCACCCCACTCCTCACGTCCCGCCTCACCCGCCTCCTCACCCAATTCCTCACTCCCTCCTCACCCCACTCCTCACCCCCCTCCTCACCCCCCTCCTCACCCCCCGCCTCACCCCCTCCTCACCACTCCTCACCCCCCGCCTCACCCCCTCCTCATCCCTCCTCACCCCCCTCCTCACCCCCCCCCACCCCCTCCTCACCCCCTCCTCACCACCCTTCTCACCCCTAATCACCCCCACCTCACCCCACTCCTCACCCCCCCGCCTCACCCCCCTCCTGACTCCCACCTCACCTCCCTCCTCACCGCCCACCTCACCCCCTCCTCACCCCCCTCCTCACTTCCCTCCTCACCCCCTCCTCGCCCCTCCTCACCCCCCTCACCCCCTTCCTTCTCACCCCCCTTCCCACCGCCCCTCTTTAGCCCTGACTCTACACTCACCATGCCAGGCATTCATAGCGCTAGGTTTTTTCAGATCCAATATTGCAATCCGTCGTCGATTCCACCGGTGTTTGGAGGGGTTCTTATTTTGACACAGATTTGATTAGATGTTTGTGGCCTAATAAAAAAATAATATATATTCGGGTTAGGGTGGGGAGCACAGGGGTATGTGAATGTGTGGGTGAGTGACTATATGAGTGGGTGAGTGACTATGTGAGTCAATGTGTGTACGTTAAACTTCTTTTGCACCGTACGTAGCCAACCGTGCTAATCGCCGGATGGGTTAGTGTGTGAGTGAGTGACTATGTGAGCGAGTGACTGTGAATCTATATGTGTACGTTGAACTTCTTTCGCACCGTATGTAGCCAGCCGTGCTAATCGGAGGTGCGGGGGAAGGACAACAAACTAAAGGTGGCCAACCCATAGCGCCTAGATTTGTCCTGTCACCTCCTTACTGTGAGCCTTCCGCATTTCATGTAACGTTGCTCGGCATGCACCCAGCCTGCCACAAGCCCTTGTGGTGCACGTGTCAGTCATCTCAGATGACCCACGGCACCCGTGTTTGCTACTTGACCTCCTGCCAGCGAATCTTCGGAGCTACCACGTGATGGCCTCAAAAAGTGCACCTTACCTGGTATGATTGTCGTGGTGACGACGTCGCCGCCACTAAGTGGTGAATGCCGTCTGTTGCCATCGTTGTGTGTGTGTTTTGTGTATGTGTTGTGTGTGTGTGTCGTGTGTGTGTTGTGTGTGTGTGTTGTATGTGTGTTATGTGTTTATTGTGTATGCTGTATTGGCTTCCGGTTACCGGACAAATACATTATAAGGTCGCACTCATTACACACAAAGTACTTGCCACAAATGAACCACAATACCTTGCTGATCTCGTCAAGGAACATAAATCATCATGCAAGCTCCGGTCATTCTCGCAGCAGCGGCGGCTTTTGGCTATCGGACAAAGATGGTCACCGCATTGCGCGGCGCTTTCAGATGCGCTTCTGCGGCTGTCTGGAACGCTCTTCCTTCCGACATTAGAAAGCCACTGGGAGCTATGACACTTTAAAATCATCATCTAGGTTGACAAACTCATTTTTCTTAAGAACTGCTTTTTGTGTTTAGTTTGTTGTCCCCCCTGTGCCTACGATTAGCACGGTTTACTATGTACGGTGTGAAAGAAGTTCCACATACATGTGTAGAGGTGCTAACTACTCACTGTTCGGTAACCTGCATGGCCACTAGGTATCAAAGGAGCAGTGCAGCATTACCTCTGTGTGAATAACGGTTGGGGTCAGACGAGGTGAAGTGGATCGTAGCCACAGTTTGGTAAGAACCAATCAGACAGTTCCACGTGTGAGTGTGGGATTGGTTAGACCTGGCCACAAACGGGTATAAGAAGGGTGAGCACGCAGAGCGCAGGGAGTTCTCTCCCTACACGAAGACCGAAGCCCGGGCTGAAGATAGACAGGACCCTGGACCCAGCCTTACAGCCCTTTTGAGGGCGAAGGCTCGGCGTATCCAGTGGTCAAGATCCACCGGGCCAGCGGTGGGTCAGATAGCCTCCCCTAGGTCCCAGCCGGAGGACTCTAGGCTAGCGGTAGACGTGTAAGTCCTGCCAAGACAGGAGGCTGTACCTCCTTAGGTTAGCAAGAGATCTGTGTGTAGGTCCCGCTAAGTCCGGAGGCTGTACCTTCTTAGGGTATCAGGTGAGGGGACCGTATACCCCTCTGTGTGTTAAGGACTGTGTAAGAGAAGAAAGACAATAAACAGAGTGTGCCTCATGAAAAGTTTGTCATTATAAACACTACACATGCGTACATATGAGTATGGGTCTCTATCGGTTTCTGTCGGTCTCTGTGGGTTTCTATGGTTCTATATGAGTCTCTGGATCTCTGTGGGTCTCTATGTTATTGCCTGCATGTTGTTGCCTGCGTGTTGTTGCGTGCATGTCGCGTGCGTGTTGCGCGTGTGTCGTGTGCGTGTTGTTGCGTGTGTGTTGCGTGTGTGTGTGAGGAGGAGTTGGAGATGCTGCTGCTGAAACTGGAGCGTACCACTAAGAGATGGGGCCTTACCATCAGCCCCACCAAAACTAAGCACCTGCCTGGGTATTTTGTAACATCGGACACTCCACCCCCACAACTCCCAATTGGTGATGGGGCAGTTGTGGAGAGAGTGGGGAGTTTCCCATACCTTGGCAGTGTGCTTATGACCGGCTCCAGTTTAACAGCAGAGGTCTCACTCCGAATCAGTCGAGCGGCAATATATTTTCATCGGTTGCGTAACGCTGTGTGGAAGCTACCTGGTCTGTCGCTCCGCACTAAGCTTCAGGTCTTCTCGGCCACGGTCATTCCCTCCCTTCTCTACGCTTGCGAAACGTGGACTCTCCTAATGGAACATCTTCGCCGGTTAGAAACATTTAGGCAAGCCTGCTTACGATCCATCCTGGGTTTAACCAGGGTGGATTGTGTGAGGAGCTCACAAATCTTTGAAAGATCTGGGCAAGGTCCCATCGGTGAGCTCCTCCGGCAGGCAAGGCTGCGTTGGCTGGGTCATGTAGCCCGCATGCCCAGCCACCGCATGCCGAAACAGCTTTTGTTCGGCCGGATCGAGAGGGCTAAACGGGCGCGGCACGGGCTAGAGAAGAGATGGAGTGATGTGGTACAGGAGGACGTGGAGCTGAGTGGACTTGCCGATGACTGGTCCCAGTGGTGTCAAAATCGGCCTCTGTGGAGGAGGCTCGTGAAGGACGCTACTGGGCATTTGGAGGGTAGTTGCCCTACAACAACAAGGGAGGACGGAGGAGCGATGCTCACAACAATGAGCGGAGCGCCGGGTGGCTAAAGCACAGCAGATTGGCACAGTGGGGGGCACAGGTGGTGCATCAGCCAGTCATCTCAGTCATCTTAGTCAGTCGACCCGTGGCACCTGGGTCTGCCCTCCTGCCCGCGGGCGTTCGACACTGCACGTGGCCTCAAGGTGCACATGGCCTGGTACAAGCGTCGTGGTGACGTCACCGCCACTTAGTGGCGAATGGCGGTTGTTGTTGTTGTTGTGTGTTGCGTGTGTGTTGATGTGTGTATATTGTTGCGTGCGTGTCGCGTGTGTGTCGCGTGCATGTTGCGTGTGTTGTCGCGTGCGTGTCGTGTGCTCGTTGTGGCGTGTGCAGGGCGTTCACGTCCCCGAGCTGGGCACGTTCACGTTCGCGCTGCACAGGCTGCCAATGAGCGGCGGGCGGAGCGTAGCGGTGCGCCGCCCGGTCCTGCGCGTCTCGGAGAAGCTCATTCAGACGCACGGCCTGACGCACAGCAAGCCGCACGTCAGTGGTGCGTTCTGATACCCCCAGCCGCTCCCGATCGTCGGCGGTCATTCTGACAGCGGCACTGAGACTCTACTGCCGGGGCGAGGAATCCCCACAGCACATAGTCTCTGCTCAAAACTCACGTATTGTTCTCTAGCTCACCCCACGACCCCTTAATCTCCCCCTGATAACCATCACCACTGTTACTGTTATCTCTTCATATGCTCATTACATGGCCATCACTCATTCACCTCCATTCATTCAATTCATTCATCATGATTTACTATCAGAATAATATGTATTATTATCATTACATGGCCATCACTCATTCACTCCCAATCATTCAATCCATTCATCATCATCATCATTTACTATCAGAATAATAATTATTATCATTGCATGGCTCTCACTCATTCACCCCTATTCATTCAATCCATTCATCATCATTTACAATGATTACATGGCTATCACTCATTTGCCCCCATCATCATTTACTGTCATCAATTTCACTTTCACCGATGTCACGCATCATCACAGATTTTCCCCCAATTGCTTCCTCTCAGCCATTTCATTCACCTCATCTCCACCGTCTCATTCGTATATAATGCTATTGTTCATTCTTTGTGAAGTGCCTTGGTTAAGGTGCTGTATAATTTCCGTTAAGATAAGATGAGCCAGACACACGTGACTCCGTTTCACACGTCACGTGACTCCACTTCATACAGCATATTTTCACGCGGGCCGTGGTTACACAGGCCTGCCACTCCTAAGCTGCCCAGCAAACGACATTTTTATCCCCGTCACTGCGAGCAACTTAATCGCACTAATCGGGTACCGGTGGGTAATATTTTTGGCGGCGTGCCTAACGGCCGCCTGTAATCGTTGACCGGCCGGACCCCTCACGCCGGCGCGTCTCGACCCCACCGCCCCTGCGTCGTGTTCACCCTCCAGGGGAGATCCCGGTGGTGCAGCTGAACTGGACGGCGCTGGCGCTGGAGAGCGGCGTGTCGCGCGCCCAGGCTGAGGGCGCCGTCCACTGCCTGCTGCGGACGCTGGAGCGGGCGCTGGCGGGCGGGCGCAGCGTGGAGCTGGGCTTGGGCGCCGTGGGGCTCCTCTCCGTCAGGGACTCGCACGTCAAGATGCGCTTCCACCGCCGCTTCGTGCTGCTCGCCACGGCGGCAGCGCCGGATGGCGGCGCGTGCGAGGATGCGCTGCGCGCGATGATCGACGTGAGTACGCGCGGAACGCGATGATCGACGTTGAGGACATGGGGGGGGGGGGGGGGGAGTCCTCGTGATTATGAAAAGGCTGTGATGCCTGTCTCTTCATCGCCACCTGGTGTTAAATATTCCAGCAAGGATTTTTTTACTTGACGGTACGAACATAGAAGGGTGGCTGAGCTCCCCCTTACAGCAAGGGGGCCGAGCCTCCCCACACAGCTCCTCGGCACGACAGCGCTGGAGCAATGACCAAACACATTGACCCCTACAGAACTGGGCCTTATGAATTTGTGTACATATGTTTAACTTCTTTCGCACCGTACGTAGCCAATCATGCTAATCGGAGGTGCGAGAGGCAAGGACAACAAACTAAACACAAAAACCAAGTTAAAAGAAGTGAGTTTTCAATTGAGATGATTTGAAAGTGCAAAGCCTCCAGTGGCTTCCTAATATCGGAAAGAAAGGCGTTCTAGACGGCTGCAGAAGCGCATCTGAAAGCGCCCCACGATACGGCGGCCGTTTTTGTTCGATGGCTAGCCAAAGCCGCTGCGAGTATGACCAGAGTTCACATGATGGTTCACACGATGAAGAGTTGGCTGGGTGGACAGATGAGGACTTTGTATATATTTTTTATTTAAGTTTGTTTACTCAGGAGGTTCCTGCCAAGTTGTTTCAAGTCAGGAGATGATGTCGTTGCTGCTTCTGTGTGATCCCAACTTAGTAATCTTGCAGGGAATGTTTCAGCATTGGGATGTCTGGGCCTTTACCGGTCACACAGTTTGGTGTCTTTAGCTAAAGGAGGAAACCGGAGAACCCTCAGGAGATCCATGCAGAACACGGGAGGGAGAGCGTACCAAACAGGTGCTCGAGTCGGGAATCGAACCCAGTCGCTTCTCTCTGTGAGGCCACGAGGAAGCAAGTACAAGGGAGGAGGGGCAGCGCACTGTGCATTGCAGGGTCGGCACGGCAACAATTGGCCGGGGGGGGGGGGTGAATAGCGGGTGGTAACTCGAGCGGGGGGAAGCGACGGACGGACGGTGACATCATGAGGCTTCAGAGAAGGGCTGAACGTACATGGAACAAAGCGAGGCGAGAGAGCAACGATGAGAGAGAGAGCGAGAGGGACAAGATAGGTGGATAGGGCCGTGGATCATCAACAGGGTGAAGAGATTTTGATTGGATTCTATCAAAGCGTTCTTTGTATGTATGTACGTTGAACTTCTTTCGCACCATACGTAGCCAACCGTGCTAATTGGAGGATGGGTGAGTGTGTGGGTGAGTGATTATGTGATTGGGTGAGTGACTATGTGAGTCTATGTGTGTATGTTGAACTTCTTTTGCCACCGTACATAACCAACCCTGCTAATTAGAGGTGTGGGGGAAGGACAGCAAACTAAACACAAAAGGCAGTTCTAAAGAAATGAACCTCCTTATAGAGAGACACTCAGACCTATGGCTCAAAACTACTCTCCCTGAAAAAAAACATTGAGATGTATAGACTCCCAGACCTAGGGCTTAAACCTATGCTCACACAACAAGCCGGGATGCTGCGGGATGCTTCTAGATGCTACTCATGCACCTGAGTCGCTGTCAGCCTGCGTACGCATCTCACGTATTATCGCGGACTATGCTTTACCCCCTTATATTATATATTATATCGCGATTTTTCCATAACACGGTGTTCTTCAGGAATGCAACTACCGCTGCGTTATAAGAGAAGAACAGACTGTTCTTAGAAGAAGGCGATCCGAAGATCTCAGGGACCTATTTTTAACAAACTCTTAATGATGTTTATTTTACCAGGTAAGGCCCACTGAGTATTAGAGCTCTTTTTCAGAAGCTTGTCGTGTGGAAATTTATAGCAGCCAAATAATCTAAACGCATGTTGATTCTAAATGCGGAGGGAAAAACCGGAGGACGAGGAGAAAAACCACGTGACCACGGGGAGAGAGAGACACACAGCAAACTCCAAATATACTGCAGGTGTCAAGGTCGGGACTGAACCCACGACCTCCTATGTACCAGGTGAGGGAGTTAACATCTCGCCACCGTGATGATGAGGAGAGAGAGACAGGCACACTCCAAATATACAGCAGGCATCAGGGTTGGGATCTAACCCACGCCTCCTGCAAACCGGGCGAGGTAGTCAACATCTCCCTGCCACTGCGGCACCCCTCGTGGGTGTACAAAGTCGGATCGTGTTCCTGTAAACATTTGCGGGGCTTCACCCAATTGAGTGCTTTGTCCCTTGGCCCACAGCGACCGGGCACCGCCGACTCGGTGCTGCCGGAGGGCCCCTTACACCGGCCGGGCACGAGCAATACCCTCTGTCTGCCACGGTGAGCGCTCTCTCATCCTCGTTTTGTTTATTCGCAAACCGCAGCCTTTGAGGGAGTCGAGCTGCATCAAAGTCATATCCGAAATTGGAGACTTCTTTTTGGGAGGGTTTTGACAAGTCTTTTTTTTCCGCGGCAGGGGCGATGTTGCTGCTGCTGCCGCGTGTCATTTTGACGGCAATTGAGTCATTTGCAGGTGATTTTTTGAGCATTGGGATGTTTTGGGCCAATACCGGTTACATTTATACTCTTCAAATCTAGATTACATTTATACTCTTTGGTTCTTTCGGTAAAATCACGTGGGTAGAAAAATAAAATAAAATATAATATATCACGACGTTTTGATCGCAACACAAGCGGTCGTCCTCAGGCGGAAAAAATAATTCAGCAGTGGAACTGATATATTATTTTGTATTTAATTTCTCTACCTACGTGTCTTTACCGAAAGAACCAAAGAGTATGGATTCCTGCAGTCATGAAAGCTTCAAATCAAGACCGGTTACATTTGTTTGGATTTATTGTAACTATGGGAAGAAACACATGCAAAACAGAAGGAGAGCCTGTAAACTCTGTACAAAGGTGCCCGAGTCAGGAATTGAACCCCCTGGGCGCTTCCCGCTGCGAGGCATGAGCGTCGTCGCCACTCACCACCATGCCGCCCATCACCGCGTGCGGCGTGGCAGCATGGCCGCCCCGGTTCTCGAGGCCAGGTCGGAGCTCCCCCCCATTGCTGAGGCGGGGGTAATTGGAGACGGAGACGGAGGAGACAGTCGCGGGGACAACGCGGAGCCGGGAGACGACGGACACGGAGCCCGGAGCGAAGGGGCAGACGCCGGTAACGTGGCGGTAACGTGGCGGCCTCCGGCCCAGCTGCTCGCTTGGGCGCGCGCGCAACACAAACAGAATTATAATCGGAATCTTTACTTATCCTGGAGGAATTCGATGAGCTATGAAGCTCTTTTTCACAGATGTGATTGTCTCGTGACGAGAGTAAAATAAAAAATAGTTTTAGTTTTTGCCTCCTCCAACCTCACTCTGTGGGTGTTCTCGGCAGACCCAGCTCTTATCGTTCATGCGCTTCGTTCAGCGGTGCATTCTGACACCCCAGCATCTCTGACCCTGGCAGTCATTCTGTCAACTATAAACTATATTTTATTTTACCAGGTAAGGTGCCCACTGGGCTTTGTAGCTCTTGTTTTCAAAAGTGACCCTGATCCATCACAAATGATAGCTCAACCGAGTAGCAGATATCACCGCGTGGAAATTTACAGCAGCGGCGGCCAAATAACTTAGTGACAACAAACATGTGCCAGGAGGCAGGGGGTGGGGGCGGGGTGTCCTTCTGTTGGAGTCGCTGCGCGGTTGTGCCCTGGTGTCCCGACGTTTCGCTTCGTGTGCTGGGAGCTTCTTCAGGAGCACACACACGGGCGGGGGGTGGACTGGTGGCACAGGGCAGGTGTGGCAGAACATCAAAGCTGGTGCTTGTAGCAGTTTCCCCTTGGTGTTTTCTGCCGGGTGCTGGTGGCCTTTTTTTGGCGAAGCCATTGAACAAAGACAGTGGTCACCGCATCGTCACGCGGCGCTTTCAGATGCACTTCTGCGGCCGTCTGGAATGCTCTTCCCTTCCAATATTAGGAAGCCCACTGCAGCAATGGACTTTTAAATAATGTAGATTGAAGCTCATTTAGAACACCGTTTTGTGTTTAGTTTGCTGTCCTTCCCCCGCACCTCCGATTAGCACGGTTGGCTACATACAGTGTAAAATAAGTTCAATATACATCCATAGACTCAGGTAGTCACTCACCAATTCACATAGTCACTCACCCATACACTCACCCATCCTCTGATTTGCACCGTTGGCTACCTACATATGCACGTGGCATGTAATCATCAGGCAGTTGTCAGATTGATTATGGGTGTTACTAACACACCGGTGTGCTGCCGAAGCGGTAATAAATTGACACGAGACGACTTTAATAACTGGCTGCGTTGGGTGGAGTGGAGTTTAGGACGCAGCATTTCACTCACACCGGTGGTGGCCGTGAGTGGGAATTGAACTTGGGTCACCGGGTTCGTAGCCCGGCACGCTTACGAATCTTTACATTGGTCGCGAAAGGCCCGCTTGTTAGCAAATCATTGTCCTTGCGTTTCCCATAGAAGAGAATGCCAACAAGAAGATCGTATTGAGGCAGCCCGCGCCGTTGGCCAGAGCGGGCAACTTCAGCTGGACACCGGAGGCCTGCGGCAGGCCTGTGCTGGCACCGACGGCCGCTCTGGCCTCACCGCCCCGGACCCCGCAGAAGTCGCTCGGTGGCGCGGCATCGCCGGGCCCGAGAGCTGCGGCAACGCCACCCGGGACGCCACCGGTGGCGCCGGCAGGTCCTCGCCGAGACGCCCGGCCGCTGGCGGCAGAGATGACGAGCGAGGTGGCGATGTCGCCGAGATCGCCGCACCCGCCCTCGCCGCACTGCATGCACTCGCCGCTACAGGTGCCCGCCAGCAGGTACCGTGGCACCTGCTGGGCCCTGGGCCACTGCGACAGTCCCGGGGCTAACTGCTGTACTACCGCTGCCCATGACACACGGTGGCGAACAAAGACAAATATCTCCCCTGTAGCCTTAACAGATTGTTGGGGCAAGTGCTGTTAGCGAGCAGCACCTATGAAGGCTAGCACGGCGCGTGAGGGGGTTGGTGGCCAACACCATGCCCGGCTGCCTTTGTCTCCCCAGTGGTGATATTTACACACCACACCAGATACTAATTTGAGGCTGAGTCGACCTAGGGGAGGCCCATGACCAGTTCAGATAATCATCGCCGTTGGTGACCGTGAGGGAATCGAACTCGGATCGCCGGATTCGTAGCGCAGCACACTAACCACTGCACCACCACTCCCCATGACGCTAACACACGCGCGCGCACGCTGAGTGACACCGGTGCACCTGGTCACTGTTGAGTGTCGGGCGAGGCTTTGTGTGGGATCATGTAAAGGGCACTGACATCACTTAGCACTGACGGGGAACACAGCCGACATCTGAGATTGTTGTTCTCCTCCTCCACGTGGCTCCTCCGCAACACACGCATCCTGCCCGCGTGGCCGCCACAATTCCGGTTGTAGCGAATTGCCCAGCCTGTGCCACTTCAGTGACCCTAGAATAGCAGGGCGGGCGCGTGTCTCAGGACCAGTTCCAGATCACGTCGCTCGCCAACGACGTTAGCCGTGACCGGGTTCACGGTGCAGTGGCGCCAAACTTCTGTACCATGATTCCCACTGTTTCCTGCGCTAAATGTCACTTTAAAATTGGGGGCGGTTTCACCTGCACCGGTTCAGATTACGGCACTGATATTGACCGTGGCCGTGGGTCAGAGATGCAGCGAGTCTCCCCTACCCCTCCGTTTAACGCCAGGGGGTTGCATTCCTGAAAATTGCTGCGATAAAGGGAATTTGCTGGAAGGTTGGGGGGGGGGGTGCAGATCCAGCTTCGTCATTTTAATATTGTCGTTATAATATTGTCGTTATAATATTGTCGTTATTGTAAGTAGTCAGTCACGTGCTAGACTCACGTTATAGTGAGCAGTCCGTCCCATGCTAGACTCACGTTATAGTAGTAGTCCTTCATGTGAACCTTATGGCGGTTCCCAGGGGTACCATAGTATCCCGGCTCTCACATAATGTCCGTGATGCACTCATTTTTACTCTGTTGATGGTCGGCGATGCGGCAATCGACTCATCTCGACGAGCTGTACACGATGCACTATGGTGCATATGAGCATTCAGGGTTTCAGCACAATCGTCCTCGCTGCATTTCGACATTGTGGAGTAGCACTGATTTCGGATTGATTGGTACCCCAGTCGCGGAGTGAAGTACACCCCTGGAAAAAATTGCATCCCAGAACATTTTTTATAATTGCCTCGGCCGTTTTGTATTATTTGATACCCCGGGGTACCGCCATAAGGATCACGTGCTAGACTTATGTTACAGTGAGTAGTCTGTCACGTGCTAGACTCACATTATAGTGAGTAGTCTGTAACGTGCTAGATTTACGTTATAGTGAGTAGTCCGTCCACTCCTCACGTTGTAGCTAGCACGATCCGTAAATGAAAAAAAATGCATTATCGCAAAAACGTGTCGCTTGATCGGCACGCGTCAAACGGGGATTTACTGGTAGATCGCCAAGATTGGAGCATGGTGTGCAAACCACGGCACCCACCACTGCCCCCCCCCATAGACCCTTTCATCCGCTGGCAATTGTGAAAGGTGCCTTGCAACCACGAGCAACACTCGCCAAAGAGTCGCGAAGCGTCGGTACTCCGTAGACACAATCGCTATCGTGCACAGCGATCATCGCCCCCCTGTACTGGCAGAATATTGCCCCAGGTAACCCTTGCAAGCAAGACCGTGTTCCTGGGATAAACGAAGTGAGCTTGAAACTTGACGTAAGTGGCTCCTTTAACCGTCGCTCGCATTACACAGAGCTTGCTTCGTCATCATCAGCTCCTGTTTTGCTTGACAAAAGGGGCTGTTGTTTGGCGCTGTAATAATTCATCAGGCCCCGTCTGCGTGTGTCTAGAGTGTCCCATGAACTATTGATGGCACAAGGGCCACGACAGTCTGCGTCGGCTCAGGGCAGCGGTGTTGACCATCACGGACAAAAAGGTTGCAAAAACAAAGCCTGCTGATGATGATACTGAGGATGATGATGATGACGACGATAGAGATCACCGTCATCATCATTGTCATAAAGAACATCATCAAGGGCCAGTGCGTCGAACCACTCGAAGTGTCACGATGCATCGAGTCGTTGGAACACGGCATTTGTTGTTGCAGGCCCGGTTGGCTCTGCCCGCCGACGTGGTCGCTGCGGCCCAGCTCAGCGGCGGCAGAGACGGGCGCCCACGGGAGATGCTCCTGGTGCCCCGGGCTTGCGCCGGCCACACCGCCGGGCTGCACGACCCACGGGCGTGCCGGGCAGGTGAAGCACCAAAGCTCACGCTCACACTTGCAGCGTGGTTGTTGACTACCTCGCCTGCTATGTAGGAGGTCGTGGGTTAGATCCCGACCCTGACGCCTGCTGTATATTTGAAGGTTTGCATGTCTCTCTTTCTTTCTCTCCCCGTGATCGCGTCGATTTTTCTCCGGGTCCTCCGGTTTTTCCCTCCACATTTAGAATCAACATCACGCGTTTAGAGTATTTGGCTGGTATAAATGTACACATGATGTATGTTGAACATCTTTCGACCGTGCATAGCCAACTGTGATAATCGGAGGTACGGTGATAAGCAGTGATAAGCCACAAAGAGCTAAAGAAAAGTTTTTAGTTTAGCTGAACATGGCGGCGGCACGTTCGCCGCTTATCTCAGAGGTTTCTCACCTCCTCATTTCACTGCTCCTCGAACTCCTTCTCTCACTGAGCCATCACCCCAGTGGTTTGGGCTCCACTCCTCACCTCCTCAACCGTCCTCCAGACCTCCGTGTTTCTCCCTCTTCCCATCCAGGTTATTTTATTCCAGTCCAGCGCCTCACCCGCACCTCAACACCTCGCAAGTCTATAGGATATCCAGTGTTGACTTTCCCCACAAATTGGTACTCATTTTATGGACCCCCGAAGGGAGGGAGTGATGATGGGCTGAGTCTAAAGTAAAACTATAAACTACTTTTAATATTTTATTAGGTTAGGTCCACTGAGCTACGTAGCTCTTTTTCAGAAGTGACGTGGCCACAGATGATAAACCCAATGAAGTGGCGTATTGCGTGGAAATTTTCAGCAGCTAAATACTCGAAACGCGTGATGTCGATTGTAAATGTGGAGGGGAAAAACACGCAAACTCCAAATATACAGCAGCAGGCGTCAGGGTCGGGATCGAACCCACGACCTCCTGCATACCAGGCGAGGGAGTTAACATCTCCTAGCCACCGTGATGATAATGAGAGAGAGAGACACACAAACTCCAAATATACAGCAGCAGGCGTCAGGGTCGGGATCGAACCCACGACCTCCTGTATGCTAGGCGAGGGAGTCAACATCTCCTAGCCGCAGTGGCACACCCCTGCCCCCCCCAACCAGGATTTGAACTCGTAACCTTCCAATCACAAACTGGCCCGCTGTGCTGCCCAGACACTTCCCACCGTTTGTGTTCCTGTGAAACCAAGTTAACGCGATGATGCAATGTTTTTTGTTTTCTCCATTTCAGCACGATCTTCCGACTGCTGCGCGGACTCCTGTGGAGAGGGTATCTCTCTCTCTCTCGAACCCAGTGCCCCCCCACCACTTGCTCTTCTGTGGCTCCTAGAGCAGCTGTCGTCACGTCCAATCTGCGGCGTATCTCATTTTTACTCTCGTTTCTCAAGTCAATTTACGATATTCATACATTCGCGCTTACACGACTGCTAACAATGTAATGTAATGGCTATTTTATTATTTTAATATATAAAATAATAATAAAGGTTTTTTTTTGGGTTAGACCGACGTAAATATAAATGTGGTCGTTAAACCCGACACAGCCAATTGCGTAAAGGTTTGTCACGTAAACAAAACGTGCTCAATTAGTTACTAGTTCAGCACTATCCGCTTGTGTGTTGGAGAGTAAACCCACTACAACATTTACAATTATAGTGGAGTGTATAGTGAAGTGCATAGTAGCGTAGTGTATAATAGTGTAGTGTATAGTGTAATGTATAGTGTAGTATGCTAGTTCAGCACACCGGTTTTATGTTGGAGAGTGAACCCACTACAAAATTTCCAACTGGAGGACCGTGACGTTTTGCTGGGGATTACAACCGGCCTCATCAGGCGATCAGCCAGAGATGTGGAAAATTCCCCCTCCTTTTCGGTCTTAAATAGAGGGGGTAAAGGTGATGGCACGTTTTGTTTACGTGACAAACCTCACGGATTGGCTGTGTCAGGTGGTGGTGGCAGGTTTAACGACAAATTAATATTTACGTGGTCTAACCCAAAAAAAAACCTTTATTATGGATAATATTGGTGGTGAAAGCCAACGTGTCAAATTCTACATATGTATAACTGCAGTGTCTTTACTGATATAATTTTTAGTGCTTCGTGTTAATGCCCAAGGCTTAATGAGCCAGACTGACAGCTGTAGGACTATTCGGTAAAGACACGTAGGTAAAAAATAAAACAACAAAAATCACGACGTTTCGGCCACAACACAAGCGGCCTTCATCAGGTGAAGGGATCAGGCTGTCTCGAGGACAGCGCTGGAGTGAAACACAGCCACGCTCAGACCGCTGACCTTTAAGCTGTGTGCGAGCAAACAAGGTGCCTTGACAAAGGAATTAGCATAAAAAATAGCATTTGATTGGCCGACTTTAGAAAAGAGGTTTCTCCCTCCATACAGAAACAACCACTTGATACTCCGGTCAAAACCATCACACTACCATATAAACCAGGCGTTACTAAAAATATTTCCAAAATTCTAAACAAACACAAGATCCAGGTCCGGTTCAATACAGTACACAAAATTAGTGATCTGATCCCATCCGTGAAGGATGTCATTCCTGACTTACAGTACCCCGGGGTTTACAAATTGAGTTGTACCTTTGGTGATTGCTATATCGGGGAGACAAAGTGGCATGTCTCTGACCGAATTCGCGAGCACAAATCAGATTTGAAACATGGCAAAACGAATTCTTCTGCCGTGGCTGATCACTGTTACAACGCTGTGGGTGATCACGATATAATTTTCTCCGATACCAAGGTTCTTTGCAAACCCACGGGTTTTTATCAGAGATTTGTTCACGAGGCAATTCAGGTCTACAAACACAGACACAATTTCAAACCAGAAGATGGTTTCAAATTAAGCAACCAGACAGTCTCGTCCCTTCACCTGATGAAGGCCGCTTGTGTTGTGGCCGAAACGTTGTGAGAATATTATTGTGTTATTTTATTTTAGCAATTTATTATTTTATTCTCATTCTACGTGACTTTACCGAAAGAACCAAAGAACATTGGAAAGATGTTCTAAATCGAACTAAACATTAAACTAATCTCAATGGTACAGTATATTTTTCAAGTAGTGGTACCCCAAACTTTCATAGCTCTTATAAATGCCCTTTTCACACCATCAATAGGTAAACTCCCCCTCCCCCCCCCCCACGCCAAACGGCAAGTCCACCGGCACGTACACCACCTCTTTTCTAAAGTCGGCCAATCAAATGCTAATTTTTATGCTAATTCCTTTGTCAAGGCACCTTGTTTGCTCGCACACAGTTTAAAGGTCCGCGGTCTGAGCGTGGCTGTGTTTCACTCCAGCGCTGTCCTCGAGACAGCCTGATCCTTTCACCTGATGAAGGCCGCTTGTGTTGTGGCCGAAACGTCGTGATTTTTGTTGTTTTATTTTTTACCTACGTGACTTTACCGAATAGAACCAAAGAGTATGGATCCTTGCAGTCACGAAAGCTTTAAATCTAGAATAGAAGCTTTAGGACTCTTAGGATTCAGTATTAATGCCCAAGGCTCGGAGGCCCCAGCCTAGGACTCCTTTATGATTCTTTAGGTTTGGGATTTATTACTGGGCCTGGTGGGGCCAGACCAATGGACCTTTATGATTCTTCGGGTTCACTGCTCTTGAAGGCTCACGGCTCACGGAGACCGACTAAGACGGGGTTTGCGAGGTTAAATGTTAGCGCCCGGGGCTCACAGAGAACACGTCACGAGTAAGCACAGGGCGGCAAGGAATCGGCTCATGCAGTCACGCCGTGAACGATTATATGGATACCGTGAATTGAATATTCCACGTTGTGTTTGTTGGTTGTGCCTGTGGCCGTAGTCGCTGTTGCACGTGTGTTGCGTTCCCGTTATTGGTGTCCTTGTGTGTATGTGTACGTACGTTGAACCTCTTTCGCACCATACATGGCCCAACGTGCTAATTGGAGGTGCGGGGGGAAGGACAACAACAGGCAGAGCCATTTTTGTTTTCGAATTCGCTAAAAATCACTCAATATTTCAAGGGCCGCAATGCACTGTGGTGAATACGAGAGACGGTGGTTGCCCACAACAAATAACGTCATGAAGCAGCAGGCCTTTAAAGAGCATCATGCGGAATCCGGAGCCGGAGGTTGTCGACCCCACCCACCCTGGAGGGAGCATGAGGTTCCTTGCATGCGGGCGTTGCTGATAACGACGGTGTTCTCTTGCGTATCCCCGGGTCAGAGATGTCCTTTAAGTAAAGGGAGTGAGTTCACGTCGAGGTAAGGGGTGCAAGGGGCGTAAGTCATATGCAAGGAACATGGAGGAACAGGTTCAACTTTGCGCACTTACATGGCTCGGAGCGAAAGTCTCTGTAGGTTATTTATTCAGATGATTATATTCCTCACGTGTTATAAGGACACGTTTGGAATCCTTACTAAATATAATCCTTACAAAATATAATAAACTTTAGTTTACTGCAAAATATTACAATTGTGCGATTGCCATCATCACGTGCGGTCAGCACCGTTTCCACTGTCGACCAAACCTGGACATATTTCCAAGTCAGCCTTGGGCTATTATCAACACTGCGCAGTTCATTTGCAGTAAAGTGCAGTTAAACACAATATCGGTACGAGATCTCGGCACAAATCAATTCCCCGAAGCCCAAACACAAACGCCAAATTTCCCAGACTGTGCAGGGAATAAGCAGACCCTGCCTTCACATGTCACAAGATGAAGAATCCACGTGGAAATCTCTCTGCAATTTGGCACAACATTCATTCAGGGGGCAAGTGCCGGAGTAGTGGAATGTGCACGACAGACAAGAGCCGACCGCGGCGTTATTCGGTACGTTTGGCATTTGATGTCCATTTAATGTTGACTGTATCTTGCCGAACTTTTTTACGCCCACCCAACCCCCCCCCCCCCCCCTTTACACACGGTCACACTACGGAGGCTGCGTTCTGACCGGCTGTGTGCTGCCACTGTGCTGCTGTTCCCGTGCACGCAGGAGCTGTGCTACCTATGCATGCAGCGCTCGCTGCGGAACGTCCCCGTGTATGTGGCGGAGGAGCGGCGGCTGCAGGAGGAGGCCGAGGAGAGAGCGCTGCTAGAGTACCGGCACGGCCAGGATCTGCAGGCCTTCACCAAGGAGCAGGTACCGGAGTGGCGGGCCTTCCAACTTCGGGGGGGGGGGGTGGTGGGGGAGGGCACAATGCCAACCACCGCGTGGGCGTTGTGCGGGCGTTGTACGAGCGCGGCTCCAGTGGCCAGACGCTCGAGCCCCGCAGTGAGCAGGGGCCTGGGTTCGATTCCTCACTCAAGCATTGCATTCAGTGCCCAAGATTGAATTTAGGGGTGCCGCGGTGGTGAGAAGTTAGCTCCCTCGCCTAGTATACAGGAGGTCGTGGGTTCAATCCCAACCCTGATGCCTGCTGCTATATATTTGGAGTTTGCGCGTCTTTCTCCCCGTGGTCGCATGGATTTTTCCCCGGGTCCTCCGTTTTTTCCCTCCACATTTAGAATCCACATCACGAATTTAGAGTATTTGGCTGCTATACATTTCCACGTGATGAGCCATTTCGTGAGCTATCATTTGAGGCCAAGTTGCTTCTGAAAAAGAGCTGTATATCTCAGTGGGCCTTACCTGGTAAAATAAAAAAAACATCTGAGAGTTTTAATAGTTTTCATTGCCAGGGATTAATGTACTTATGCAGTTTGAACTTATATACTTTAACTTATATACTTTTTTTAGTGACTTGTTTACCTTTCCTATACTTTGAACTCCTATCATGTTTTTGTATTGTTTATGACCCACCCCTTATTGGGCATCTTTGAAAAAGGGCTTTATAGCTCATCGGATTCCCCCTCTAGTCTAAATGGGGGGAGGAGGGCGATGTTGCTGCTGCTGTGTGATCCAAATTTAATAGTTTGCAGGTGATGTTTTTTTATTGAGATGCTTGGCCAATACCGGTTAAATTGTTTGTTTTAGCAATCAGAGAACAGCCGGAGAACCCGGAGGAAACCCATGCAGAACAGGCGGTGGAGAGAGGAGAGAGAGAGAGAGAACGCACGCAGTTTGACACGTATGCTTTCATTATGGAGAACATACAAAACTCCACGCTGGATGGTACAAAATCACGGTATTTTTTTTTAGTTTGTGTTTTTCTCCAAAGTTGATGGGGAGCGGTGGCACGGTGGTTAGCACACTACGCTACGAACCTAGCGGACTCAATTCAATTCCCAGCCCCTTCGTCATTAGCGGTGGCAAGCGATATTTTAACCTGTCCTGGGCCTCCCGTAGAGGTTGACTCAATCTCAAATAAGTAGCTGGTGCGGTAAATATCTATGCTGGGGAGACAAAGGTGGCCAATTGTGATTTTGCTATCCTCCTCCTGCACCTCCAATTAGCACTGTTGGCTACGTACGGTGCGAAAGAAGTTCAACATACACTCATAAATAGACTCACATAGTCACTCACCCATTCACCTAGCCACTCACCCACATACTCTCCCATCTTCCAATTAGCATGGTTGGCCACATACGCTGTGAAAGAAGTTCAATGTACGTACATATGTACACCCTTAGTTCGCATGTTGTAAATGTACATGAATGTGTGCGATTGACAGAACTTTCCTCAGCACAGCAACCTGTGTGGGCTACATGTGGGGGTGGGGATCTTGGCATTTGCAGGAATTGCTGGAGCTGGCCCGGGATAACAGCAGGAAGGTGGCAGCCTTCAACCTTGGCGTGTCTGAGGCCGTTAAGGCCTCCAAGCATGGTCAGAGCAATGGCTTTCAGGTACCACGCACGGCTCGGCAGATTCTTCTCAAAGAACAGTCACTCGCAACATCTCGCTGACGAGATCGGCAACCTCCGATGGAGCACGGTTGGCTACGTACGGTGCAAAGTTCAACATACATACACAGGCTCAGCAACTCATATATTCACTCGCCCACTCACATAGTCGTCACCCACATGCATATGTCAGTACCAAACTAAATAGCTACGCAACATGCCTCCTTAATTGATCTGTGCCTCCAGATTTACAAAAATAAATAAATTTGACACTTCCCATCAATGGCACGGCCGTCTGGGAGTGCACAATTTTAGCAGCAGTGGTTCAGCACAAGCGAACGATGGGACCGGTTTTGACACACACAGTGTCTCATCGGCAGTGAGGCTCGCTTCAACCAATACCAGTGAACTGCGAGATGTTAAAGGCGAGAACATATCTTTAAAATACGTTTTCTAGTTCGACGCACAATTGTATAACGCACGCGTCGTTGATTGAAGAGGATCACGTTGGCTGCTGATGTTGACACCAAGCGGGGTGGGAGGGGGGATCACGCACGTGCATGGATTCTGTGAGGCTATCCAACATGCTTGCGATGGCGTGTGTGTGTGCGCGTTTGCGTGTCTGTGTACGTGTGAGTGTCGTGCTTTGTCTATATTTGGCGACAGCGCCTGCATGTGTCTGCGTGTCTGCATCTTGCGCCGAGCGGTGGCGTGGTGATTTAAGCTCCCTAACACTACGAACCCCGGCGACCAGAGTTCGATTCCCGCTCACGGCCAATAACAGTAACAATTATCATCTAAACCGGCCCCCGGTTCTCCCCTAGGTAGATTCAGCCTGTAAATTAGTAACCAGGTACGGCTTGCAAGCACCGGCACTGGGGAGACAACGGCGGCCAGGCGTGGTGCTAGCCAGCCATGCACGCGTGTGCTGCGTCAGCCTGAACAGCCGCTACACTTCCGGCGCTCTTCCTGAGGGTTTGCAAAAGGCTACACGGGGGGACCTTTGTCTGCGTGCGTAGTGCTCCTTCATCCTGGGCGACCGGGCCGCCACGCCGCTGTCAGCCGCTCGCTCGCGGGAGTACGCGCACCACCTGGAGCGGCAGCGGAGCGAGCGCATGGAGCGCGAGGGCCGGCACAGGAAGCAGCAGCGCATCCTGGAGCAGCTGCAGAGAGTCCAGCTGGCTCGGGAGTCCGTACCCGGCAGCCTCTCACACGCACACGCGCGTATGCACATGGGCACACGTGCACACGTACGCACGCTCACACGTGTGCACTCACACACACACTCACACGCCCACACACTCTCACATGCTCACACACATGCACAAATAAAAATATTCCCCGTATAGCCTTAACAGACTGTTGGAGCAAGTGCTTTTAGCGAGCACCTATGAAGGCCGACACCACATCCGACCGCCTTTGTTTCCCCATTTGAGGCTGAGTCGACCTCGGGAAGGCCCAGGACCAGTTCAGAGCAGTGGGGCAGTGCTTAGCGTGCTGCGCTACGATCCAGGCGACCCAAATTCGATTCCTACTCGTGGCCAACACCAACACCGGTGACGATTATTTGAACCGGTGAAGCATGCGGTGCTGTGCAGTGGTGGTTTGTGTGGTCTTCTTCATTCCTCAAAATGCAGAAGGCAGTGCAGCAAAAATCCATGGCTGTTGATGCACTCTCCTCGAGCCTTCGCCAGCCCGCACTCACCAAAGTGGTGAAGCACGCTCAAGTATCGTCAAAAATAACCCCCGCGACAGCACGGCGTGGGGGATAGCCCCTCATGCCTAATCCTCCCCACGCCAAACATCCAACATGTAAATAAATAACATTATTTAATATTTTGATTTAAAGCTTTCGTGGCTGCAGGGATTCATATTCTTGGTTCTTTTGGTAAAGTCACCAAAAATATTATTTAATATCTTAATAGGCGCGCATCGTTGGCAAACACATCCTGCTGTTACTCGTTCATCATCTCGAATTAATAGCTCCAACAATTAGGCGTCATTATCTGCCTTGTTCCCCGGCAAGAGGGCATGTTGACCCCACTTCAAACAAGTTGTGTTAGGTCCCACCACGTAGCGATGACTAGGTCCTGGGGGATGTTTGAGATGTTAATTACCTCGGCTGGTATACAGGAGGTAATAGGTTCGATCCCGACCCTGACGCCTGTATATTTGGAGTTTGTATGCTTTCCCCATTGTCGCGTGGATCTTTTTCCGGGTCCCCCAGTTTTTCCCTCCACATTTAGAATCAACATGCGTTTAGAGTATTTGGCTGCTGCTGTAGATTTCCACACGATGATAAGCCACTTCATTGGGCTATGATTTGTGATCGCCAGGTCACTTCTGAAAAAGAGCTACATAGCTCAGTGGGCCTTATCTGGTAAAATAATGTATTTTTCATTTTTAGTGTTACAATGAATCTCGCTACCGACTCAGGTCCCGATCCCCCTTTTGGATTGAGGATGTCCAGAATAATAAACACCTCCACATTCGAGACCCAAACATCGCACACCTCCTCCACCTGGCTTTGACAGTCCTCCTCCTTGAAGACACCGGTGGTGGAACCATCAACCGCATCAGAACACAACCCAACGATTGTATTTCTCATGCACGTCAAAATATTTTAGTCTTGTTCATATATTTTTTTTCCAGCAGCCCCGAATCAACTCGGAGGGGAAACACGATCTAACGGCAGGAGATGTCTGACGAGCGCATTTTGCTTAAGAATGCAAACGGGATGAGAAGCCGGGTCTCGTGTAGCGCTCTCTGCGTTGGCTGCCTTGTCCCCTGCTGCAGACTGGCTCTGGAGAGGGAGCAGATGCTGCAGAGCAAGGCGGAGGAGGCGCAGGCCTATCAGCAGGCCCTGGCGACTCAGGTGACCAGTGGCGGGCGGATCGACATTCGATCAATGTGATGCTGGTCGATGGTGACGCTGAGGGTTGACGGTGCTAGTGATGACGAGCGATTGATGATGATCGATGGTGATGCTTGATAATTGACGATGCTAGTAATGATGAGTGATTGATGCTGATGATGATCGATGATGATGCCGATAATTGATGCTATTGATGATGAATGATGATCTATGATGATGCTGATAATTGATTATGCTCGTGATGAGTGATTTACGTTGATTATGACGAGTGAGTGATGATAACTGACAGGTGCTAACCCTCCTTCCCCTTCAACACGGTGCCCGCAGGTGCAGTCCAAGGCACTGGCGGCGGCGCAGGAGAGGGGCGCGGCGGAGGCGGCGCCGGTGTTTGGCGGTGACGACTCGACGGCGCGGGCGCTGGAGGAGCGGCGTGAGCGAGCGCGGGAGCTGCGTTGCGAGCTCGCTGGGGAGGCGGCGCGCAAGAAGCGCTCCGTCGTCGTCTCGCAGCTTACCGAGCAGCGCCGACAGATGGAGCTCCTGGAGCGCAACCAGCAGGAGTGAGTACTGCCCCCCTGTGAATGAAGCACCAAACCGTTTGTTCGTTAATTCGTTCGTCACGCACAAGTCAGCGAAGGGATCCGTCGTGCCAAACGTGTGACCTCTTGGCCACAGCATTCACATGAACCGCTTTTGCTCGCCGTGCGCCAGGAGTCTCGAGCAATTTGTTTGAGCCACGGATCACGGGGGGATGACCACGGCAGCGGTGCCATTCCTCTACGAGTTGCAATCCACTTCAAACGTCAACTGCCAACTGTAGTGCGCAATTTTCTGTTCAGAACGATTATAGTTTCCCGGCCATGCTGATCATCATCATCAGCTGTGATGGAATGTTATGAAGGCCTCCCCAAGTGACCGTGATCCTACAGTGGTGGGATGTACCCCTCCCAACTCGCGCATGCTCTCCGGCACAGCGGCGGATCTCCTCTCGCATGACCTGTCCACTGCTGGATGAAGGCCTCCCCAAGCCGTCGCCATCTGTCACCATCCGGCATCGCAAAAGTTTCATCTTGCGCCTGCACATGAGCTCACCTCGTCGCACCACATCCAGAGTGGTCGTGTTGCCTACTTTGGCTGCCACTCCAGATTTAGTCTTGACCACTGTCTATCACGCCCGTTCTGGTGGTGATGATGATGTCCTTCCCAAGCCCACTCACTTTTCTTAACAGTCAATATTGATGCCTCCTTGAAATTGCATATTACTTTCTCACCCATGTGTTTCTCTTCCTCTCTTTCTCAACGCGATGTGTTGCAATCGTCCATCTGTCCACTCTTCTTTGAACACTTATCAACTTTTGTTCTGTTTTTGCTTGTCAGCGTGCGCGTTAATGATCCATACGTAGTAGCGGACAAACTTTATGCGTTCTACTCGAGTGAATGGCAGCGACTTCCATTTGGCTTGGACTTATGTATATGTATGTATGTTTCAATTATTTTGCACCGCACATAGCCAGCCGTGCAAATCGGAGGTGCCAAGGGGGAAGGACAACAAACTAAACACAGCAATCAGTTTTCAATCTAGATGATTTAAAAGTGTATTGCGCCCAGTGGCTTCCTCATAGCGGAACGAAGAGCATTCCAGAGAGCCACAGAAACGCGTCTGAAAGCACAGAATGATGATACGGTGACCGCCTTTGTTCCAAAAGCCACTTCGAGGATGACCAGAGTTTTCGTGATGCTTTATGCTCCTTGACGAGATGGAGGCAACGTCACCAGGGCACAGTGCTGTGGTGACGTCGCATTTAAAAGCGACGCGCGACGGGGGACCGCCTTTTTTCAATGGTTAGCCAAAATGCCGCCAGACAATGCGAGCTGCTGGCTCGCGAGTAGTCGTAACTCACTCCGCCCGCCCGTCACCTACGTGAGCTCGACAGGCACCACGCGACTCAGTTGCCCGTCCACCGACTCGTTTTTTGGCAGGCTGGCGCGAGAGCACGTGACGCGGCACGCGCAGACGGTGGGCCGGAGGGCGGCCCTGCAGGAGGCGTGGGCCCTCAGCGCAGAGCTCAAGCGCGGCCGCAACCTTCAGCTGGAGATGCACCTCAAGTGAGTGGCGTGAACGCCGTGCCCGGGATGCCCTGTGGTGATCGTCTCCTGACGATGGTGAAGTGAAACGTTTTATGATTTTAGTCTTTGGTCTTATACTTATCACTTGCATGGGTTTTCTCGGCAAACCCAGCTGTCATCGTTAATGTGCTACTCACAATCCTATATATAAAAAAAACATTATCAGTTAAAGCCCACTGAGCTATAAAGCTCTTTTTGAGAAGCCACCTGGCCACAAATGATATCCTAATGAAATGGCTTATCGCGTAGAAATTTAGAGCAGCCAAATACTCTAAACGCACGTTGATTCTAAATGTAGAGGAAAAAAGCCGGAGTACCCGGAGAAACATCCACGCGACCATGGGGAGAACATGCAAACGACAAATATACAACAGGTGCCAGGGTTGGGATTGAACCCACAACCTCATGTATACCTAGCGAGGTAGTTAACATCTCGCCACTGTGGCACCCATAATCCTGTGCTCCTGTAATTATCGGAACACTAAAAGGAATCTGCTTTTTTATGTAAAAAAAAAATTCCAAGGTGGATTTTATATTATTGTATTTTATATTATTTATGTTTTAAATACCATTCTGGCAAAACAATTACATTAATTGGAGCACAATATGAAATGGTAAGATCGATTTTAAATTAACTGTGGCTGGTATTCGTTACTCCCACCATTTCGGCGTCGCTACCCATTATTATTTTTAAACGTTTTCTGAACTCTTTCTTCTTCTGCCAAAATCCCGTATAGCCAGTTACCCAGCTAGTTTCAGCGGGCAACGGTCCGCAGCAGCCACAATCGATGGAGCTATCATCGGAGTTGCGTGGAACCCTGCCAGCAGCCAAGCAGGAAACTCGAGGTTATAGATCACTGATTAATTATTATTGTTCTCTCTTCCCACCACCACCACCCCTGTGTGCGTGCGTGCCGCGTGTACCGCGTGCGTCACCAGGGCTGGCGCGGGCCTCGTGCAGGAGCAGTGTGACAAGTACAAGCGCTGCCAGCAGTGCACCCGGCGGCTCTCCAACCGTGGGGAGAGTCACGTGTGGAAGGACTCGCGGTACCTGCCGGGAACTCGCATGATCCTCTAGTCCATGGTCACTCTTCACCTTCTTCTCCTCCTCCTTTCTTCTTCGTCCTTTGTCTTCCTTCTTTTTCCTCTTCTTCCACTTCTTCCTTCTTCGTCTTCTTCCTGTTATTCCTTCTTCCTATTATTCCTTCTTTTTCATCTTCCTTCTCTCTCTTCCTCTTATTCCTCTTCTTCCTTTTCTTCTACTTCTTCCTTCTTCCTCTTCTTCCTCTTATTCCTTCTTTCTCTTCTTCCTTCTCTCTCTTCCTCTTATTCCTCTTTTTCCTCTTATTCCTCTGTTTCCTTTTCTTCCTCTTCTTCCTCTTTCTTTCCTTCTTCTTCCACTTCTTATTCTTCCTCCTCCTTCCTATTGTTCCCTCCTCCTCCTTCTAAGCCGAGAGTCCCATTGTTGCGTGGGGTCGGCTGCTCCATGAGCAGCCAACCCCACCGTCCTTCTCTACGTAGAGACCGGAACCAACCTCGCTCGAGATCCAAACATGGTCGCATCTCCTTCTGGATTTGACATTCCTCCTCGAAGACATCGGTGGTGGAGCCATCAACCACATCAGAACATCATCACCAGGCAGATGCACGCACATCTCCACAAATGGGAAACTTAAAGACACAACCCACAGTATTATTTGGTTCTTTTGGTAAAGTCACGTAGTTAGAAAAAATAAATAAAGTGCATACAAATAAAAATAATAAAAATAAACTAAACAAAAAAACCACTAATTCATACTGTAGCCTGGTTCTTAATCGGAGTGAGTGTACTGGCAATCTATAATGTAGACTGTAGCCTGGTTATTAAGTTTGGTGAGTGTACTGGCAGTCTATGATGTAGACTGTAGCCATGGTTATTAAGCTGGGTGAGTGTACTGGCAGTCTATAATGTAGACTGTAGCCTGGTTATTAATCTGGGTGAGTGTACTGGCAGTCTATAATGTAGACTGTAGCCTGGTGTTTTGCCTCGGTGAGTGTACTGACAGTCTATAATGTAGACTGTAGCCTGGTTTTTAACCTTGGTGAGTGTACTGGCAGTCTATAATGTAGACTGTAGCCTGGTTTTTAAGCTGGTGAGTATATTGTCAGTATGCAATGTAGACTGATGACGACCGCTTGTGTTGCGATCGAAACGTCGTGGTTTTTTAACTTTTTATTTTTTTTCATTACTGAAAGAAAAAATAATAAGTCTACATTATAGACTGCAGCACGCTCACTCAGGTTAAGAACCATTATTCACTTCATTTTTTCTTATAATTTTTTTCTTCTATCTACGTGACTTTACCGAAAGAACCAAAAAATATGAATTCCTGCAGTCAAAATACAACCCACAGTAGTTACATAGTGGCCATGCAACTCAAACTACGGAGCATATGGTAATCCGCTGTAGGCTTGTGATCCTTTAACGGAAAAGGAGTACAACTACACAAACTCTCTCCTGAAGCCGTCTCTCGTCGTGGCCAGCAGACCTCGACATTGGCATCTCGCTCATGAAAATAATGTAATATGACATTTAGACTTATAGACTCGCATCCAATTACATGAATCGTATACCACATAGGGGGGTCCATAGAATTAGAAAACTAACAACTTACAGACTCGCATGATCCACAGACTCACGTAGAGATAACAGAAGATCATATTCTATGGTTCTTTCGGGAAAGTCACGTAGATAGGTTCAAAGAAAATAAAATAACAAAAAACGACGTTTCGATCGCAACACAAATGGTCGTCATCTTGTGTTGCGATTGAAACGTAGTTTTTTGTTATTTTGTTATTTTACTTGAACCTATCTATGTGACTTTACCGAAAGACCCATAGGATATGAATTCCTGCAGTCACAAAAGCTTTAAGTCAAGAGATAACAGGAGACTCGCATAGACTGCACGATTCACAGACTTACATAGAAATCCAAAGACTGACACAGACTGACATGATTCGTAGACTTACGCACACACTCGCAGATAAACAAACTTACATGATTCATAGGACTCGCTAAATCCCCGTTGTCTATATCTCTTCTGCGATAGCATTGTATCTATACTCGTTGGCCTGTCGCCTGCAGCGTGTTTCATTCTGTGCTTCTATTGCATTCAACCACTAGGGAAGTTCAAAATCTGCAGGCCCCGCCTCTTCCATGCTAGGCCCCGCCTCTTCCTCTTTAGGCACCGTCCTTTCCTCTTTAGGCCCCGTCTCTTCCTCTTTAGGCCCCACCCTGTTTGTGTTTAGGCCCCCGCCCCTTCCCCCTGGGTTGGTTTGGGTCGTATTGGGGTGAGTGTGAGCAGCAGTCAGGATAGTTGGTGGGCAGGGGTCAGGATGGGTAGGGGTGGGTGAGGTCAAGAGGGGTCGAGTCAGTAGGGCTAGGAGTGGGTGAGGTCATTAAGGGCAGGGATGGATGAGGTCAGTAGGGCTAGGAGTGGGTGAGGCCAGTAGGGCTAGGGGTGGGTGGGTGGGGTCAGTAGGGGTGGGTAAGGTCAGGAGGGATAGGGGTGGGTGAAGTCAGGAGGGGTGAGGTCAGTCGGGGTAGTGGTGAGGTCAGGAGGGGTGGATGCAGTAGGGGTAGTGGTAGTTTGGGTCACAATGTTTGGGGCGACTTCACCACCACGATGACCATAACCCCTCTGTGTGCAGCAATATGATAATAGATGTCTACAACATTCTTTGTGTCATCTTTCTGGGAGTTTATAGACTAAAAGGTACCCCCCCCCCCCAATTATAATATCTGCTTTGGGCTGCCCCAATGGGCCAGCACTGCGCGATTCATGGACCCAGCAACCTGTGTTCGATTGCTGACCAAGGCTAAAATCGGTGGCGATCAAAATCTGAACCGGTCCAGTTTGGGCGCCATCTCCTTCACCACCCTACACTGCCCAACGTGGTGAAGTATGGTCAAATAACCCCCACGACCGACGCGGCGTGGAAAGGCCTCCTGCCAGCAGTGCAATTGGCAAGTTGCTTATGGAGTGAAAAGGCGGCCTGTCGTTGCGTAGCATCGTTCGTCACAAACGTAACCGATTTGGGGGTGGCTGCTACTTGGCAGCTGAGAGATGCCGGTGCAGCGGGCGGGTTTGTGAAACCCGCAAACATGTGAAAATGTTTGCCGTTGTCCTCTACGAGTATGTGCGCGGAATTGTTTACGGCAGCCTACTCAGGCTTCTCTCTTTGCATGCACAAGGCTCCGTTGGCCAAAGATCCACAACCGCAGGCCCGACCCAGAAGAGAGTCGTGTAATTTCGCGGGTTTGGTATTCGCGTCATTCTCATGGGTGCAAGGGCCGTCGTGAAGGTGCAAAGGTTTTACAGATGGGTATAGTCTGCAGGCAGCGGATGTGTTTCCTTAGATGAATGCGCCTCTCGATCCGTACCTGGCCAGGTGTCTCAGCCAGCAGAGAGGGTGGCTCGCGACCAGGAGGTTGTAAGTTCACATTATGGTTGGGGGTTGACTTGGCCCATCATTCCTTCCCTCCGGGGTTCAATAAAATATTTACCACTTTGTGGGGAAGTCAACGGTGGTTGTCCTGGGGAGACAAACTCACCACCCCCGCCATAGGACCATGGAATTTCCACCACTGGCTCAGGGGCTATAAACAGATGAGGACCGCACGATGCCCAGTTGTGCAGGAAATCCTTTTTACTTGACTTTTTTAATCAGGCGAGTCAGTTTGCTGGTTAACTTTTCCAATTTTTTACACAAAAATTTGGACAGGGTGACGCCAACGCACACAATGGCCTCCTCCTCTCTTCCCAGTAACCTCACGGGATCTTAGGGGGTGGGAACGGGGAGATGTAGTGGTAATTTTTTTTGGGTTCATGCTCCTACAGTATTAACCGGGACGGCCGCCGGGGTGCCTAAAACCGCGACCCTCTGCAATAAAGCGGAAAAACACGCCCCCAAGGGCCTGGTCAGTCTTAAGACTCGGCCAGGGCGGTAGCCCGGATAACGATGATTCGATTGCGTTGGCTCTCGGCCCGATGGCAGAAGCTGCGGATATAACCTTTGAGAGCGTGAACATATTATCGTGTTAAAAAAAAACATTTCTCCTGTGACCTTAAAGACGGGTAAGATTATTATTTTTTTGTGGTTTATGTATATTCCAATCAACTGCATATTGCACTGCTTAGTCGATTAAAATAAGTTGTATGATCCTTAATAAAAGGTGATCCATTTACAGACACCCCACTGATTTCTGATGACCTTTTTGTCAACAGCCGATTGAATTTTGTGACTGTAATGGTTCCGCATCTCACGGAGGAGAGCATCGAGGTTGGTTGGGAGACGTGCAGGGGGTTTGAAAGGGGAGTGTTATTTTATTTATGAAATCTTACTACCTGTATATTCAACCATCTGCTGTGCAGAAAGAGGGTAATTAGTTATCAGTGGGGTGGTGTTGTATATCATTGATATTATTCCATCATTGATATTAAGAATAATTCTGCCAATCATATATTTATTTTAATCTATCGTGGTGTCGCTTGGGGAAAAAGGGGGTAATGCGAAGCCCTCCCTCCCCTCACAGCAGTTGCCATTCTCACTCGGAAGCAGGAGACGGAGATAAGCCATAAAAGATAATGAAACCCAAAACAAAAGAGAAGGGGGGGAATTCCTAATGAGAGTCTGAAAAAAATCCCGACATGGCTTCAAAGCCTCGCCAGCTCCAAGGCGGCGAAAACCAGACCGACAAGTTTATGGTACATCTTCTTTGGTTCTTTCGGTAAAGTCATGTAGAATGAGAATAAAATAAGAAATTGATAAAATAAAATAACACAATAATATTCTCACGACGTTATTGTGTTATTTTATTTTATCAATTTATTATTTTATTCTCATTCTACGTGACTTTACCGAAAGAACCAAAGAAGATGAATCATTGCAGTCACGAAAGCTTTAAATCGAAATTTAAGTTTATGGTAATTTTAATTAACAGAAAGTCAAAAAATCTCAGCAGCAAGAATAAGTGAAAATCATAGACCAACACACTCCGATTAAGAACCAGGCTACAATCTACAGTAGTGGGTTATCATATATGAGTTTAATACTAAAGTTATTCACGAATATTGGGAAACAAACCAAATAACAATTATGAAGTGTTAAACCAGGGGGTCAGCCAGGGGAGATTGGGCGAGGTGGGTCCATCACGTGACCAAGATAAATGTATT